TATTCTAAGACTTAGAGTATCTAGTTATAATATTCTTAGTATTTAGTAGATCTATTTAATTTATTATACTAGTATAGTATAGGTGCTCTACTTTAGACACTTTATTAGTCCTTAATAGGTTTAATATATTTATTATCTATTCTAGGTTTTATTTCTAAGTCTTCTATAAGACACTCTATATTATTAGTAATTATTTCCTAATTACTAGTATTAGTAGGTCTAACCTTAGTAGATATTATATTAAGCTATTATATAACTTTATTCTTACTATAATAGTCTTTAGCAAAGTAGCCTAGTTTGCTATAGCTATAATAAGTTATTAAAGGCTTATTAGTTCTAGAACTACTCTTATTCTTTATATTCTATTATTTAAGTTCTTTATTAATATTAGAAAGGTTTATAGCCTTAGTGCTATAGTATCCTATATTAGTTCTAGTATAGACTTATTATAACATGTTAGACTAGTAGTATCTTCTATGCTATCTTTATTAGATATTATTTTTCTATTAGTTCTTAAAGGTGTATAGTATAGAATTAGTAGCTTATACTTAGAGGTTATCTTATAATTCTAACTATAGCTTATATAGTTTAATATTAATATTAATTATAGTATTAACTAAGTTAGTAAAGGTGTTAGTGCTAGTACTAGTATATATTAGCTCTTTCTTAATCTTTAGCTTAAGGCCTTATCTAAATATAGTTAAAAGTATATTATTATCTTAATTAGTATAAGTAATAAGTTACTAAAACTCTATAGTATAGTGAGTAGCTAATTTAGTTTATTTAATATGCTAGATATTATATTTAGTACTAGTAACTTTATTAAATATACTAAATATAGGTTTAATTTATTTCTTAAATTTATTAAAGTCCTTGATCTATTTATCTACTTTATCTATAGTAGTGCTTATATTATATTATTATATAAAGGGCTTAATCTACTTAAATACTACACTATATATATAACTACTAATAAGTATAACTCTTTTCTCCTCTTTAATATACTTGCCTTAGAATAAGAAGAATAAGTCCTATTATATAAGCTAATTATTAAGCTTGCTATATTTACTATAGTAAAGATTAAGTTTATTAACTATAATATTACTTATATAGGTAGTACTATTATTAGTTATATCTATATTATTTAATAAGCTAGGGGTAGCTTAGTTTTTTAAAGTAGTAAATATTTTAAAGGTATTTAAAATATTAAGGTTAAACTTTAAGCAAAGCTTATAAGCACTTTTTAATTAGTTCTTAGAGATAAAGACTATTAGAGAGACTAAAGAGAGTCTTATACTAAAGAGTATAGATATAATCTATCTATCTTAAAGATAAGAGGTAATAATAAGTAGTATAAAGTAGACTATCTAGCTTAAAGGTTAGGTTAAGATCTAATATTATAGATTAATACTTAAGTTAAATATAAACTATAAGAGTTATATTCCTACTTACTATATACTATAGAGAGTATAGTAGCTTACTAAGCTTAATATAAGCTATATAAGCTAGGCTTATTAAGCTTAATATAAGCTATATAAGCTCTATATAAGACTTACTTTAGCTTAACTACTAAGAAGTAAGCTTATTATATAACTTATAACAAAACTATGCTATATAACGTGTTCCACCACCGAGCCGCGCACCCCACCGAGCCGCGCACTAAATGCAACTGTCTACATTTAAACCTCAATAACTCAACGCTACAACAAGGTATAATAGTGCGCAATGGCTTAAATTAATTGCCTAATTCTACTGCATCTTTCTTGCATGTACGCTTGTTGTGTCCTGTATTGCCACACCTTCTGCAGTGGGGAATACCCCTGCTGCTAGCACCTGCCTGCACTCTCTCCTCACGCCTCTCAGCCTCAAGTTAAACCTCAGCATCCCGTTGGGTAACTATTGCTTCTGCCTCTGCCTGTGATAGAGTCCCTCCCTTCTGAATCTGCTTCTTCTTACGCTTTTTACGCTCTAAGGCAGCCTGATTTGCTTCTTTAAGCTTAGCTATTCTAGCTTCAAGCAACGTGTGTGAGTGTACCTTTAAAGTTGACCCCTTTTAAACCTGCAGCACCATCTCAAGAATAGACTCAGGTGAGGAGCTCTTATGGTCTCTTATCCTCTTAAGAATCAGCGTTGTTTGAGCCTCTATTTCCCAGGCGTTGCTTGGTGTTTTAGGCTGCCAAGGGGTACTCCCAGGTATAGGTGGTGTTGGTGTACGAGGCTTCACTTCAAGCCTTGATAGTACTACCTCTGGGTTATCTGGGACTAAGCCAGTTGCTCTGAAGCTTGATAGGATATTGCCCTTTGAGAAGGCTTGGTTGAATACTAGGGTAAATGCAGCCAGGAAGGCTTTCTTGTTGATATGGTTAATATAGCAGTTTGCCAAGACTCGGATCTCCTCCTTGTACGCACGCTTTAGTGGGGCAAAGTAACCCACATTAAGCGGCTGAAGGATATGTGAGGTATAGGGGGGCATACAGAGGGTAATAATCTTGTTCTCCTCACACAGATCTTGGAAGGCAAGTGACTTGTGGCTCTCGTGGCCATCAAGTATTAGCAGCCTATAACTACCCACTTTCTTAGCCTCTGTATGCTTAATAAAGTGCTGTAGCCAGGCAAGCCTAAGCTCATTTGTCGTCCATCCATTGTTACTGACTCCTATTCTCCAATCCCAAGGGTTGTGATACTAGGCCTGGTCGTGGTTCTTGGCTTTGAAGATGATGAAGGGTGGGATAACCCACCCTACAGCGTTGATGGCGGCAATCAACGTTACCCACTCCCTATCACCAGGCTGAACTCCAAGTGGCTTGAGGCGCCGCTCAGAGGCTGTTACTACCTTCACTGACCCCCTAACCCCTATCTGGAAGCCAGTCTCATTAAAGTTGTACGTGTCTTCATCCAGGATGCCATACTTGGCTTTGACGTTGCGTATAAGATTAAACTAGGGGCCTATAATAGCTAGATTGCTACAGAGGACTCGCTGGTGATCACGAGTTCGAGTTACTTGAGATTTAACCTCAGGTCGGCGTTAGATTAGCCTGTAGGCCCAGTTCTCTCCAACATAAGTACCACCACGCTTAGCTAGTAGCTAGTTGGCCATCTCACGTACGTAGCTAAGCGTAGGGGCAAAGCCTCTAGCATCAAGCTTCCTAATATACTATATAACCACCTCCTCTTCATGCTTGTGAAGCCTTAATGAGTTAGCTTGGATATCGCGTCGTGAGGTTATTCCAGCGCGTCGGTTGCGGAGGGTGGTTTCAGGCACGTTGTAGATGGCAGCAGCGCGTCGCTGGCTTAGTGACGCGTCAGATCTGAGGGCTTAGATAGCAAGGATAATTCTATCTTCAACAGGAAGCAATTCAATATCACGTTGTTGAGGCATCATGATAGTAGTAGAATGTGATGAGGTCTTGGCAGAGGTGCGCGGCTCGGTGGGGTGCGCGGCTCGGTGGTGGAACACGTTAGAATAGCCTATATAATATTATACTAAGTATATTAGTATTTACTAGGTGTTAGTATCTAGTTAGTTATAAAAGACAATTATAATAGTAGCTAATATTACTAAGTAATAAAGATAATACTAATACTATAATAATTAAGCACTACTTAGGTAGCTATTTAAGTAGCTATTTAGTAGCTTTATATATATTCTTTATTAATATATTATAGTTATCTACTAACTAAGTAAACCTAGTTATACTATAGGTCTACTAAATACTTAAAACCTTATACTAATTATTTTAGCTATAATTCTAAGAACTAAATTACTAAGGACTACTTTTTAAGCTTAATATATATAAAGTAGATGCCTTTCCTTCTACCTTTTATATAAGCAGCAACCTAAGCTATTCTATACCTACCTTATTTACTAGCTAATAATACTTATTTCTAATTATTCTACCTATAATTATACCTTAAATAATTTAAATTTACTAGTTTATACTAACTCTTTCTTATATAGTAAGAGTAGGTATATAAGCCTATACTATATTCTAACTAAACTAGGCTAGGCCTAGTAACTTCTTTAAAGTTAAGTTAACTATTCTATATTTAGTAGCTTAAGAATAGTAGTTAATGCTATATATTATGCATAAGAATAGTTTATTAATATATTCTATTATAGCTAATACTATATTTATTAAGAGTATAAAGTCTTAATATTAGTAAATAAATAGTACTAGCACTAGATTAATAAATATTACTAGTATAGCAAGAGTAATAGTATAGATACTATTAGAGTTAAATAAAAGTAATATTTATATATTATCTTAGGTTAAATATTTAACTACTTAGAAAGAAAGAAAGATTAAGATTATAAGACTATATATAGCTATAAATAGTAAGATTACTCTTTTTATAAATAGTATAGAATGCTAACTAGTTTATAGCTTACTTCTACTATAAGAAGACTAGGCTTAAAGTAATAGTTTTTCTATAGTATTATAGGTTAAATATAGTTTAGAAACTTAAAAATTTTTTAGGCTACCTAGTTAATATATTAAATCTATAGTTATAGGTAGCTATACTTATAATTATAAAGTTAAGTTAACTTTATAGTTTTATATATAAGAGTTATATAATATATTATATCTTTAAAGCTCTTAGAACCTATATATAAATTATAATATATAAGTATTAGTATCTTTATAATATACTTTACTATAACAAGTATATAATAACTTCTATACTATAGATAGAGGGCCTTAGCCTATTTTATAAGATTTTTGCAATATACCTCTATTTTTTATATACTTTTAATAAAATTATAAAGTTATAGTCTTATTATATAGCAATATATATTATTAGAAAAAGTAATAAAAAGCTAGAAACTAATTATATAATATTTTATTATATTACTATAAAAAACCTTATAATAATTACCTTTATATATAGCTTAATAACCTTATTTTTAGTATTGCAGAAAGTTATAATCACGCGCACTGACTTTCCGCGCGCACTAGGTGCACGGACGCTGTAAGCCGTGCAATAATACAGCACAATGTCCAGTAAGCCCGTGCGCATAACGCAGCGAACACACATCTAAGGATAAAACTAAAGCTTATGAGTCAGTAGCTACTGTGCGGCGACGTGCCACAACAGCCTTCCTGGGTCATGCATCAGCCTTCGGAGCAGTCCATATATGTGCCTAGTACTAACATGGACGGTGCGGATCGTTGCCGATGCCGATGACAGTTCGCGGCGCTGTCCAAAGGCGGCCTGGTGGCGAATCGGCACTCTCCGCATTACCGACCACCGCGTTAGGTTCCCGTTGGCTTGTGCCGAACACTGCCATCTTACACCACCGATGTCGCATCCTCTTGGCACTTTGTTAAATCGTGCGCTATTCCTCCTGTCACGATGATCCTCGCATCTGTCTGTACAACTCGGGCTATGCGCTCAAGATGCACCTCATATCCAAGGATACCTCTAACACGCAAGCTTGCGACAGTTGCACCTCGAGTACCCATAAGTCCTCTTAATCTAGACATCACGTTGGATTACGATCGTCAAATTTCACAATTGAATGCAGTCAAGCACAGGTCACGGCAGCCTTTGACCCTAACAGAGAAAATAATATACAGCCATTTATACACAGGTCCAGATTATGCCTGGAACCTCGACAAAATCAGGCGAGGGGAGACTCTCTTGCATCTGCGGCCTGACAGGGTGGCGTGCCATGACGCCACGGCCACAATGGCACTTCTACAATTCATTAGTGCTGGTCTTCCCAAGGTTCAGGTACCGACTACTGTTCACAGCGATCATCTTGTGGTGTCCAGAGATGGTGCCGACGAAGACTTGAAGAGGGGCAGCATTGAACACCAAGAAGTGTATGCTTTCTTGAGCAGTGCAGCTAAGAAGTACGGTATAGGATGGTGGAAACCAGGCGGTCAGTGTTGTCTCGGTCGAGACAGTCCCCGCAAGCTAACGATAGCACAGCTGGGATCATACATACAACCATCTTCGAGAACTATGCCTTCCCCGGTGGGCTCATAATCGGAACCGATTCCCACACACCAAATGCCGGGGGTATGGGCATGCTGGGCATTGGTGTTGGCGGCTCTGATGCGGTGGACGCAATGGCCGGAATGCCGTGGGAGCTGATGTGAGTTCATGTAGATGGGCTACCGATCGTTTCAACTGACCATTGCAGGTCTCCGAAAGTCGTTGGAGTGCGACTGACCGGCAAATTGAGCGGATGGACGTCCACGAAAGATATCATCTGCAAATTAGCGGGTATCCTGACTGTTTCCGGTGGGAAAGGAAAGGTCATCGAGTTCTTCGGTACGGGCTGTGGCAGTCTCGGTGCGACTGCCATGGCTACGGTTTGCAACATGTCCGCTGAGATTGGTTCAACTTCTTGCATCTTTCCATACTCAGATTCCATGGGCCGGTACCTGTCGGCGACCAAGCGAGACGACATCGCGCGGGAGGCGAACAAATACAAGGACGTACTCCTCACGGCCGACGAAGGTTCTGAAGATCGCTACGATGACATTATTGAGATCAATCTCGACACCCTTGAACCACATGTCAACGGGCCATTCACCCCAGACCTATCGCACCCCGTCTCCCAGCTGAAGGGAGCTGTTCAAAAGAGTAACTGGCCTGTCAATATCAGCCACTCAATGGTGGGAAGTTGTACCAACAGCTCGTACGAAGATCTTTACAAGACTTCACAGCTTGTCGGCCAAGCCAAAGCAGCTGGCGTGCCGCGAGTGAAGACACCCTTTATGGTGTCACCAGGGAGTGAAGACATTCGAGCTACGGCGGAAGCAGAAGGCATACTACAAGCCCTACGAGATGCAGGTGCTGTGATCCTGAGCACCACCTGCGGCCCGTGTGTAGGCCAGTGGGATCGCACAGATGTCGACGTCAAAGGTCGTGAGCGCAACACTGTTGTGTCAAGTTTCAATCGCAATTTCGTTGCACGCCACGACGGCAACCCCGAGACATGTTCGTTCGTCACATCACCTGAAATGGTGACTGCTTTTGCGTATGCAGGTCGCATCGACTTCAACCCAATTAGCGATTCTATAGCGGTGGATGGAAAAGCATCTCAGCTACGCTTCACTGCCCCAACAAGCGTGGAGCTACCCGTCGCTTTCACGACTGGCGAAAACCTCTATCAAGCACCTGTTGAGAACGCAGGACATCTCTTAGTCAACATTGATCCACAATCCGACCGGCTGCAACTGCTACGGCCTTTTGATGCCTGGAAGACTGGTTCAGCACAAGACATGCCGGTGCTGATCAAAGTTGCCGGCAAATGTACCACTGACCATATTTCTCCCGCCGGACCATGGTATAAGTACAGGGGCCACCTAGAAAACATCAGCAACAACATGCTACTAGCAGCCTCCAACGCGTTCCTGCCCCCCGGCGACTCTAAGCTCTTAGGCTACACTATCCACCCACTCGACTCAACAACGGGCGTCATACACGAAGTTGCGCGCGACCTGCAAAACAGGAACGTCAAGTGGTGCATCATCGGCGACTGGAACTACGGCGAGGGCTCGTCGCGCGAGCACGCCGCACTTGAGCCACGCTATCTGGGTGGCATTGCCGTTGTTGCGCGCTCGTTCGCACGCATCCACGAGACGAACCTCAAGAAACAAGGCTTGCTGCCATTGACGTTTGCGGATCCTGCCGACTACGATAGGATCGCGCTGGGCGACCGTGTCACGCTTGTGGGAGTCGAGAGCGGCGAGATGCTGCCGGGGCAGCAGGTGGGGTTGAGGGTGGTGACTCGGGAGGGGGGCGCGTGGGAGGCGAGGCTGGATCACAGCTATAGCGAGCGGCAACTCAGGTGGTTGAGGGCTGGGAGCGCCCTCAATTACATCAAAGAAACGATTCTGGGAGAGTAGAACTGCGCTGTCGATCACGACGATCAAGAGATGAGAAGGCTCAACCTGCCCGAAAGAGTAATTCGTAAGACCGTGGATTACGGGACCTCGTGGAGTGAAAGCCCCTCTGCCCAATGAAGTCATGGGCCGCTGTGAGCCGAGGCATTTTACCCCAGCTTTCGAGAAGCTCCGCAAACTCCGCAATTCGACAGCCGTCGCCTTGATCGTGCTCGCCCATCCGACACTCCTGACACAGTCGCTCATTTCACACCGATTCAAGACGCCAGAAACCCACGATCCAAAATGCCCACCGCAGTGCCCAAGGTCCAGCAGGCAGCGCTCAGCAAAGAGCTCTCGGAGCCGCTTCCCGAACCGCCATCTTTCGAGGGCAAGCCGGGCGTTCGCAGCATAGCCGGCGACCTAGGTGACAAGTCTGAGTCCCCTTTGCGTCTGCCCCTCCGCCATTAACCCTCGTCAGACGCGTGAATGGCAAAGTCATCATCGTCACTGGCGCCAACTCCCTCATCGGCATCGGCCGCGCCAGCGCGCACCAATTCGCCCGCCACGGCGCCCGCGCCCTGTACCTCTGCGACTTCGACGCCTCGAACCTCGCTCTGCACAAGCGCGAGCTGGCCTCCCTGTACCCCAGCGTCGACGTGCACACGCGGCAATTCGACGCCGCGGACGAAGCCGCGGTGAAGGCCGTGTGCGACGACGCTGTGGCTGCGTACGGGCGGCTGGACGTGTTCTTCGCGAACGCGGGGATCAGCAGCGGCAAGGTGTTTTGGGAGGAGGACTCGGCGGGCTTCATGCGCATGATGCGGACGAACGCGCTGTCGGTGTTTCTGGCGGCCAAATATGGCAGTCTTGCGATGCGCAGGACGGGCGCTGAGAAGCCGTATCCGGGCGGGAGTATTATTGGCACGGCGTCGGTGGCGGGGCTGAAGAGCAATGCGGGGCCGACGGACTACTCGGCGAGCAAGGCCGCGGTCGTGAGTCTGATGCAGACGTGTGCGTATCAGCTGGTGGGCAGCGGGATTCGGTGCAATGCCGTCTGCCCGGGCTTGATTGAGACGGGCATGACGAAGATAACATACGACGCGGCGCGCGCAAGGGGGAGTGAGAAGAAGATTGGCCAGCTCAATCCGCTGAGGAGGGGCGGGCAGCCGGATGAAATTGCGCGGGCGGTGTTGTTTTTGGCGAGTGACGAGAGCAGCTATGTCAATGCCCAGGCGTGGGCTGTTGACGGTGGGCTGAGTGGTGGAATGCCATTTGTGCCTGGAAAGCTAGCTTAGCCGTCGAGCTTCAGGCGTTGACAACAAGCCGTGTGTTGGTCCTCTGTAGTATGTACACCCAGTGGTATACTTTCGGTCTATGCGTCACGGCGCCTTGATCCTCCTGCTCTTTGGCTTCAATCCGGTGCTTACTGACCATCGTCCACAAGAGCCTTGGGTCTGGCATGCCAGTGTCTGCCGTGCCCTCTTCTTTGTGCGTCGCTGCTTCGCCTTCCAGAAACGGATATCTTTCCGAAGAGTACGAGAGAGCTATCCATCTGGCACCAGGCTTCGTCGCAAGAGCTAGATGCACAGCCAAGAGTTGCAACGGGTGAGTCAAAACCTCCCTTGGCTTCGTGTCCACCATGTTGCTTGTCGATGTACGTCGTTTCAAAGTGACAGCGTACGGGAGCCGGCAAATTTGATCTTCACCACACGAGATAGCATCCGAGGTTGACTTATCGACAACAACAGAATACACACCACAGCCGCAGGTCTCAACAAGCGATGCATGGTCCAGAAGATCCACGGCATCCCATCTTGTGCAGGCACTCACATCGCCCCCCAACGCTTCCAATTCGCGCTCTTGTTCTGCATCGATAACGATCTTAGAGTAGTCCACGTTGTGCACCTGACGAGCATGTTGCACATGGGTCTTCAAATGCTGCGAGAGGAGCGACGATCCACAGCCGATGTGCAGGATCTGGGGTTGCTCTTCGCCCAAAGTGCTCAGTGCGTCGGCGATCAAGGAGTCCAGAGCGTCCGGGGCAGTGAGCCAGTCAAAAGGGACCGTGTTTGCGGTGAAGCGTTGGTCCCAGTAGTCGTGCGAACCAAAGTCGGGTACTTTAGCCTTGGGGGGCATGTGTATTGCGTTCCTGTGGTAGTTTTGCGGCAACCTCAGTCTGTTTATGAGTGATATAGCTATTCCAGGAGGCCTCCAAGTTGTTCCTGGTTGTTTGAGACGAACAGTGAATACAAAATGGGCCTACTTGATGATGCTGCAAGTGAAGAAAAAGTCAAGGTCGTGAACCCGCGAGAAGCCGAGTCGTTCACATCACAGGCATAGGAAAAGCAGGCAGAGACCCACAAAGGGCCGGGTCTATTCACGAATCAGCGAAGCCAGTTTCGCAGTCGACAACCGCCGCTGAAGTCCAGCAGCGGCGCCCGCCATCAGCACCGGCCCCTCGGCGCTTTTCCGCCGAACAGCCTCAATCTTCCCACCGGACCTCCGCAGCCCCAATCGCAGCACCGGCGGTGTCGCAGCTTCCCCCATGGCCTCGCTCCCGCGCCTCCTGCTGCCGCGCCAGCCCCTGCTGCGCCCAACGCGCCTCGCGCAATCGCACCGCCTCCTGCTGCTCCCCGCATCCGCCCGCCATGTCTCCAACGCGCGCCAGCTCTCCGCCGAGTTCGAGCGCCGCCGCGCCGCTGCCGCAAGCACAAAACAACACGTCATCCCCCAGCCCGACAAGTACCGCGCGCCGTCGCACGGCAAGACAATCCGCCGCTCCGATGCGGGCGTGGGCAAGGTGTACGGGCCCAAGCCGACCGAGGAGGATCGCAAGCGCATGGCGACGAAGAAGTACCCCAACATGATGAGTCCCGAGGGGACCTTTAGCCACTGGTTTCTGAACAACCGCGCGATCCACACGTGGATTACTATGGTGCGTTTCCGCCTGCGCTACCGGTCCTCTACGATGGAGGGAGGAGCGGAGCGACAGATGCGAGGCGCGCAGAGCTAACCGTGTGCGCAGGGCATCCTCGTCTCGCTCGCCGTAGCCGCATGGTACATGGACTTCATGGCCAAGACCGTCTACGCGGAGCTCGTGCCCGACCGCCGCGAGTTTTTGCGCCACCCTGTGCAGAGCACGAAGCGCTTCGTCGAGGTCTACAAGATGCATATGGCGCAGACGAGCCAGGTATACTCGGAACAGCGCCTGAAGAAGGCCGAGGATGTTGAGAAGCGGAAGCTGTACAGGCTGGAGAGGCAGCGGATGGCCGAGGAGATGGGCGAGGAGTATGTGACGGACTCGAGGTACTACATTGGCGAGGATGGAGTAAGAAGGCGGAGGGTCAAGAGGTGGTTCGGTATCTGGGAGTAGGTTGCCACCATCTAGACAGTGCCTGTGGGTCATGCAAGACAAATGACAACAGAGAAACGCGGAGAGGAGGACCATGTGTACGATAGGCGAGGGGTGGAGGAGGATGACCTGGCATGGTGCGTGGGCGCTCATCCTGGAAGCAAGAGATCGACAAATGGACAACTGGAGACTCTACAGTCGCAGTGTGTGTCAGAGGAACGCAAGCAGATGATAGAACCAGGCCACCTTCTGAAGCCCAAGGTTGCAAGTCATGTACAGAAACATGTATACGTATATATACCACCCAACAAGAACAGCACTTCTTCCATCAATTATAAACTCCCGCCACCCAACTCTTCCTGCTTTCTCTGCTATCCCTGCCCTCCCAGAGAATGTCCACTTGATGCGGGTCGCCGTTCTTGCCCTCTCGGTAGCTGTACTGGATCTTCTTGAACAGCAGTTTGGGGTGATTCTTGATCTCATCTCCACTCATATTCATCCCTCCGCCATCCTTCCCAATGCGGCCAACGACGGGACTCAACAGCATCGCCATGCTGAAGAAGCTCTCGTCGCGCACGATTGTGCGATTGGCAAAGACGAGCAGGCAGCACAGCGCAGCCAGCTGAATACCGCATATTCCCCCCAAGATACTCAGGATGTATGACCAATCGACGCCGAGGGACTGGCCTGGTGTCGGGACGACGGTCTGGTGGCTCACGTTGTATCGGAGGCCGTGGTCGTCGAACGCGGCGATTGCGCCAATCGTGAAGCGCATTAGGATGTCTTGCACCTCAGATGCGTTGACAGGATGCGCTGGCGACCATTTTGAGCCCTGCGTGTACGTCCGATACTGTACGTGCTCCCAGCCTCTTGTGGGCAGGCCGGTCCATCCCAAGGCCCCAGAGGCAACTTGCGCCCACAAGTTGTTGCCAAAGACAACTTTGCTGTCTTCATCATTGATAATGGTTATGTCGTGCTTGTTATTGCCTTTCTCAATGTGACCGACGGCGCTTTCGCAGAGGAATAGTGACGGCTTCGTGATGTTCGACGTGGCGTCACTAAGGTTTGCTTGCAGAACAGTAAAGTTCGTACAGCGTGTACCGCACGCGCCGGTAGCATCGGCTATCCAAGTGAGAGCCCCGCCGGCGAACTCAGGGAAGTAGTATTTGGTCCAGTGCTCCTCGCCGGATCGTTTGCCCTCGACAGAGTACTCGGACTCAGTACTCACCAAAACCTGGTCACGGATCTCAACTTCCTCACAGGTTGCATTGGCATAGACGCTACGATTGCTCAGAATGTAGTCAGAGTACTGATGAACCGGGTTGCGGTTGAAGAAGCGATACTCGTAGGCTGTCTCGTGCTTGTACAAAGGCGTACCCGCGAGTATCGAAAGATCATCTTGTGTGTCGTTTGGGGCGAACTGCGGGTAGACAATAGCCTCCATACCGTACATCCATGCCGCTTCCAGATCCAGTGAGGTGATGTTCTCCTTGCTACCAGGGTCCCATTTCGTCAGATCCGCGACGGTGACGTTGCCGTATGTAAGAAGCGGCATCTTCGACGGGTCCATAGGATAAAAGAGACTCGAAACGGCGACAAGGACCTGCGAGCCAACGTTTATCCCAAGCCAGATGAGACACACGAGCCATGTCCACTTTGTCTCATCTTGTCGCGCGTTTCTGAACCACCTCAGTTTCCGCAAGTACTTTTGGCGCCGGACTAATGGAAGGGAAATGACCATCAGTTTGACGACGTTGCTCAGTCGTTCCAGCCCGAGAATTAGATCGAAAGCTTCCAGCGACACGTAACGTCGGCTCAACAGGGACCAGCGCAGGATGCCCGCATAATTCTGCAGACTTGCAAGAAGATTGAGACCCAAGCAGAGGGAAAGTCCAATCATTATGGCGTTGAAAATCCTGACATCTATCTTGGAAAGGACAACAGGCTCGCTGAATCCTTCCCATGCCTTCAGTGCAATACACATCAACGCGCTGAAGAGGATCGTAACTAAAAGTTTGACGCCTCCCACTTTGAACAAGTACTTTCGCGCCTGATTGTGATCAAAATGCTTGGTATGAGGATGACGGCTGTGATGGCTTAGCAGAGATATGTTGTCTGCGGCGTGCTTGCCCAGGGGTCCGTTGAGCGACATGTAAGATCCACTCTTATCGCCACGAGAAAATGCGTCGGGTGATGTTAGGGGCGAAGCGTAAATGTTCTCCATCGCGATGTTCCCAGCGTTGTAGTTGTCCTGGCCATCATACGGTGCGGCCTGTGTGGTTGGAGAAGGGGGTGGTGGACTCTCTGATACTGTGCGTGGCGATGAAAGGTTCGGTCCTTGGGTCATCAGGGCGGCCATGCCAGCACTACGTTCGTAACGGCCCATGAGGGGCAGATTAATGTGCAGACCTTTGGGGCCGCAACGAGGTGGGACAGTTGTCTGCAAGCTTTCCGTTCAAGGTCCAGAGGCCATACACATCGCAAGACGAAAAACGCAAGATACCAAGTTGGTTGGACTGATGCGCAAAGTGACCAGAAATAAACGACTTCAATGTTCCGATAGTAGAGCAGAGTCTTGTTATGTATTGCCCTGCCGCTGCTGCACACTATTTGCCGATGGCCGGGATCGTGGGGGCCAAATAAGTGGCTGCGAGGGCTGAAGCTTGCATGGTGAAGCGATAGACAGCCAACGCAATCTTCTCAGAACGGCGGTTCAGAAAAGTTGGCGATACAACGTCAGCTAAAGAGATCTATGGACTGTCAGGCTTGAGCGTCAAGCTCTACACCTTTCCTGCGAGAGGACGGACGCCCCGTCTTCAACAATTCTGCAACAGCATGCGATCGTCAACAGGTGCTAAATTCGAGGCTGAAGTGTCGTCTGGCAAGCCACCGGCACAGCCTATTCGCTTGTGCTGGTCAGGCCTGCAGCTGTGGTGCCGTTATCAGGCTAGATCAAATAGACAATTTGGGGGCTGAAAACTGCAGCCGAGCGCCAACACCCAGTGCATTGTTATCGCGGGACGTAGCCTATGGGGCAGCATGTGGACTGCGTGAACATAAACGTACTGACTAATCCACGTGTACGTCTTGAATGCGCATCGAGGTGACAGTGTCGTGGATAGAATTTTTGCAGATGTATCGCAGAGGTTGCAGTGCAGTGAAGTGAAGCGGTGCACGAACCTTCAAACGAAGTTCCGGCTGTCCACTCCTAAAGACTACAACTTGGGCTCAATGCATATCTTCGGCTCCCCGAATGAATAGTGAACGGTGTTCGGTCACGTGATTTCGCGTTTCACAGGTCGTCTGTCCAATCAGATTCCTAGATGTGCGAGGTGACTGTAGCATGATGATGTAGTCTACGCATGGCCGTATACCGTGTGGACCCTCCATCTCACCGCCTACGTTTCACCGGGCTGACAAATTTTAGGCTATTAGGTAGCAGTTCTGCGTCTCTATAAATCCTGCAGTCGTTACAAAGATCATTTCCAGAACAACAACTCATCATGTCCTCTCAGACGATTTTCTATGACCTGCCCTCCCAGCAGGGTACTGCATGGTCACTCAATCCCTGGAAAAGTTAGTAAAAAATATGTTCATGTTGGAATGGTGCTAATTGTGTAAGCGCGTTTGGTTTTGAACTACAAGGGCATCGACTACCGAACGGAGTGGGTAGAGTTCCCAGATGTCGAGCCTAAAATGAAGTCATTGTAAGTGAAAAACGCTCCGCACAGTATGAAAGACTACTAACAGCACCCAGGGGTCTAGCACCGAATACCAAAGGTTCCCCTGGATACTTCACCGACTACAGCATCCCGGCTATCACGTACGAAGATGGCACTTCCCAGATGGATTCTTGGCCCATTGCAAATGAGCTTGAGAAGCGTTACCCAAGCCCTTCCCTCCATCTAGACAATCCAGTGACCATCACAATCCGCGACCACATCTCCGCAATCATTGGTCCAATCATTCTGCAATTCCTGTCCAAAATCCCCACTCTGCTGCCTGAAAGGTCGCAGGAGTATTTCTACAAGACACGCGAAGCAGAATTCGGCAAGCCCCTCTCAGAAGTTCACAAGGAAGCAATGGTGAACGCGGAAGAAGGATGGAAGCAGGCGCAGGAGGCAATGAAGGAGGTAGCTGACCTGCTGAAGAAGCACGACGGGCCCTTCTTCCTAGGCCAGAGCGTGTCATACGCGGATTTCATCTTCGTCGCAATGCTGTATTTCGTCAAGAGTCTCGATGAGCAGGTGTTCCAGAAGTTGCTGTCTATGGATCCGGTCCTTCCAGAACTCTACCAAGCATCAGAGCAGTGGTTCACTAAGAACGACTGAGTGCTCGCTCAATATGTTGTTAATTCGTTTCTATGCGAGACGTCAGTCAGGTTGACAATTGCGACGATGGAGACTCACGGGTTGAGAAAATTGAGACGTTTCTGCCAGAATTCAGTCGTGTTGATGATTTCGACAGCCTTCCTGAGCACTTCTCGATCCGCTTCGAAGTGCAACTTCTGAACCGCATCGTCGGCTGTGAAAAACTCGGGCTTGAACTGCTCTTCTCCCGCCCCTCTTCGGCTATACGCATCATGCGCCAGTACTGCAATATACCACCAGATCAGCTTGGTCCCGTTCCCCTTGGGCAGCTCCCTGACCGTGCACATAAATGGTTCAGTGATGTCTATCTGGGTTCGAGCTTCGTCGGGAACGTCAGGAGGGTCATCCGGGGCACATGCTCTCGTCGGCATTGTAACCGGTAGCAGTCGACATTGGAGGCCTGTCTCTTCTGCCACTTCCCGCAACGCGGCTTCCTTTCGCGACTCGCCAATATTCCGTCTTCCTTTGGGCAGCATCCACTCGTTTTTGCTGCGAAGGTTGACCAAGCAGACTTTGGCGTTTGCTGGTTTCGATGAAATGAACAGCACTGCGCCGCAGCTCTCGACGAATTGCTCGGATGCGTATTGCCGTGTCACGAAGTCCGACTCAGCCATGCTGCGTTGTAGTGTGTTTTCGATGATGGTTCCAGGTGTTCGACGTCCCCTCATCGCGTGTTCACGTGCAGCTTATTGGCCAGGGTTCCAAGGCTATTCCCGCACATCATGTCCAGCTGTATCTCCTCACCCTTCGTATGTCAGGAAAACGGTATTGGAACTGAAAATCGCCCTTGCGGCTCATGATAGCATTGTATTTCCGTGCAATTTCCGCACATTGCTGATCGACGACGCGTTCCGGCGCGATGTTGGCGCATAACCCTATGATATCATCATCTGAATTGCGGACGAGTGTCCGCCAAACGTCGCCATGACGGTGCTTGAAGTGCTTCAGTAACATCTCCGCATCTGCACTCTTTGGCTCCATTCGGTGTCATAATGTTCGCCTCCGCTACTCAATCCCTTCGCGCAAGCACAGCAGCGGTCAGACTTTCACAAGTTACGCGGCAATTCTCTACATCCTCCAGAATGTCTCACAATGGAACCTTACTCACGCTCAACACGGGCGCAAAAATTCCAGCCATTGGCTTTGGTACCTGGCAGGATAAGGATGCCCAGGAACCGTGAGATCTGCCATAACATACAGGCAGACCAGCTGCTAACTCTTTCGTAGAGCCGTCACACACGCGCTTAAGGCCGGCTACCGCCACATCGACACAGCCCGCATCTACGGCACCGAGCCCGCAGTCGGCAATGCGATCAAGAAGTCTGGCATTGCTCGTGACCAAATCTTCCTAACGACCAAGCTCTGGAACAACTCGCATCACCCCGACGATGTGGAGGCGGCCCTCGATGCCTCGCTCAAAGATCTTGGCACCGACTACGTCGACCTGTACCTAATGCACTGGCCATCCCCGTTCGCGCGCGGCTCGGAGGTGTTCCCAAAGGACGAGAACGGCAAGACCAAGACCGGCGATACGGACTACGTTGATACGTACAAGGCGATGGAGAAGTGCTTCAAGTCGGGCAAGGCGCTCGCAATCGGCGTGTCCAATTTCAGCCGTGCTGAGCTTGAGCGCCTGGTCAAGGAATCAAGTGTGGTCCCCGCCGCGCACCAGATCGAGTGCCACCCGTACCTGCAGCAACGCGACTTCACAGCGTGGCACAAGCAGCAAGGCATCCATGTGACCCATTATTCGCCATTTGGCAACCAGAACGAGATCTACGACGCCGGCAAGGGGATTGGGAAGCTGATGGATGATCCCGTGCTCGTCGAGATTGGCAAGAAGCACAGCAAGAGCGGTGCGCATGTAGCGCTCGCATGGGGCATTGCGCAGGGGCATAGTGTGATTCCCAAGTCGAAGACGGAGAGCAGGATTGTACACAATCTGGAGGGCGACTTCAAGTTGCCGAAGGACGATATTGAAAAAATTGCCAGCATTGACAAAAAGATGCGGTTCAATGATCCGTCGAAGAACTTTGGGTGGGACTTCTACAAGGATCTTGACGGCAAGAGAAACTAATCGAGTGCTGTCACGTAGGTATCAATGAAATGCAGCTGTATGCACATCACCAACAGCTCTTGCAACCTCTCCATGTCATATCGCGGCCCCAAGCTTACATGCTGTCGAAACAGAAGTTTCCAGCCTCGAGAACGAGACCAGAAAAGAATTCATAGAGGCACAAAAGAGATTCGGTAACGCAAAGTAGGGAAAGTAATGGCTCCAAAACAGCAATGGATGGGTGATGTAGGTGAGACGACCTGCACGCGAAGTTAGCTCCGCTCTGCCCCTCCACGCGCAGCGCGGGGCAACACCACCCTGAACTTTCCACCACCGCATCACCACAAACCGCCACAATGTTCAAGAAAGAGTAAGCCCCACCCCAACACGGCCGCCGCCGCCTCTAACTCACCGGGCAGCATCACCGCGGGCGCGAAGTCGAAAGTAAAGTCGAGCGTCGCACGTGCAATCCGCACCAAAGTGCTCGAAACCTACCCGCTCCTCGAGCCCCACATCGAAGACATCCTGCCCAAGAAAGAGCAACTCGACCTCGTCAAGCTGCCCGACCGCGTCGCACTGTACACCCTGCATGGCACCCCGTTGTTCTTCCAGCACATGGACGACGCGCTGCTGCCGCACCTGGCGCTCGTGCACAAGTACCCCACCGCGTTCCACCGGCTGCGTATCGACCGCGGCGCCATCCGGTTCGTGCTGTCGGGCGCTGCGCTAATGGCGCCCGGTATGACGTCGCCTGGGGGCAGGCTTCCGAGTGAGGAGCTGTCCGCGGAGGACCAGGAGAGGTATGGCAAGGTGGATTTGGAGGCGGGGACGCCGGTGGTGGTAGAGAGCGAGGGGAAGGAAACTGCGTGTATGGTGGGCGTATTGAAGATGGGGACGGCGGAGATGCGGGAGAAGAAGAAGGGGCAGGCGTGTGAGGCGGGGCATTATTTGGGCGATGGGCTGTGGACGCTTGCGTTGTGAGGGACTGCGGGGAGCGTGGCGTTGATCGGGGAGTATGCTCTCAAGGCTTGAATATGTGGACCTGAGGGACAAGCGTGCATAACTAAATACGAGGAAAACTGCATAGCGATAACGATGAGTTGAACATAAACATGGTATCATTATCTTTGGGGGCAGAACGACTAATGCATGTGTGAGTAGGCACAAGACTCATCCAACTCGACTGTTGTGTGGTGGTACAGAGGCGCTGCGAAATTGACCACGCCACTACTGTGGGGGGCCTCCGCGACCAGCTCCTCCCATGAAGTTGCGGGCCATCTCAGCGATGTTGGGGTCGTTCATAAGGCTTGCGAGGTCGGGCATGCCGCCGCCAGCTCCACGTCCAGCGCCAGCGCCAGCACCAGCGCCAGCACCAGCACCAGCACCAGCACCTCCACCGCCGCCACCAAACTGCTGGGCCATCTCAGCTAACCTGGGGTTGCTCATGAGGTTGTTCATCATGTCGGGGTTGCTCATCAGGTTCTGCGCCATCTGCCTCATCATAGGGTTCTGCATGAGGCCAGCAAGGTCAGGCATACCGCCACCGCCACCACCGCCGCCGAGCATGCCAGCGAGCGCAGACAGGTCGGGCATGCCGCCTGCACCAGCGCCGGGCGCGCCTCGCGAGGCCTCAGGAGCGCCAACATCACCACCCTCCTCCTCGTACTTCTTCTTCGCGGTCTCGTAGCCCTTGCGCATGACTTCTGAGCCGCCGCCCTCGGCGTCCATGCCCGCCTTGTATGCCTCCATGGCGCCCTGTGCGTCACCGAGAACGTACTTTGCGAGGCCAAGGCGCGACCACGCCTTGGAGTAGTTGGGATCAGCAGCGACAGCCATCTCGGCGTCCTCCTTGGCCAGCTCGTGCTTGCCCATGCCCGAGTGTGCGGCGGCGCGGTTCGAGAGGTAGATGGGGTTGAGAGGGATAACGTCGAGCGCGGCAGAGTAGTGCTTGACGGCGGAGGTGTAGTCCTTCTTCTTCATCGCCTCGTTGCCAAGGCCCTTCAGGCGCTCTGCCTCGTCCTTGTTCGGCCCGCCAGGCCCCGATGCGGTGGTGGAGGCTGTCTGGGGGGTCGCAGGGCGGGCTTCAGTGGCAGACGAGCTGCCTTCTGTCGAGGCAGTGGTCTTGCCCTTCAGCTTCTCGTAGACGTTGTAGATAGAGAGCAGGTTCTGGCCGCCGAGGGCGTCCTTCTTTGCGGCCGCATCATCGACATCAACCTCGAAGGCTTCGGCGATGCAGTTGGCGGCGACCTCGAGCTGCTCGGCGTTGTCTGGTGTCACCGAGCCGTCGGTCTGCGAGGTCTGGAGGAAGTCGAGGATTGCGAGCGCAAGGCGCTTCTTGGACTGCTGGGGGGATGCCTTGGGGATGTTAGCAATATTTACGTAGCGGGTGGCGGGGCAGCAGCGTACCATTTCGGCGATTGAGCTTTCGGTAGGGAGGGCTGGCAAGCTTCGGCGACTGTTGATTTCAACACGCTACGTTGCTGAATTCGAACACGGTAAAGTGCAGCGTGATGGGTGCTGCAGGTTGGGGTAGTATGCTTGCGGACTCGAAGCTTCGATAGCGGGGCGTATCAACCGTGCGGGTGCATGCACTAGCTTCCACGTGGGAACTGCACTTACGAAGTACACCAGGCTTGTGAGAAGGCAGCCAGATGGGAAGAATTTGGCGGAAATTGTGCCGTACAACTGCGCCGTTCATGCATCATGCTACATATCTACAATTACATCTCAAATACAATATGTTGGTGAGAGGGTGTCTCCAGCGACGGCCTACTCATCTTCGCTCAGCCCTTCCCACAGCGGCTTCTGCTTCTCCGCAGGCCACAGCGACTTGAACCAGGACTTGTCCGATGAACTGTCGACAGTCTTTGCGCGGTCTTCTGCCTCCGCCTCCAGCACAAATCGCTTCATGCGTTCGGCAATGCGGGGGTCGAGAACCATGTCGTCCAACCACACGCGCTCCTTGCCGTTGTCGTCCTTGCGGTCGCGGGCAGACTTGTGCCAGTCTGGCTCCTCGTATGCAAGTACTTGCTGCTGTTCCCACTGCGCGCTGCTGTCGTTGTCGCTAGGCGCCTCTCCGGCTGCTTCAAAGGGACGGTAAGCGCCGAGAACAGCCGCGGCGGTTTCTCTGCCGACCTCTTCTGCGACCTTGCGTTTGTTCAAGTAGCGGTAGATGCGGATGGGGAAGTTCCAGAAACCGAGAAGATGGGGGAGAGATACGATGGCGGTAGGGCCAAGGGAGCGGGGACATGTTGGAGCAACGGCAGAGTGCTCGTAGTCGGCGGTCGTGTTGAAGGGTGCAGGCTGCTTCTTCTTCTTGTCCTTCTTCTCCTCCTCTTTCGATTTCTCGACCTCTTCTGTCTTAGCTTCGGGGATGGCAGTGGGCGATGCGTCATCAGTGGTCGATGAGCGAACGGTTGTAGCAGCGGCTGCTAGAGCGTCCGGTGCGGTCTCGGTTGGTGCAGGCATGGGTGCTGGCACTGGTTCGACAGCAGGAGTCGCCAGCTCAGCGGGTAACTCAGCTGGCGCAGGAGGATCGAGAGGCCCAAGCCAGCCCTCGTGAAGACCCCTGACATACTCCTTCCATGTGTGTCTCCCAACAACAATGTCTCCAGCAGGGCCGTTCCAGTCTCTTACGCCAGATCTCTGTCTCAGTCCTTCCACGTCGTCTTCTGTACCGAGTTCGATAGGCTCGTTGATCTTCTCGCCCCTCTTGTATCTCAGCTTCCGTATCCGCTCAGCCAGTCCGGCTCTGACGTCTCCTTCCCTCCGTCCTTCGACCGCGTCCCAGTCAAGCGCAGCGGCCACCAATATCGGTTTGATGTACTCTGTGAAGTGTTCGCGCGCAGTCACCAAACCATCAGCTGGTGGCGCAGAGATGTAGACAGAGAGTTTTCGTGGTAGCTGTTGTGCGTCCAGAGGCTCTTTCGCAATGTGCTCCACCAGCCGTGCGTACTTCCTGTGGATGCGCCTCTTCTCATAGCGGTCGTATTGGACTGTGGCGGTCCATGTTCCAACAACGCCCCAGAATATACACCAATTTCGTGAAGGAAGCTTCATGCGAATGTTGGGAAGCCCTGCGCGCAATTAGTAGATGACCAGGCAGACGTAGTTGCTGGTGCGCACCCATCATCCTGAACACAGGATTCTGCGGCTTGGGGGCCTTTGCTGGCCCAGCGGACGCGCCGCTAGCCATCTCACCCTTCGTATCTGGTTCAGCCATGTTGTGTGTTGGCTGTCGTGTTGATGCGGGCGACCCAAAACTTTCGAAGATCCCGGGCGTCGGCGAACTCGATGCGGAAAAGCCCCAAACGGGCTAGGCACCATAACAGAGAGCAGCAATCGATGCTATCGTCTAGCGAGATGCCCCGCAGCTTCGAGACAGAATGCGATACTTGGTGAGCATGATTTGAGTTGATGGTTCCGACTCGCTGTTTACAATTTAGTATCAGTACAATGTATTTTTGGGAAAGCTCATCGAAATCAAAGATCGGTGGTATGGTGTAAGTTCAACTCATCCAACCATCGCACTCGCAGCGTCTAACAGCTCTCTAGCTAGTGGTATGACGTCGCGTTGTGGCTGGCGAACTCTAAGAGTTCCGATCCAGATCCGCGCCAGCCCGTGTTCGATTCACGGTACCGCCAATATGTGCGACATTACTTTTTGCAGGTTCTTGCAAGTTTGAGCGATCAAGTATGCTCACGTATAATGGCAGCATGTTTTTGCTTGTGCAAATGGTTGAACAGCTGTGATTTCTGCCTGCTGTGCTTTGCAACAGAAATTCATATTTCAGTGAAACTTTCACCAACGTCTCTCGGAGCAAGATTTTATCCATGCACCATAAGCCTCCTGGACATAGCTTGGTTTGCATATTAGCATGCTAATCACTGCCGATCAGACCATGTGAACGTCAAGTGTGCATCGTAACATCGTTCATAGTATCCAGGTCCACATGTTGCAAAGGGATGAGCAATCGAGATCAGGTAGTTCAGAGGATACCTTCTTATCGATTGATGAGCCGCTAGCGCGGATTCAGCGAGAAATGTCAAAGTAGTTTTGATTGGGGCTCCTTCGTACTAATTCAAGTTGTCGTCCTCTCACATATGTCTACACTTCCTCCACACGAGTAGCGCCCTTCTCACTGTGCGTTGTGTCTCCATGCATCGCTGCCTTGATTGCCTCTGTTTCAAGGTTCATGCTCAACCCAATCTCCCTCCTTGCCTCTGCCAGCATAACCGCATCTTCCTGACCCGTGCGGCTACCAAAGACCTTGTCCATATCCTCAAGAGTCGCGCCCTTGGTCTCTGGTAGACAGAAGTGCACCCAAACCATGCCAGCGGCAAGGAAGACAGCGAAGAAGATGTACGTGCCCCAGGTCCAAGCCTTGAGCATAGGTGGAACGAAGAACGCAACCGCGAAGTTGTTAAGCCAGTTACTCGAGGCACCGATCGAAGCTCCCTTGGAGCGAATAGACAGCGGAAAAATTTCGCTAACCAGTGTCCAGGAGCAAGGTCCCCATGTGGCGCCAAAAGCGGCAATGTAGACCCAGATGAAGGCAACTACAGTCCAGCCAACGTTGCTGTGAGTGACCCAGTCGTGCTGGAATTTGGCGACCAGGATGCCGGCGAGCACCATGGATACCAACATCACTGCGGAGCCGACTTGCAACATGGGCTTGCGGCCGACCTTGTCGATGATGGCCATGGCAGGGAGAGTGCTGACGAAGAAGACCACGCCGGTAACGCCGGTGGCGAGCAGGGCCTGTGTGCCTCCGGTAAGGCCAACGGATTCGAAGACGTTGGAAGCGTAGTAGATGATGGCATCAATACTGCGCTCTGTTAGTACACTTAAAGCCAAAATCATGGAAAAGACTTACCCGCTCCACTGCTGGAAGAACATGACAAGCCAGGCGGTGGAGACACGCTTGAAGTTATCACAGGTGCGGAAGATCTGGTAGTACTGCGCGAACTCGCGGGCCCATACACTTCCTTCTTCCTTGGCAGCGAGGTTGGGGAAGTTCTTCTGGAAGGAACGGCGCTCGAAGAGACATTCAGCCTTAATCTCGAGGAATTCGACCTGGACTAGCTCGTGGTTCTGAGGGAGCTTGCGGAGGTACGAAAGTGTCTTGAGGCCCTCCTCGTCGCGGCCCTTCTTGATGAGCCAGCGAGGGGAGAATGGCAGCCACCAGATACCGATGGCCAAGATGGCCGCGGGAATGCCCTGGATAATGGAGGGAAGCATCCATGCCATATTGCTCTGGCCTTCGCCGATGCCGCCGATGTAGTTCGAGCCGTAGCCGATCCAAAACGAAAGCATGATGCCGAGAATGGTAGCGAATTGATAGAATGAGACGATCAGACCACGGATCTCAGGGGGTGCAATCTCAGCGTTGTAGAGAGGGCCGACACCAGAGAAGGTGCCGACACCAATGCCGGTAAAGAAGCGGCCAGCGTACAGCATTGCAGGGTTGTGGTGGGAGGCTCCGATGTAGAGATAGGATCCAAGCACGACCCAGCAGCAGGCACTGAACATGGTGTACTTGCGAGAAAAAACCTCGCCAAACACACCTGCTGAGAGGGAACCGAGAATACCTCCGAGCTGCAAGATCGATGTGAGCCAGCCGGTGGCAGAGGCTGACTGGACGACGGAAGGGAAGTTGTCCTTGAAGCGGGTCATGACCAGCGACTGGCCCAAGACACCCTGCTGGTAGCCATATTCGAAACCACCGAAGCTGCGCAAAGTCAATAAAAAGATCCCAAAAATAAACAGAGAGGCCTTACGAGGCGAAAAAGGCAATGATCAGAATCTTGGGGTTGCTGAAGAGAGTCTGCCAGCGGTTCTTGAAAGCAGCGTCGGTGCGAACCCGAGCAGAAGTAACCGAGGCGCTACGAACAGCGTCCATGATGCCAAAGGTCTCTTGAGAAAGCCTATAACAACGATCGTACAGACAGATGAGCTTTCAAACAAGGGATCGCCACCTTCATATATGCACTGCTCGCACGACATCTGCGGTCCATGCATCTTGACTAAGTTTGACGATCCCTCGTCTGACTCGCATACTAGCATCTGTGTGGAGATGCGGGCCCCCGGATTCAACCCCAGCGTCAAAATCTGCTCCAACTGTTTGTCAATGTTCCGAGCAGGATGCCTCTGTGCCGATGAGAGGTTACATCGACATCAACATAGACGCGGAGTAGTCGCGGAGGCACCCGACCGCTAACCGCAGCTGTGCTAGAAGAGCCGCGAATTACCCGATCGAGCGGAGCAAAGGGATGCTCTCCGCTTGTGTGCCGTCAGCTGGTGGTGGTTAAATTTTCTAGTTCGGTGGAGATGTTGGGGTTGGTGAAGCGCTTAGTATGTTTTCGGGCATGTAGCCGAGAGCCCAGTGCTTACACGAACCGCTTCGAGCACGACATCCTTGACATTGAATTGCAGTGGCTTGATGCATCATCCTGTGAGAGCATGCAACAGTACGTAAGGTAATACTACGCGCTGCGAAGGTGCTGAAAGCTGCGGAGCGTTCCAAGTGGGAAGGCTTGTCTTCGAGTGCGGCCAATGTGCTTCAAGACCATGGCGCATTTGTACGCTGTACAGTCTTACACGCCAACACGAAGTACACAGAGAAGCTCATGGGGAGGAGGCTAAGATTGCTTGTTGCAGACATGTCCCTCCACGGAGATCGGCATGGACGCTGACTAAATTTCTACACCGGACCATCACCAACCTCCACATCGCACTATCGTCTCGCCTCCACACACATGAATCAAGGTAATGAGCCGCATTGCTATGACGTAAAGTACAGTTTCAACGTACCAGACGTTTAGCACACAGATCTAGATTGCATCGTGGGTTGAAGAAAAAATCGATACGAACAGGCCAAGTGACCAGTCAAAGTACCTAGTAGCAATAGGTACCGGCGTTGGACATTGGCGAAACATGTATCCATGCACATGGACTCCAGCCGACGAGTCGCTGGCGATGTCCTTTTCGCGCTGACAATCATCTTGGAAGATGACAGCGTTGCTAGAGAGGAATATGAAGCTTTGATAACGACCGTTCGTCTGGGTCATACACTCCCGGATCGCTGGCAACTGGCGTACTCCACACCTGCATATTCCAATATTTTCATGTTCCCTGTTGCGGATCACTGCTATGCCGGAGGGAGCAGGAGGCAGGTGTCCTCGCGCTTATTTCGTATTCAGTCGTTGAGGGCCACTTTATATCATATAGGTATTGATTCCCATCAGCTGTGTGAACGGAGGTTTCGTACCTGATGCGATCATCATTCTAACCATTTGTTTCTTCAAACGAACTGGCTGCAGAAGACTGGCTTTTAAGAAAAGTGTATGCTTGGACTCAAAATGTTGTCCAGGACAGAGCTCCTTGACTACTGACCTTGCGACGGCCAGACTCAGTGCAGAAGATGCACAGAGATATGCAGCGACATATCGCCCTCTAACAGCACCCCAACGCTAACTGGCAGATGGGTGCTCTCATGCAGCCCTTTTCCACTGTGTGCCAACAGTGACTGGCGCATCTGGCCACCAGCGGTGACGGTTCCTCTCGACCCTAGCAAGACTGGGCACTACCACCGCATTGGTTCACTTCTTAACTGATCGGGTTCCTACTGGCGCCGCTGTACAACCTGGAGCTCCAGGATTCCGACGCAGACAGATCTGACACCAAGAATCTCGCTGCATATCCCCATTTTGGTGTGGAGGGTATCAGAAAGCAGAGAAGCACTTCGTTCCTGTATCCAAGCTATTGTCACCCATTCTGACGCTCAGAAATCGCAGAACAGGTAGTCGAGACCCTGCCCTAGGCTTGACAATCGCGCACCATCCTGACGTGATAGATATTTCCAGGAACAAAGCAAGTACATGGCACTCCAAGAGCCAGTAATCCTTGAGGCGGAACTGCCAGCAACTACTCTATTGTCCAGCATAGACGTCATGCAACTCTATTGTCCAGCATGGACGTTATGCAACACGGCACTCCCAACTCTACCATCTCATCGCATCATTCCTGCGGCCTTCAATACGTCAGAATCCTCGTCGCCAAAGAACTCGGCACAATTATGTTGACCTGCAGCTCACAGACAGCTCAACTAAAGACGCTGTAAGGGCATACAGCCTGACTGCGAAGCATGTGCTGTGTGTTGCGGCTGGAGTGGACAATATGTCTGGATGCCTCCCAAGCTAGAGCCCACGGTCTCCGTGCTCTACCGCTACATGACACTGGGATCCTGCTCTGGGATCCCGCTGTCGCTACGCCGTGGACATGCGCTTGGGCATCAGCTGGGCGAGTAGTGTGGCTGCTTGGGCATGCGGTCACCTGACGTTGTTCCTGCTGCAGGTACATGTACGGGGATATTGAAGGAGGATGAGAGATTAGTAGTCTGGGTGGTGGATGCACCGAACCCACCGTGACGTTTGATCAGTGTCGTGTGTCAATCTCGTAAATCAGTCTCTTCCTTCACGCCCGTGACGTCGTGGGTGAGCACTGAGCCTGCGCTGTCTCGGCATCACAACAAAGGCAGGGTCTCACACAAGGATGGCCGGCAGTCAAACAGCCCCGAGTCAGTGCCGCGTAGGGCAATAGGTATTGTGATTACGGACGGGAAGTGTACATTGGCCAGGTGAGTCGACTCAGCTTGCAGGCGAGGTCGGTGCAGGCTGCAGGGCGCGGAGATCGGTGGGTGCCAGGCCATCGTGAATGGGTTCCTTGCGCGGTGAAGACGCTGCAGCTTAGTACGTAGTCGGCGCGCTGGTATAGGGGCTCGAGCATGCCTGCGGCGATCATGAGACCGCTGGGTGCAGTGCAAGTGCATTGTCTGTGGCGAGCGGCGCTAGGCGCGCAACGAGTAGCGTGCTTTCGCCACCAACGACGACTGGAGAGGCAGCGCTGGAGGCAGGGCGTGCACCGCTAGGCAGGCGACTGGCAACAGGCGACGCACGCCGTACCGCTACCTCTCCGCAGCGAGCATAGACACATAGACACACTGCGCAGCGTCCGTTTGCTGTTCGAGTGCCCGATTCCTGCCTGTCCTGGACTGCTGCAATCGCTGCTTCTTATCGCGATCCCTGCGCCACACGATCGCTTCGACTCGCAGCGCTGATCGGCTCGACGGACCGCGGAGCTGGCGCAGAGCATATAGGCCATGGTGCGCCCCAACCCGCTGCTGCCAGCCCAGCACACGATGAGCGCGCAGCCGGTGGTGGTCAACGCCCCCGCGGCGCCGGAGCGCATGAGCTCGAGCTCCACGTCGGGGTCGTCCGACTCGGAGTACGCGCTCGACACGGGCGGCAGCCGCAGCCACGGCAGCCTGGGGCTTGGCGGCGTGGCCGTGGACGAGGGCCAGTATCAGTTTGCACCGCCCGTGCAGCCGATGAGCAGCGCGGCCGACGAGGTGCCTCCGCTGCCGTACAGCTACAGCACGCAGCACCCGACGGGCTCGCGCAGCATCCGCATCATGACGAGCGACCTGCCGCCCGGCACCGTCCACGGCCACAGCGGCCACAGCGCGCACAGCAACCCGCGCACGCCACGCCCCGGCGCGGTGCGCATGCCGTCCAACGCCTACAACCCCGCGCGGCGGCCGCAGCAGTTCTCGCTGGCCAGCAGCCACCGCGGGCGCACCAGCTCGGCCACGCGCTCGCGCCGCAACCCCAACGCCGACTACCGCGCGCAGGAGAAGGCGTATGTGCAGCGCATCCGCCAGGAGAACGAGGCCGAGGACTATGCCTTCGACCCGGCCGCGCGCACGCCCAGCCTGGGCTACAGCACCGACAGCGAGACCGACGACGAGTCGCCGTCGACGGCCGAGTACCCCGAGAGCGACCCCTACGACCAGGAGACGCTGCTGTACTACGGCAACGACGACATGCAGCCGTCGGTCGAGGAGCTCAAGATCCCCGCCAACCGCGAGCGCCTCGAGTGGCACTCGATGCTGGCCAGCGTGCTGACCGGCGACGTCGTCAAGCAGGAGAAGAAGCGCCTGATTGGCAGCGCCGAGCAGCAGGGCGACAGCACCCTCAAGGCCGAGATCTGGATGGGCATCCGCGCCCGCGTGTGCGGCCGCTCGCTGCAGGCCCAGCGCCGCATCGTCGACGACGCCCGCTCGCACATCAAGGGCCTGCTCGAGAGCATCATCTCCTTCGAGGTCGAGGGCGCCGCCGAGGCCGGCCAGACCCCGCAGCAGCAGGTCCAGCACGTCGTCAAGAAGATCGAGCGCCTCGAGAGCGCCTACCCCACGCGCCAGGCCCTCGAGGCCGCCTATCCGCGCGCCGCCTCGGCCGCCTACCGCGCCGCCTGCGACGCCGTCATCGCCTGGGACAACACCACCGTACTGATCAACACCGAGATGGCCATCCTGAAGATGTGGGTCGGCAACGAGGAGCTCGACTTTGTCAAGCCGCGCCCGCGCTCGTCGCAGGACCACCACCTGACCGACGAGTCGTCGTTCATCGACCGCATCCTCAAGGAGGACGGGCTCAAGTCGCTGCAGGGCGAGACCAACCTGCTGATCCCGCTTGAGAAGGTCATCCAGAAGGCCAAGAGCACGCTGATCGACAACGCCGAGGGCTTTGCCGAGCGCCACCTGCCGCCCTACATTGAGGAGCTGCTGACCCTCATCAACTTCCCCTCGCGCCTGCTGCAGGAGATCATCCGCGTGCGGCTGTCCTACGCCAAGAAGATCAAGGACCCCTCGCAGCAGGGCGTCATGATGGCCGAGCAGATGATTGCCCAGTTCCAGATCCTGCTGCGCATGGCTGGCCAGGTCAAGGAGAGCTACCTGGTCATCTCGCGCCCAGAGCCCGGCTGGGACCTGCCGCCGTGCATTGAGGAGAACTTCGACAACGTCGTGCTCGATGCCCTGAAGTTCTACTTCCGCATGCTCAACTGGAAGCTGGCTGCCAACAAGAACACCTTCAAGGAGGCCGAGATCCTCGAGCAGGAGTGGGACTTTTGCAACAAGCTCGGCAGGCAGCTCCAAGGCGGCGACGTTGAGACTGCTGAGCAGTTCAGTATCCTCACGTCCAAGTCGCTGACACGTCTGAGTGCCCACTTTGAGCGCGAGCTGCAGCGTCGGCCAGACGAACTCACGGGCGCTGAGATGGAGAAGCGGTACAAGCAGATCCTCGACTCTGTCCGTGTGCGCCAGCGTAAGCTGTTCCGTTTCTCGAGGATCTTGACACAGCGGTTTGAGAACTGCACTGAATACAACATCAACCACATCGACCTGGACGACGAACAGTTGAGCGACTTGTACGAGTCTCTCATCGTCAACGGGCATTTCCTAGTCGAGACTACTGGCGGCAGCAACAACGGCGTGTACATCATCGCATCGCCTACGCTGGAGAACCGTCCAAAGGATATCCAGTCTCTGCTTACCACCTGCTACCACGCGGAGGAGGGCCCTGAAGACCCAACAAACCCCTACGTCTTGATCATCAGGCCAGAGGACGCACTCTACTGGGCAGGCAAGAGGATGTCTGGCAACATCCACGAGCCACATCTCGATCTTAAGCCCGGCAGATTACGGCTGGTTGCGGACGGCTCGCAGCAGCGTCTTGCCAACGCCAACGCTTCGTTCTTACTGGCCATAGGCATGGATCTGAACACGCTCATCGACCAGAGGGCCAACCTGCCCCGCGTCAACTCTGAGCTGCAGAAGATCAAGAAGACGGCGTACAAGCTGTCCAACACCATCATGGACAGTGTCGAGATTGTGCGCAAGCAGACTGTTGGTCTCGACTGCCAGGATCTCATACAAACTTGCTTCGCCTTTGCGACAGAGTTTGGTCAGCGTTCCGTGTTGTACATGGATTACAATCGTCGCGCCATGAACAACATCAAGCTGACGAGGCTGGCGCTGGACTGGGTCAGCTTCATCTGCGATGACTGCGTCGCGTCAGACCGAAAGACTTTCCGATGGGCTGTCGTCGCGTTGGAGTTTGCTATGATGATGACTCGTGGCCAGAACATCCTCTCGATCAGCGATGAGGAGTACACGAAGCTGCGCGCAAAGGTAGCAGGCTGCATGTCTGTTTTGATCTCGCATTTCGACATCATGGGCGCCAGATCCACAATCGCCGCGCAAGCCGAGAGGCAGCGGCTGAACGCCATCGTCGGGAAAAGCCTTTTGGATCCAAAGAACTCCAAGGACGACGAGGAGTCGATCGAGATGACGCAGGCTCAGTGGATGCAGAGACTTGAGGAGATCGATGCGTTCAGAAAAGAGAAGGAGGCCGAACGCCAGGCTCTGGGTAGAGTACTCGAAGACTCGAACGAGGCTGATCGTGCTCTCACCTACCTGTCCGCTTCCGCGACCAACGTTACTCTGCGATGGCAGCAGGGCCAATTTGTGGGAGGGGGTACATTCGGCTCCGTCTACGCCGCAATGAATCTCGACTCCGGCCACCTCATGGCTGTCAAGGAGATTCGTCTGCAGGATCCCCAGCTCATTCCCACCATCGTCGCTCAGATCAAGGACGAGATGGGCGTGCTGCAAGTGCTCGACCACCCCAACATTGTCTCGTACTACGGTATCGAGCCTCACAGAGACAAGGTGTATATCTTCATGGAGTACTGCTCTGGCGGTTCGCTAGCCGGGCTGCTGGAGCACGGCCGCATTGAGGATGAGACCGTCATCATGGTGTACGCGCTGCAGATGTTGGAAGGTCTTGCGTATCTCCACGACGCACGGGTCGTCCATCGCGACATCAAGCCTGAGAGTATGTGTTTCCAATTCATCCAGTACTCGACAGATGACTGATCTTTTAGATATCCTCCTCGATCACAACGGTGTCATCAAGTTCGTCGATTTCGGCGCTGCCAAGCTCATCGCGCGCCAGGGCAGGACGCTCGCCGTCGACAACGCCACGCGTCGCGAAAAGCAAGGCTCCATGACCGGCACACCCATGTACATGTCCCCCGAAGTCATCAAAGGCGGCAGCACCGGCCGCCACGGTGCCGTCGACGTCTGGTCCCTGGGTTGCGTGATCCTGGAAATGGCCACAGGCCGACGCCCATGGGCATCCATGGACAACGAGTGGGCCATCATGTACCACATCGCGCAGGGCGACCCGCCACAGCTTCCCACGCGCGACCAGCTCAGCGAGCAGGGCATCGACTTCCTAATGAAATGCTTCGACCGCGACCCAAACAAGCGGGCCAGCGCCGTCGAGCTGCTCCAGCACGAGTGGATCATGACACTGCGGGCGCAGCTCAGCCTCGAGCCACAGACGCCCAGCTCCGAGACGAGCAGCCAGAGCGGCGGCAGCAGACAGAACTCCACCTACGGGTAGTCTGGGGTTGGTGTTGCTCACCAGAACATGGGCACGGATCCATGTTCCGGTTCCCAAAATTTCGATGCCCAAAATTTGCACATACATCCCGTTTCTCAGTACCATTAGCATCCCAGCGTCTTCCCTGCGCCCCCGTGCGCCCAGCTGCTCAACACAGCACGCCACGGGCAGCGTTTGCATTAGCGCGGCGCTGTGTTTCGAGTCGGTTTTCCATTTACACAGCACATGACAGCATACATGATAAAATCCAATTCCACAGCGATGGTGCAGAGGTGGGAGAACACCAAGTAGTATAATCTAGCATTAAATAGTAATCAGCGCCAGGGCCGCTGGCTGGATTGAGTAATTGAATAAAGTTAAGCTGAGATTGAGTTGGGTTCGCAAGTGCATGTGATGTGCGTCTGTGTATGTGCCCCATGGATTCTCCCCTCTCTTGCGTGGGCGGGCGCTCTTGCCACTGCAGATATCACGAGCTTCCCAGTACACAAGCCAGCACACGGCTACCGCCAGCACTCGTCAGCCACGCATCTACTGCACACACCGCACTGCACGTATGTAGATGTCCGCGCAACCCCTGGGCAAAACGCTTCATGTACTTGGTAGGTCAGGTCAAAATTCTCTCATGATAGCTCTGATTGGTAGGATTGTGGCTATTGGAGCCCGGCTGCAAGCCTATTGGCTGTGTTGACGAGCAGTGAATCCTTTGCGGTGCTCGGACGCACGTGCAGCGGGGTGGTGTCGTGTGTGTAGGTGAGTCTAGACAGCGTACCTACTGAACAACGCAGTGCGCTGCTGTACACCGCCTGGACTAGTGGAGCACACTGTGAGTTTTTTCTTTCCGAGTGGGAGCGATTCGGTGTGGTTCTGGGTGCATGTTGGGCTGGCGTGTTGCCGTAGAGTCCATGTAGGTACCTGAATCTGGAGACGGAGCTTTTCAGGGCACTCCAAGCCAGCCCCGTCCACAGCTCAGCGCACAACGACTCGCCTGCGGAGTCGGGCAGATCCGCCATGGTCCACTGGCGGACGAAGTCTCTGGCGTGCGGTACGCGGGTCGTGACAACCGGCCCGCACCGTCGCAGAGCTGGCAGCTGCACGCACCGTCCAAGGGCGGGTTTGGTTGCAGCCGGCCACTCGCATTCCAGCGCCAAAACACCGACGTCTGTTACACGGACGGCTGCGAGCAGCGAGCCGCGAGCAGAGCGGGGGCGTGCGGTCTCCCTGGCACGAACGCGTGGAAGGTGCAGCTCGCTAATGCAGGCTGCAGGCTGGCAGGGTGCAGCTGCAACGGTCGACGATGAAGCCATCTGACGCGACCATGGCGACGCAGCATGGCGGTGCGGCGCAGAGGGCTGCTTGAGTGCCGGGCTGCTGAGCTGCGTGCCGGACTGCTGACTGCACGGCACCGCGGGCTACGACAGCTACTGCCCGCCCTGTTGATGCGTGCCAAACAAACAATGCGTGGATGCGCGGACAATGGCAGCAGCAGGGATGCGGGCGGTCCAGGCATTGCACTGGCACAAAATCTTTCTTCAACATGTGCAGTTCAGCCCTAGCACGCTGCCCGCCCGGCGCTATCGAGACTGCCCGAACCATGGGCCATATCACTGTTGACCCGCCCTCTCCCCTCCCGCTGCTGCCCTGAACCATTCACGCCTGCCGCCCGCGTGGTTAAATCGTCCACTGCGCCCCAGCCCTGGCATGCCGGCATAGCACCCTGCGCTCCTTCCCTCGCCATGTCTGCGCGGCACTTCCCGCACCGCGACTGGAGCAGCCCGGCCGACCAGCAGCTGCCCTTCACCGGCAACACCGTCAGCGACGCCGACTTCGCCGCGGACCCGCACGGCGCCGACATCGAGGCCCAGCACGAGGCTCAGCACCCGCGCGCCCGCCGCATCCGCGCCCAGTCCAACGCCTCCGCCCACCTCTCGCAGTCGTTCTCGCGCAACCCCGTCCGCTCGTTTGCCCACCAGGCCTCGCATGGCTTCACCGACACCCCGCAGTACTCATCGCAGGGCGTCCGCGAGCGCAGCTCCCAGCTGGCCTCGTACGCCCTGGACTCGGAGGACTACCAGGACCGCCCGCCGCGCCACAGCTTCGCCGAGCCCGACTCGCCCCGCCGCCCGCTGTCCGACTACCACGACGGCCGCGGCTCCATTGACTCCGGCAGAGAAGACACCATCGACGAGGACAGCGAGGCCGAGACTCCGGTGACGGTCATTGGGGGGCCGCAGAAGCCCGACCACGACTTCTTCAGCTGGCAGAGCCCGCGCAAGGGCTCTACTGCCGAGGCCGTGCCGGACCTCGTGGTCCAGGACACCGAGCGCACGCCGCTGCTGCCGTCGGCAAGACTCCCGCGCCCGCTCTCGCAGCAGAAGAGCGCCAAGGGCACGAGCAAGAGCAAGAGCAAGAGCAGGAGCCGCTCGCCCGACCAGAGTCTTCCCCAGCGCGTCAAGGCGTCGTTTGCAGCAGGCCGCGAGCACATGCTCGGATTCAGCCAGACCCTAACTAACCCCAAGACCTACACCAAGGACGCCGTGCTGTCCGGTGCACTGACCAGTGCGCAGACACTGACTGCCGTCTTCCTCGGCCTGCTCCTGAACCTACTGGACGCGCTTTCATATGGCTATATTTTGTTCCCCCTTGGATCTCCCATTTTCAGCCAGACCGGCCCGGACGGCATCTCCATTTTCTTTGTCAGCTGCATCGTCTCGCAACTCTGCTACTCCCTCGGTCTGTCCAGCTTCAAGGGCGGCGTGGGCTCGGAGATGATCGAGGTCGTGCCCTTCTTCCACAACATGGCCTACTCGATCATGGAGCGCATGGAGGGCGCCGCCCCGGAGGCCATCATGGCCACTACCATCACTTCCTACTGCCTGAGCTCTATTCTTACCGGCCTCATCTTCCTCACTCTGGGCAGCTTCAAGCTCGGCACTCTGGTCAGCTTCTTCCCCCGCCATATCCTGATTGGCTGCATTGGCGGTGTCGGCTTCTTCCTCTTTGTCACCGGCATCGAGGTCTCTGCGCGCCTTGAGGGCAACATGAACTACGATCTCGCGACCCTACAGAAGCTGTTCTCTGCGGATACCTGGTACCTCTGGATGCTCCCGCTTGTGCTTGCCGTGTCGATTATGCTTATGCAGCGGATGGTGAAGAGTCCATTCGTGCTGCCCGCCTTCTTCGTCCTTATTTTTGCCACCTTCTACCTATTCGTGAAGGGCATTTTCCATGTTGACCTGCAGGACGCGCGTGACGCCGGCTGGATCTTTGAGCAGCCCGAGGCCGGCGTCAAGTTCTACCGTTTCTATTCTTATTTCAGTGAGTAGCCTGGACATGTGGAGGAACCCTGCTAACAACCTCAGAATTTTGGCTCATCGACGTATCGGCGCTGGCCAGCTGCATACCGACCATGTTTGCCCTTTCATTTTTCGGCATCATCCACGTGCCTATTAATGTGCCCGCCTTGGGCGCCGCCGTAAAGGAGGATAACCTCGACGTTAATCGTGAGCTCATCGCCCACGGTATCTCGAACACACTGTCTGGCTTTGTTGGTAGCATTCAGGTATGGCTTCATTCGTTCGCTCATACGCATGGACTCCGCTGACGTATCAGAACTACTTGGTTTACGCTAACAGCGTGATGTTCATTGCCAACGGCGGCGACAGCCGCGTCGCGGGCACCCTGCTCGCTGTTGCAACAGCTGCTGTCTGGGTCGCCGGCCCTGCGATGATTGGATACATCCCCATCTGTCTGGTCGGCGCGCTCATCTTCCTGCTTGGCATCGATCTTATGAAGGAGGCGCTGTGGGACACATTCGGCAAGTGCCACAAGCTTGAATATCTCACTATTGTAGCCATTGTCTTGATCATGGGCATCCACGACTTTGTTGTTGGGATCTTCGTTGGCATCGTGCTGGCCTGCGTGAGCTACGTGGTGCAGAGCTCTCGCCACCCTGCCATCCGCGGGTCCTACAGTGGTGTTGTCGCTGAATCGACGGTGCGCCGCCCGCGAGCGGACTGCCGCTACCTGAACAAAGTCCGCGGTCAGATCCGGGTTGTCAAGCTGGGCGGCTTCCTCTTCTTCGGCACGATTGTATCAGTCGAGGAGAACCTGCGATCCCTCATTGACGACGACAACTTCGAAGAGCAGCCGGTGAGCTTCATCATCGTCGACTTCACGCATGTCACTGCTGTCGACTTCTCCGGTTGCGAGGGCTTCCAGCGCATCAACAGGATTCTCGGCGGTAAAAATGTCAAGATGATCCTGTCTGGCGTCTCCTTCGGGAACGACGTGGGCAAGTCTCTGCAGAGCGTCGGCTTGCTGGACGAAGCAGAGGAGGATGGCTCGCCGCCTCCACAGGTATTTGAGGACCTGAACACGGCACTCGAGTCGTGCGAGAACGAACTTCTCGAGGTCTTCCACCGCCACTGCAGCACGCACGTCAAGAGGCGCCAGATCACCCCACCCATGTCCATCAACGGCGCGAAGAATCTCAACTCCGAGCCGATACCCTCCGGTGGCTCTCCCGCATCTTCCCTTGGACCAAGCTCCCTTAACCCCGACTTCGCCTCGCCCCGTCGCGGCGCCCGCCTTCTCGCCGCCCGCTCTACCATGCGCGAGTCCTCGCACGCCCAAACCCTCACCCCCGATTCGGCCAGCCTTAGTGAACCCACCCCCGCAGCCCCTTCGCGCTGGAAGAATTTCGCCCAGCCCCTCAAAATTATCCTCCAGACTTTCGAAGACGTCTCCCTCCAGAACGAAGACTTCTGGCACGTCATCGCGCCCTACTTCACCCGCCGCGAGCTCCCCGCTGGCTCGGTCCTGTACTCGCGCGGCGACGACCCCGACGGGTTCTACATCCTGCAGCAGGGCCGACTGCGCGCCGAGTACGCGCTCGACCAGGGCAGTTTCTTCGAGGTCATCCTGCCCGGCACGACGTGTGGCGAGCTGCCGTTCTTCAGCGAGACGGACCGTACGGGAACGGTGGCGGTGGAGAATGACAGCGTGGCGTGGTTGTTGACGCGGGAGAGGTTTCAGGCGCTGGAGCGCGAGCATCAGGGTGTTGCGCGGGAGTTGCTCAAGGTCGGGCTGAAGTTGACCAAGGAGCGGATGGATGCCATCACGAGTTATGTGCTTGTCACCGCATCGTAGAGTGTGTTTGTGGTGTGTGTTGAGGGCGTGGTGTGATGGCTAGTACTGTAATTTTGCATAGCTGTGCAACGTGTAATTTATACCCAAATTCGCATATGACAACGTTGGCTAGTATGCGTGTTACCATTTTCAAATGTTTTGGCGTGCCTTCTCTCGGTCTAGATACCGCTGTCTATGTCATGCCAAATCTACCACCACCGTCTATCCGTCTAACAGAGTCTACAACTTCGGAAAGCGAACCCTCAAGAACTGGTTCGGCCACGCAACATCCACACCCAGCTGATGGGCCACCCGCAGCACCCACTCGGGCTCGCGCATGAACTGCCGTGCCACCAAGATCACATCAGCCTGGGGCTCGTTGCCGTCTCGCGCCTCTGTCATGCCGACCGCCGCGCGGGCTTCCTGCGAGATGTCTGCCTCGCCGCCACGCTGCCGCACCGCGCCGCCCTCCTCGACAATGTCCCGGGCCTGCTCGGCCTCGGTGATCAGCCCCACGGCGCCAATGAACAACTTACCGCCGTCCCGCTTCACCTCATCCCGGATCCGCGCCGCAATCCGGGTCTGGTAATCCTTGGTGTCGAACGGATTCAGCTTCTGCGCCGGGTGGTTGCCGCCGCTGCTCACGTCCAGCAGGTCTACGCCCAGCCCCGCCACCAGCTTCGCCAGCCGCAACGAGCTGTCCACGTCCCAGCTGCCCAGCGACTGTCCCAGCGCCGTCTCCTCCATCCACTCCGTCGCGCTGATCCGTAGATACAGCGGCATCGCCGCCGGAATCACCGCGCGGATCGCCTGCACAGTCTCCACCAGCAGCCGCGTCCGGTTCTCGAAACTTCCACCATACGCATCCGTCCGGCGATTCGTAATCGGTGATAGGAACTGGTGCAGTAGGTACCCATGCGCGGCGTGGATCTCAAGCACGTCGACGCCAGCCGCGACCGCGCGCCCCGCCGCCGCCGCCCAGTCGCCCACCAGCGCCTCGATCTCGCCTACACTCAGCCCTCGCGGCGCCCAGTACCCGCCGGCCTCGTCCTCCTCGCTCAATCCGTCCCACGTCCACTCGCCCCCGCCCATTGGCCCTACCACGTCCCCGCCCCAACCCCCCGCCGCCGGCCCCGCCCGTACACTCACCTTCCGCTTCCCACCCTCCGTGCGCTGCGCCCCCGCCACCCACGGCGCGCACGTACTCGCCTTGCGGCCTGCGTGGGCGAGCTGGACGGCGCTCAGCGCGCCCTGGGATTTGATAAAGTCGGAGACGCGGCGCAGCGCGGGGATCTGCGCGTCGGTCCACAGCCCGGGGCAGTTGGGCGAGATGCGGCCGTTGAACTGGACAGCAGTGGCTTCGACCATGACGAGGGCCGCGCCTTTGAGCGCGTAGTGGCCCAGCGTGGCGATGTGGTAGTCGGTTAGCGCGCCAGTCGAGGGGCCGGACGAGGCGGTGCTGTATTGGCACATGGGGGCCACGAGGATGCGGTTGCGCAGGGTAGTGCCGCGGATGGTGAGTGGGCGGAAGAGGGCGGCTTTGGCATCGGGTGGTGCGCTGCCCGGGGTGATGAGGTGGTGGGGTGTGAAGTAGTCGAGGCCCGGGACGCCGGGGTTGAGGTCTGTGGGTGGTGGCATGGTGGATGTCATGGGCGAACGGTGGGAGTTGTGGTGGTTGAGGTGAAGGTGAGGTGTAGTCGAGGTGTGGCCGGAAAGTGTGTAGTCGATGTGTAGCCAAGCTGGATGTAGTCGAGTCGTAGCCGAGGAGCAGTCCAAGCGTAGTCCAAGCGTAGTCTCTCGCCGGCAGTCTCAAAGCAGTCTTGCCGTAACTTCAGTATAGTCCCGCCACAGTGTAGTCTCGAGTATGACTCCCTGGAACCCACAATCACAAAATGAATTCCAAATCCGAGGACAAAACGCTTAGAAGACACACCACTACCTTCCCCGCGGTATTTAAACGCCCCAGATTCTACCCCCAATGGAATTGCGCAACCGTGTTGATTTGTAAGTTGCACTGCGCTGGGGAAAGTTACCGAGGCACGGGTGCGTGCCGTGTCGCTTGTGCCGTGCCCGCCAGCTGGCGTACGCGGGTGTAAGCTGCCGTGTGCATGCCGTCGACTAGGCACCGCGCGAGTACCTACGTTTTGTTACACACTCTGGATACCTTGGAGTGTGTATCAGACACAAAACGCAATGCAATACAGCCTATCCATGTGACTCGACAGCCGCAGTCCGCTGGTTGGGCATGATGCGCGTTGCCACGCTTGGCCAATTGCGAGTTCTTCGTTCCGTGTCGACAGCCCCTCCCCGCTAGCCGACTGTGTCCAACATTCACCCACAGGTGACTGAAAGATGATGAGGGAGACGGTGTACATCGTGGAGAGAAGGATGTCTTTGCGTCGGTGCTGGTGCGAACATGCAAACCGCCTGACAACGGGACGGAGGTGTAGCAAAGGCCTCAGACTGGCGGAATAAGCCCGGGTCGACGTCCTACAGGGCGAAAACGTGGAGACTGACCAATGTTGAAGGAACGAATCTTTTGCTCCTGCGTTAAGTACCTGCGTGACGTTGACGATGATACAAGCGACGTCAACAAGCGATTCTGCGCAACGATTGACTGCCCTTCCCTGTCGTTCGTGCATTCTGCGCTGTCACTCGTTGGGGCAGAGAAGACGCAGTAGGGAGATAGTAGACAGACAGACCAGTCCCGTCATGATCAAATGAGGATTGGCAATAAGTGCTGCATACATACTCCAATCCAACCCACACGTCCACACGCCACGCTCATCCAACGCCACGAACCCGAATATCCCAAAACCGCGAGCATCCAAACCATCATAACTATCCAATATACGTAAAGACTCTTAAACAGCCTCCTCGAATACATTCCGCAACACCGGCCGCCCATCAAGCACGCCCCGCTGGCCGGCAACACACACCTTTGGCGGCCCGGGGCGCCTCTTCAGCGCGCGTGCATTCCCCGCGCCCGCGACGCCCGTAACATCGGCGAGGACCTTCCTCTTACGCGGACTTATGCCGCTCTTCTGCGCAGCCAACGAGCTTGGGGACGCGTCGTCGAAGGCGCTGTGGCCCTCGACCATGGGCGTGGTTAGATCGACGACCCACCCATTGGTGCGGCACAGCGCGACGATACGGGCCAGCAGCGGGTTGGCGGCGAGTGTAGCGGCGCTGCCGATCAGGATGAGCTTAGAGCGGGCGCGGGTCAGCGCGACGTTGACGCGGCGCGCGTCGCGGAGTAGGTCGCCGACGGCGGCGGTCGGGTTGCTACGCACGCAGGACACGAGGATGACTTCTTTGTCGCGGCCTTGGAATTTGTCCGCGGTGTGGAGTTCGATGGCGGAAGTGGGGACTGGGCGGGGGCTGGATTGGGTTTGGGTGTGTGCTGTGAGGGTTGTGCGGAGAAGGGCGAGCTGTGAGCGGTAGAAGGCGATGATGCCGATTTCGGACGAGGGAATGCCGAGGGCGAGGAGAGAGAGTGTGAGGTGGGCGGTCAGGCGGGCCTCGAGGGTGTTGATGATGCGCGAGCCGGACTGTGACTCGAGGGATGTGGAGATGGGGTCAGTGTTGATGAAGACGACGGGCTGGTCTGGCGACAGGGATCGGGAGAGCCAGCAGTCGCTAGAACCAAGACACGGAGGGATTGTACTTGAAAGAGAGGTGAGTGCTTGCCGGTGGAACGTCTGCAGGCCGGACGGCTTCGGTATGGCGAGCCTGCGTGAGGCGACGCTAGGAGTACCGCACTTCAGACGACCGGAGTAGATGAATGTGTTCGACAGCAGCATGACCTCAGCACACATGCGGTATTGATGCTCGAGGCTAACCACAGCTTGCGGATGCATCTCACATAGAAACTTGAAGAGCGAAACATCTAGACCACCCTCCAAAGCCTCTTTGTTCTGCACTAGCGGAGGCAACTGGTAGTGGTCGCCTACCAAGATGAACTTCTGCGACATGCGGATCGGACCCAGGCAGACAGGGAGTGTGATCTGAGAAGCTTCGTCCACAATGCAGTAGTCGAATATGCGGCGGCTGAAGAGCGGGTGATTGATGGTCAGACAGGTGGTAGCCACAACGGGTGGCTCCATCCATGACCTCTCGAGGTCCTCCACACTGTCTCTAGGCTCTGTCGCCAACGTCGCAAACTCGCGGACTTCGGGGTGGATCTTTGCTGATGCTCCCAGGCGGAGGATTCCGATCTTATCGTCGCGGATCTTAAGTAAAATATTGTCGACTGCGGTGTGAGTGTACGAAGTGAGCAACACGCTCTTGCCCTTTGCGACCAGTGTCCGGATAATGTGGGCAATCGTGGTTGTTTTGCCGGTACCAGGCATGCCCAACACAAGAGCGTAGTCTTTGGCGGACATGACCTTGGCAACAGCAGCCTGCTGGTCCGAGTTCATAGACATTTGTGATGACTGCGGTAGATCGACAGCGCTTGGCGTCGTGCCGAATACAGGAGCTCGGCCACCGACAATCAATGCACGAAGGTCTCGAGCCTTGTAGACGTTATCGTCCATAATCTGGATGAGGTTGTTGCGCGCCGCTGCCATGCCATTGCTGAACTCATCTTTGTCCAGTCGATACAACACCGGTTCATTGTCCACGTCGATCTCATGGGGTTCCTCGTCTTCTTTGCCCACTTCCATGATACCGGAAAACGTCTGGTTTGTTTCAGAGTCAAATCCCGGGAGCCGCGTGCGAGAATTGTGCAAGCGTCTATCCACAGCAACGGTGATACGTCTCTTTCGAACGTTTGTGACATACCCGTTTGCTAGTGCAAAGTGACCCTGCTCATCTGAGACCACTACAGGCTCGCCAACAGTGAGCTGGGACTCGGTGAACGAGAAACCAGGTGCAGCCTGCTGTTTGACAAACGAGTAGCTGTAGCGATTGATCTTTTGGCCGAGTTTCTCTTCGTTCCCAGAGCCTGGCTCCAATATGACATTCGAGAAACAGCGGCCCAGCTTTTCCCGCTCGGTACTCAACATAGTCCACAGCTCACTTCGGAACTTCATCATGTCCGCCTCTTCCTTTGTAAGCAGCATATCCCACTTCTTCATGAAATCCTGGTCCATTGGTTTCAGCGATTTGACAAGGTCGTCATACTTTTGCTTGGCTTTCTTGTTCAACTGCTCGCCGTCACCGTCCTCGACGAGTTTGTTGTATAGGAAGCATGATTCTTGGGCGTAACAGTTGCCACACTTGAAGTCTTCTTTGAGCATCGGCGGCAGATCGATGCGGTCTCGGACATAGCAGGCTAGCTCGTTGCGTTGAATGATCATGTGTATGATATCGTTGCGAACAGCGGGGATGCGTATAATAGCTGATGTCTCGAGATAATACAGCATTCCGTATGCAACATCAATGTCTGTGGGTGTTAGTAGGTGGAGGAAAAGAAAAGTATGTGCATGGACGTACCGTATCGATTGGAGAGCAGCAGGTTGTAAAGAGCTGTCTGGACAGAGTGGGCACTGTTGGAAGAGTTCTTCCCAGTCTTGACCTCGAAGGGGACGGTCAGAGTGCGCTCGCCTTGTTCGTCTTGCATGGTCACCTGTACGGTTGCGTCAATATTGCCTTTCAACCCATACATCGGCGACCAGACATGCTCCTCGACGTCGAGGAGTTTGTTGATGCTCATGATGGATTGTGGCCCATTGCGATGCTGCACAACCGCATCAACGCACGGCCTGGCGCGGATGAAGAGGTCAGCCCACACCTGCATCTCGGGCAGTTTGCTGGTCATGTGTTCCTTGACCTCCTCGCAGGTGGAGTTGATTTCCAGGATAGTCTCGAACTTGCTTGGAAGCAACTTGTCGATGGTTGACATGAGAAAGTCTGTGTCCCATTGGTTCACTTTCAGGGCTTCCTGGAAGAGCTCATGGAGGAGTGTGCCATAGAGCATGGGCGCATTGGCTCTGCTGGTGGCCTTGATGCGGTCCTGGAGCACAGCACGTCGAAGACATCCGTATGAGTCTGCAACGACAGTCGCTGAAATTAAGTGGTCTGGATGCAAGACCAGCATGTTGTGATGGTCGTCGATGATACACTGTCCGTCTGACGAGAAGAAGCCAATGACGTGAACGTATGCCCCTACTGTGCAAGGAGTGTCATACCAGGCTTGTCGTAGGGATATGGTTTTGAGTATCTTGGTCTTCTCATCGTCGACCAGTAGGACCTGAACTCGTATTAGCACAAGAAGGCGTGTTGGAGTCTATGTCGCACGCACCAGTTCAGGTCTTCGGTGTCCGCTTTCAAGGGTATATGTGCCCTGCATCACCTGCTTCACGAGATATCGTTGGATGGCCCGGGTGTCCTGTTCACTCTTACAAACTTAGTTATACATTTCATTACGGGTGGCGCGTGTTCTACATACAGTGTTCGTTACGGGCGTTTGAGTAGCTGCTACTTCTGCGGCAGCAAACTCATCGGGATCTATGTCATCCCCAAAGTCATCAGAATCATCATTAACCAAGTCGATGACGGGAATAGCTGAAGCATTGGAAGGCACCTCAAGCGGAGCCTTAGGCGCTGATGATGCCAGCGGTCGGTCGTCAAAAAAGGACGCTGCCTGCTCAAGATCTGCAGCGAACACGTCATCATCGTCTTCTATCCCGAAATCGTCCTCACTATCGGCAGGCACTGGTGGCGCGGCAACGGGTACAGGTGCATCCTCCACTGGTACTGAGGGATGCACGCGCGAAGACGTCGTCTCGGTAGCCAGGGTTCCAGCATTTACAGCCTCGGCCATGTCGGTGTCGAAGTCGACCTCGCCGAAATCGTCAGACGAGGCGGAGGACTCGTGCTCGACTTCGAGCAGCTGCGACTCGTTGCGTTCTTCAGGAAGCTCCTGGTCCTCGGTGACAAGGTCGTCGGCAGGCATGTACTCGTCGGTCTGTGGCAGGTCGAACGCGTCCGCATCGATTGCTTGTCTTGGGGAATGTCTCTTCAGCGGAGACTCTGGGAATCCAAGCAGAGGCTGCCCGTTTTCAGGGAGTGGCGACGAGCTGGACGGCGGTTGCTCCTGCGAATTCGAGATGGACTGCTTCATGCGCTTCACGATGCTGGCGAGATTCGTCGTCGAAGCGTGCCCTTGCATGACGCTGTCGGAGCTGGGCACAGCGGCGAAGAGGTCCTCGGTGTCGTCCTCGTGGTCGGCCTGGAAGACGGCGTGCGTCTTCCGTCGCTTCTTGGAAGATGCGGGGAACTCGACCCCACAGCTCGCCCAGCGCCGCAGGCCGTTGACGCTACCAGCGGCGGCAGCAGAGCGTGGCGACGATTCGTCGATGAGATGGGCAAAGGCCACGCTCTTCCTGGTGACGGTCGGCGTCTTCTTGCTGGTGTAGCGCGACCAGAGGTCGGTGGCAGGGTCGGCCTGGGGCGTGGTCAGGCCGGGCTTGCGCGCGCTCAGCCGCGCGTCGTCCTGCGACGGGGCAACGGGCGAGGAGCTGTGGGCGCGCTTGCGGTTCTTGCGCGGCACGGGGGTGTTGGCGGGCTGTGAGCCGCGCCAGAACAGCTGCTCCTCGGGCGAGAGCACGGCGAGCGAGGCATGGCGCGAGGTGTCGTCGGTGTTGCCGACCAGGTCGGACAGCGGCAGCCTCGTGCCAGGCGTCGACGGCGGGGGGAAGGACCTCTTCGGCGGCAGGCGCGGGGTCTCGAAGGCGTCCTCGATGTCTCGGGCGACCTTGGAGGTCTTGGGCGTGGCGGCGGCCGTGGCGGTGCGGTCCAGGCGGTTCTCCTTGTCGGGGTCGAGGGCCAGCGACTCGTCGAGCTGGAAGGCCTTCAGCTTCGTGCGCGTCTGGGTCGACGGCATGATGGGCGGGCCCGTCACGACGGCCCTGTCACTGTGCGGGTGGGGCGCGGCGTTGCGTGGGCGGGTCCATTGGCCTCTGCCTCTGAACTGTGGGAGACGGTGTGAGTGCAGCGAGACGAGTCAGCAGCGGTCAGCGCACCTTCGCCTTGGGGTCCTGGTCGAAGAAGGACTTCTGCCGTGTTGACATGGGCGTGCATGCGGCCAAGCGCGGGCCCGCAGAGAGACGCGACGCGACGCGACGGTCGTGAATCCGTGCAAACCGCGCAAACCGCGCAAACTGGCCGGGCTGGGGGGCAGTTTGCGTGCTTTGCAGCGGCAGTTTGCGTGCTTTGCAGCGGCAGTTTGCGTGCTTTGCAGCGGCAGTTTGCGTGCTTTGCAGCGGCAGTTTGCGTGCTTTGCAGCGGCAGTTTGCGTGCGTTGCAGCGCGGCTATGCACGGGCGCGATATCGGCGTCTTCTGGTTGGACAGCCGACTCGCTGCGTGACAGCGTCAACCAGAGCGCGATACCTAGGGCCTGCTGGTTTTCGGTTGCGCGCTGCTGCACGTGAGCTGGAGCAAGACTGCGAAGACACTGCCGGGAAGAAGCACGTCCTCGCTCCAGTACCTCCTTCGACTTGGTACCGTCTCCCGCAGCTCGTCGATTACCAAGCCTAACCCCATTGGGCGTCCCGTCCCACGCTGGTGCTCCCAGGTCGCTTTCCCCAGACCACAGCCAGCCGTCTCCCTCCCTCCACCTCCTCCGTCCTCCGTCCTCCCCGTCCTCAGTCTTCTCGTCGCCAGCAACATGTCGGCCACCGATGCGAAGCCTCTGCCGTTCGTCTACCAGTTCGCGGCTGGTAAGTCTCAATTCCGAATCTCGGGAAAGCTCCGATGCGCCGGCTCACTGGATATTTCGACATGTTCGTGGGACCCGGCGCAGGGCGCGCAATTGGGCTCCCGCCCGCGGCCCTCAGCTTCCCCGGCGCCCCCAGCTTCCAGGCTGTTGCCGTGCGCGAGCAATTGCTGACCAGGTGCAGGTGCCGTGGCTGGTGTGTCAGAAGTGAGTGCACGCCATGAGGCGCACCTCTGATGTGCATGTTGTGCTAATGGACGTGTGCGCATAGATCTTGGTCATGTGAGTGCTCAGCGGACGCGCAGAGAGCAAGTGCTAACGCTCGTCAGGTACCCGCTGGACGTCGTCAAGACCAGGATGTGAGCAACAGCCATCGATCGCAACGACTCCTCTAACCCCACATAGACAGATCCAGAGCGGAAAGGCGACCGGTGAGGATGCCTACAGCGGCATGGTGGACTGCTTCCGCAAGATTGTGAGGAACGAAGGGTAGGAGGCATTTTCACGCACACAGCGGGTATACTTACACCCGGCAGCTTCTCGAGGCTGTACCGCGGCATCAGCGCTCCCATCCTCATGGAGGCCCCCAAGAGGTAAGCGCACAAAAACTCCCATCCCTGGCTCGCAATTGACGTCCACAGGGCCACCAAGTTCGCCGCGAACGACTCCTGGGGGTCGTTCTACCGCAACCTGTTCGGCCAGTCCAAGATGAACCAGTCCCTGTCCATTCTCACCGGCGCGACTGCCGGTGCAACCGAGGCCTTCGTCGTCGTGCCCTTCGAGCTCGTCAAGATCCGCCTCCAGGACAAGGCCCAGGCCCACAAGTACAACGGCATGATCGACTGCGTCACCAAGATCATCAAGCAGGAGGGCCCTCTCACACTCTACCAGGGTCTCGAGTCAACCATGTGGCGCCACATCCTGTGGAACGCCGGTTACTTTGGCTGCATCTTCCAGGTGCGTGGTCTGCTGCCCGCGGCCAAGGACAAGAAGGCCCAGATCACCAACGACCTGATCTCCGGTGCCGTCGGTGGCACAGTCGGCACAATCCTAAACACCCCTCTGGACGTGGTCAAGTCGCGCATTCAGAACTCGTCCAAGGTCCCCGGCCAGGTGCCCAAGTACAACTGGGCCTTCCCCGCTCTGGGCACCGTCTTCCGCGAGGAGGGTTTCGGCGCGCTGTACAAGGGCTTCACGCCCAAGGTGCTGCGACTGGGTCCCGGCGGTGGTATCCTGCTCGTGGTCTTCACCGGCGTCATGGACTTCTTCCGCACCATGCGTGAAGGCAAGTAGTTGGCACGCGGCGACATTGGGCTGGCAGATTCATCTTCCTGCAGCAGGGCAGATAGACTGTACAATTCGAGGCTACGTGTATGTTCATGACATAAGATTCAAGTATGGCTTGCAGATGGTGCAGTGATGGTGCAGCTAACAAACATATTGAGCGGTCAGCGATCACGGTATTGCAACGAAAATCTTCTTAACATCTTCACTAAACAGGGATTGTAGCAATGAGTCAAGAATGACAAGCACCCATGAATCGCTGGGCAGAACCAGCAGCGCTCACCGCATCCGTACCGACAAACATCACCCCCGTTCGTCCATCCCGTAACCGCGAAATTGTTCATCCCCCTTTGCCTTGACATGCCCTCGAGACCAGTCCAACTAGTAACACAACGAGCGATGCGTAATGGAATAAAGTAGCCAAGTTTACGTGCGGTCGTATATGCATCATGGATCCGTGGTTGGCGGGGCGATCCTAGTGTCGGCTTGTTTGGGATTCGGCGCAGAATTGGCGGTGGATGTGATGAGAATCATGGATTGGAGTGTGTTGTTGATGGGTCATAGCAGTGGCATGTGTGTATGTATACACGCGTGCACTTCACCTCACACAAGCAGCGCAGCCCTCCTCAAACCCCCAAACCAGCGCAACACCAGAACCTCACCGACAAACACCGCACCCCAATAGCCTCCAGACACATGCACAAACATCGCCGACCCATCTCCAGCCCAATCGGCACCATCTACATCCAACATACCGAACAACATCCCGATCCAACACTCAATCCGCCACCCTCCAAACCCCCACCTCCATCCTCCCCTCCAGCGCCGCCACTCCTCTACAGCACACACCAACCACACCGTCCCCGTACCTGCCTATCCCACGAGGCTGCCCGCGTGCATTGCATCACCGCCGCAGTACGATGCGCTGGCAGCTCCCGAAGCGGCAACCGACGCGCCAATCACGACCCCCGGCGCCGAGTCACCTATGTATATGAGCCTGCGGGCGCTCCTCGATTCGAACCGCGGTCTCGTCGCGCAGACTCCCACGACATCTGAACGGGGCAGCGTGGGCGTGCAAGTACAGTACATGCGAAAGAGATGGATACGTTGGAGCCCGCGCGGCAAACGCGCCACGCCGCGCCGAATCACACACGCGCTTTCTGCCCCTTCGACGCCGAAGCGCGCCCTTCGAGATGCTGACCGCAGCAAGGCGAACGTCAGCATCGCAGACGACCATGGCCGGGCGTAGGGCGTGAACTTGCGCTCTGCACACCGATCGAGCGTGTCAGCACCTTGACCCAGCCCTACGCGCACGCGGTCGTAAGCAGCCCGCCCGTCACTGCTGCGCTGAGGTGTCGGAGTCCGCCTACGTCCACGACGAGCCTCGGAGCTCCGAGGGGCACGCGCACCACACGGCGGGGGGGGGGGGGGGGGGGGGGTGCTTGCAAAGCAGGAATCAGGTAGAGATGGATGGGAAAGAGGGGGGGTGAGCTGAGCTGAGCTGAGCAGCGAGCGCCGCGTGGTTCCTCGACAACAAGACGACAAGACGTCAAGACCGCGCCGTCCGGTTTGGGCGCGCGCTGCACCGATCCGGACGGCGCGGCGAGGAAGCTCGCGGATGCGTGCGCCTTCGATACTCGGGGGGCTATACTTAGAGTTGCCACTTGGGTGCGTGGAGGGGGTGTGGGGACGCGCCTCGTTCGTCGTCAACTATCGAGGCCATGCGTTACCGACTATCGAGTCTATACGTTATCGACTCTCGACTATCGCCTACCCATTGCGTGTTGTTGACGACGACGACACCGCCGCCGCCGACGACGACGACGACGACAAAGCGCGCAAACTGAGATATCCCCGTCCGCTACCCTGGTGTTGCACGCGCACATGGCCTCCCAGTGCGTCACCAGCTCCCCATTTCCCTCATGCTTGGCCCAGCACAACATCACCCAGCGAATAGAAGCCACGCCCGATTATGTCATGACGCGGAGTGCTATGGGCGTCGCACTCTGAGCGCGCGCAGCACACACGTTCTGGCATGCGCACGGGCCCGCACCTCGGAGGCGTGCGGGGAACGGCAGCGCTGGACACCACCACCATTGCGCGCAGACGATCATGGGACCAGCCATGTCCGCATCGCTGCTATCAAGACGCCTGGCCGGAGCATTTGGCGCTCGCAGGGCGACGTCGCAGACTGGATGGGCGCGCGCAGCGAGATATCCAGCGTCCGCGATTCGCGACGCTCGCGATGCCAGGCGGGTTGATGTGCAGCCATGGAGGGGCGCGCTAACGATGAGCCACGGGCGGGACCCTGTTCGCGCATCTACCAACGGCGTGCGATTGGTGCGCGAGGGGCCTACACTGCGACTACGAGCGGCGCCGAAGGATAGGCTGCGTAGGCCAGCCACAGCCAGAGTGTCGATCCAAGGCTGGGTGAAGCTGAGTGTGGTGTTTGAGGGGTTGTGTGCAAGACAGGGCTCCTTCGTGTCCACGGCTGCTAGCCGCGGACGGAGTATCGTCTGCTGCGCAGATCATCAGATGTACGATGGACTAGGTACTTGGAAAGTGGTTTCTCCTAGCAGCCCTGTCTGACTCGCCATTCCGGTCTCTCGCGCAAGCATGCAGAAAGGCCCGTTTGCGATAGCGATCACCGAAATTGCGGTGAAGGAGGGAAGAGAACGCTAGGCATCATGTCAAGTCGCAGGTCAACTTCAAACGGTGTGGCAACTGGCCCGAACATGACATGTGATTGGATCTACCACACCGATAAACACCTACAGGACGATAACTCAGAAGCAGGTGCGTGACGCCAGAGGCGATGAGCCAAAGAGACTTGTTCCAGCCCTGACAGTGAGCCTGTGTTTTGGAATTGCTATTGCGTCTTGTTCACCGTTGCGCGTCTGCAGCGGCCCACTTATATCATATATATACATAGCACCGCCACACTCACCAGCCGCATATGAACTCAGTCGTTCATCCAAGCCGTGACTCGGCTCCCTGCAAAGCGGGCCCCGAAGCGGAGGCCTGTGGAGCCCATGGGAAAATAAGAGACGGTGAACCAGAGCAAGGAAACCAGCTGCGCGATGACCGCAATGAAGGTGAGGATAGTGCTGTGGAGCTAGTCACGCGGACGTCAGTGCAGAACAGAGCTAAGGCGACGATAATGGAAGAGGTGTGAGTGCGTGGGGTAGATGGACAGGGGTGCACGCTTAGTGCATATACGGGCACTTACACCGAGCGAGAAGTAAAGCGTGAGTGCAATACTCCCAAAATAAGCGGCAGTGAACGGAAGTCGCGGACCAGAAATGAGATGCTGGACTGCAGCGCGGTCAGCAAGTGTGGATGCAAGTGAGAGCCGAGCGGCGACGAGGCTTGCTTACCGTACTGCATGGGGCCCATCATGACACTCCATGCTGCCAGAAACAGAACGCTGCCCATAGACCACCTGAAGCTGGTTAGCGCAAGGCTCAATACAAGTTATCTGAGGGTCCATCTGCAGGCTGCAACGCGCCGAACCTTAGTCCCGCATGATCGCTGCAGAAGATCCAGTGCCGATCGCCCGGAGGCTACGCGAGACATGTCAAATGGCCCATTCAACCCCAGTGTGCAGGCGGAATTTCCGCTGTCAACGAGTGGAGCGTTGCCATCCCATGTCGCAGGCATGCATGAGTTCGCATAGCCGTGCCGAAGGACTGAAGGGGTAGGTGCCACTGCTCATCTGCCTGTACGCAGTCGTAATGGAGCAGAAGGCAAACAAAGGGGAGACTGTGACTGGCTGCGAGGCAGACTGGAGGGGCGCAGGGCACTCACAGTATGGCAAACTTGCGGGGCTTGACAATGAAAATGGGTGTGAACATGAGTCCAATGCATGTAGCAAACATGGCTGCGGCTGCAAGTAGCAGCCCTCCAAACACGAGCAGGCGGTCCCACCGACTCACTGCAGTATCAGTCAGCACGGTCCAGCAACAACGGTAGTCGACGTTAGTCGACGTGAGATGCGAGTGTCCAGGTTTGAAACGCTCTACGCAGGAACCCCCTTCAGTCACACGCCGACTAGTGGTAGCAAGTAGGTCCTTGTGACGGCCTGAAGACGTGACCCCAGGCAGGCCAAGGCAGCATCCTGTTTTGTAGATTGCCATATTCTCGAATCTGCATCACCCTAGTCGGGCATAGTGGACCTAGTCTCACCAATGAGTCTGCTGAGGCAATCACAAGGCCACCCACGGCTCATTGTGGCGCGACGGCGACCTTGGAGGACGCAAGTGACGACGCGTTACGAGGACAGGACGCAGCAGGGCAGCATGGTCCAGCAGTGCTGGGGAGTACGAAGCGCAGGCTGGGCGATGGGCAAACAAGCAGGCAGGGAAAGGAGCATACTGACGTGCAAAAAAGCCCTCCTCCTCCTCTCTCCGGGTGGGCGCGGGCAGTGGGGCTCCAGGGTTCGTCTCTGAAATGGGCAGCCTAACATAGCCGCCTGCGCCAAACAAGTTTGACACTCTGTCCATCACAGAGGGCGCGGCGGTACTGACGGGGGCGTCTGGCTCTCGCCGGCTCCAGCCCAGCGAGTTCATCGACTCCCGGAACGAGGCAGAGGCCATGTTGGGCGTTGGGATGTGGTAGCGGGCGCGAGGGCAGGGCTGCGAGCACGAAGCCGGTTTGTGTCGTCGAGATAGACAGTGGCAGCTAGCAGAATGAGGCCTGGCGTGGCCTGGAGCGCCGGAAGAAGCTTTTCACACAGCCGCAGCTGGCGACACAGCAAAGCACCGGTCTTGGTGGCAGGTAGCAGCCGCAGGGGGTGGGTCTAGCGCGCGGGCCTCAGCTGTCAGCCCGGTGCGGTGCGGGCGCGGTGGGAGTGCTGGGGGCGCTGGGGGTGCTGGGGCGCTGGGTCTGCGAGCAGCGCGGGCGTGCGCTGAACACCGCGGCGGGAGTGCTGGAACGGGTGGGACGCGACTGCGAGGCCGGGACGGAGGATTTCGTGCAGATGATCGCCTGCGGTGTAGAGGCAGGCCCAATGGGCGGCGGGGCGAGGCTTGTGACAGCGTCGGGGGGGTGTGCCTGCGATATGGCGGCGCGGCGGGAATCTGGGGCGAGGCAGCACGCGGGCGATGCGGGCGATTGGCTGGGGCGGACTGGCAGCGACGCAGTGTGGCAGTCTGGCAGCAGCAGCAGCAGCAGGCACTGGGCAGCGGGCAGCGGTTGCGACAATGCCTCGCGGTGGAGGTGTCGCGACGGGGCCGGCTAGCGTTGCACGCCGCAGACTCGCAGACATGGGAGCTCCAGTTCGCGGGTGGGGCCCCGGCTCTGGCATCGCGCACCCTGGCCGCGACCGTCTGCCATCCTGGCATCAACCGCGACGAGCACACCACCGCTGCGTCGCCGCACCTGCACGGCGGCGGGCGGCGCGATGAGTCACGGCCGGCGCGCTGGGGGCTTGCACGCTTGCACGCGTCTGCGAGTATCTAAGACATGAGGTTCACCACCCCCCCTCTGCGCCCGCGGGTGATCAGGGAGCAAGGCGCTGCTCTGGCGCTGCCTCTGGCGCTGGACGGCCGCCCAGGCGAGTCAGAGCCGCACGCTGCAGTGCGTATATAAATGCTCGCCGGCCCGGCTGGACGCAGCAACTGTTCTGCTCGATTCATGCCGCAGACCGCCTCGCCGCCTCACCGTGCTGCTGCCCCCCCGTGGCTGTCCCGCCCGTAGTCTAGAGTCGCCCTCTGCCTCACCAGCCCGGACCACCGCGGGCCGAGCTTCCTTCACAGCTGCACCGCTTCGCAGCGCCATTGTCTGCGCAGCCCGACGTCAGCGTCTCACCCCGAGCGTCTCACCCCGAGCCCGCCGTGCCGTGCAACAGCCCGCCGTGCCACAGCCCGCCTCCGTTTCTGCGTGTTTCACGCTCGGCAACCGCGCTCTGCGTTCGCTGGTGCTGCACGCCGCCGCCGCTGATTCGCCGCGCCCGTCTGCCTTGGCACCGCCAGTCGACACGATCCTCGCCTCTGCCCTGACCGCCTTCTCCGCCTGCTTTGGGCGCCCCTACACCTGGCCCGACCCTGTCCGCTCGCCTCAGTTGCTCCTGCTGCGAACTGCTGCACTGCTGCACCGCTGCGTCTGCTGCTCCCGCTGCACCCGCCTGCTGCTGCTCGCCCGCCCACCAGTCTCGGCCTGGCCCTCGCTGCCATCCTGCGCCCCCGCCATTCGACCCTTCTTCGACCATCCGCCCCAGAGCCCACCCAGCACCGTCTCCACCCACGTCGCACAGCGCCCTCCCACCGCGTCCTCCCACCGCGCCCTGCTTCCGCGCCCGCCCACGAACGCCGCCTCGCTCCAGCCGTCGCTGCCCCGCGTGTCGACTCAAAGAGCAGTCTGTGCCACCGCCGCCGCCCTCGCCAGCCGTGCTCTGCCCGCCGCCCTCCGCTGCGCGCGCGCCTCCTCTCGACCTCTCGACGCCTCGACGCCGTGCTCTGCGTTGTTGTGGCAGCCTGTCCGCCGCCCGCCGCCCGCCGTCTCCGTCCCTGTCGCCAGTGAGTCAACCCACCCCTCCCCACCATCCGTGCCTCGGCACCGCTGCCCGCCGTGGCCTCCACCGAGCGACTGTGCCAGTGTGCGACCGTGTTCGCTGCTTTGGTCGCTTGTGCCACGGTCCCCACAGTGCTAGGCGCAGTGCCGCTGCCGTCCTCTGTTGCTCGCTACCTGGCTGTGCGCCACACTCATGCAACCAGCCTCCGAACCGCTCAACGTCTCCTTGACAAGGGCCCTGCGCTGACACATTCCCTTAGCCCTCACCCGAGCGCCAAAGCCACGAGCGCCAAAGCACCCTGCACCGAGCGCCTCCTAGAACAGGCCTCTGCCACTCCGCTCTCCCTTCACACCTGTCAATACCCACCGTTCGGGACTTTTGTCTCTGTGCAGCCCCAGCCAGTCTGTGTACGTGCACATCCTCCTGCACGTAATCCTGTGTCCGGTGAGCACTGCTCCCAGAAGAAACGCCCTGCAGGCCAGCCCGCGCCGCTAACACCTGCTCCACAGACACTGCACGCCCTCCCAGAGCACTCACGGGCTTGTTACCGACTACCAAGCACCACAAGCGAGCTGCCTAGCTTGCTGAGTGACCCTGTGCGCAAGATAGCAATCGGCTTCCAGGGTCCTTCTTATAGGGTCACAGACCGTCTCGTGGTGCAATCATACTGCACTGCATTCCTTAGTCACTTGCCGGGTCGCAGATAGTAAGTTTCAGATCCAGCAGTCTGGGAACCAGCACCGGCCTCCTCGGCCTCACACACACACATTCCCCGGGTCCATTGTAACCTAGTGATGCCAAGTAAGTCAAGCCTCCCCATCACCACCCCTTCACTCTCCCAGGCCTTTTATATTGCATCTCCCATCCCCTGTCCGTCCCCACAACACTTCTCTTCTCGGTCTTCCATCATGTACTACGAGACCATACTGACTGTCCCCCAAGCGGACGCTCTCTTCACTCCACCTTCATCCTACTCTCCTCAAAAAACCCTCGCCCGGTTGGACCTTCGGTTGGACACCCACTCTGACGACACTCTAGACCCTGATATTTTCAACATGATTGGCAGTGGATCACCCCAGCCATACATCAAGGAAGAAGTCGACGACATGCAGTTCAATTCCGGCCGTTTCGGGAACCAGCACGCCTTCGACATGAACCAACAATTCGCCAACCCCCAGTACAGCTCAGCACACGAAGGCGGGAGTGCCATCGACCCATCAAACCTCACCATGAGCGGGAGCATGAACATCAACAGCCAGTTCGGGTCCACCAGCTATGTGCACGGTGCTGCAAATATCGCAGACGATGAACTCGCTGACTCGCTGGCATTCAACGGGTATGGTCAAGAAAACTTGAACAGCCAGGCCGATTTCTTCCACTCCAACTCCAACGCTGCAAACATGGGTCAGATCTACTCCAACACTCCCGATGATCTGCCCATTCAAAGCCCTTTCGTGCACCCTGGAGGCTTCGACTTCAACCAGTACACGAACACGCCTTCAAGAATGGGCTTCCCAAACAGCATGCAAGCCAACTCAATGAGGCAACGCATGGCCATGAGCAGGACTGGCTCTGACAGCCGTACACCCATGTCCCCAAAGACCCCAGCCATGGCAGCCCTCAACCTTGGTACCCCTGATTCGGGCAACTTCGCCTCTCAGCCCATCATGACCAACATGCATCGCCACCAAAAGAGCATGTCTGGACAGTGGGAAGGTACCCCCGGCAGCGCCCACTCTTGGATTGATTCTCCCACCCAGTCACCCCATGCTGCATCCCTGCACCACCAGCAGATCAGCGAAGTCATGCACGGCAAGCACGCCTCCCTGCCCACCAAGGTCGACATTGGCCAGACTCAGGATGCTAAGAAGCGCCGCCGCCGGGAGTCTCACAACCTGGTTGAACGTCGTCGCCGGGACAACATCAATGAGCGCATCCACGACCTGTCTCGCCTAGTGCCTCAGCACCGTCTCGAAGATGAGAAGATCCGCAAACATATCAACAACAATGGCCCACTCTCACCCACGATGGGCGCCACTGGTATGTCACCGCCACAAGCGACCTCATTGCTCGCTGGGGGTAGCGGCCGACGGGCTGCTGGCAACATCACACAAGGCCTCCCTATGGAAGACAAGGACAAGGGCCCCAACAAGGGAGACATTCTCAACGGAGCCGTCAGCTGGACTCGTGACCTCATGTGGATGCTGTACAAGAAGATGGAGGAGACCGAGGAGCTTGCCGCCCGTCTTCGACAGGCGACTGGCGAAGAATGGCCCGAGTTGAGCGAGGACGAGAAGCGCATGAAGACAGAAATTATGGAGGCTGTCGAGAGAAACGGCGCCGGTACCTTCAGGTACTCTCGCGGACCTGGTTCTGGTCTCCGCGTTCCCAAGCACACCAACCTCTCCGGCGAGCCCCTGTCTGGACTGTCGCCTCAAAGTCTCAGTCCTGGCATGCAAAGCACCGGCAGCGGCTCCGGCTCCAACCAGCAACAGTACTGGTCCAATCAGGCTCTCAAAGAAGAAGACGAGTTTGGTATGGACATGGGCTGAGCGCTCCAGACTTGGTCCCTTCCAGTACACCTTTCCTTGTCTTCTTCTCGGCTTTTCGTTTCCATGATACCCCGCGATACCACGCATCCGTTCCGGCATCTTGCAGATGCACACACTAGACCGACTTGCGGGGAGCTAGTCGTCCGCCGAGGACCTTCCAAGGCTGCCCTCTGATTGATCTACACGTGTCACCTGTCTCTGCTGGCCAAGGATGGACGACGCCCGCACTACAGTTTACACCATATTGCTTCCCGTCTCATTGCATAATATGTCCCACCTACCGGCGTCTACACCGCGCCGCCCGCCCCCGATGCAGGAAGGCTGTCCTCGCTTGGGACGCGGGCCGGCTTCTGCACTGCGCCACAACACGCAGTGGTCCGATTCCTCTTGCCATTTTCGACCATGATCTTATTTCGTGTTTGCGTTCCTATACTCGATTGTGTATGTCAGGCTTGACAGAATGCATGGGCAGGCGTGCGGCGGTGTTATCGGTCCGCGGTTCTTATTCTGCAGGTGCAGATGACAAGTTGTTTTACCACGCTCATACATTGCTACTATTGCGTTTATGCTGTTGTTTCACACTGCTCTGTTCTGCTTCCGCGCTCTAGCTCCAATTATATCCCGTCTATGCACTCACCCCCGCTGCTGCCGTGACCCGCCGTGACCCGCCCCGACGTGATCGCCCCATCTGTCTCTGCAGCACACATATCTCATGCCGTCCCCCTGCCCCTCGCCACCAAACAACGCATTGAATAGCAGATATTGCTTTTCTCCCACTCACCGGACCTGCCTCGCCGCAGTCCATGCAAGGCACACCACTGACGCAGACGCAAACGCTGTCTCGCCGCTCGTCATGCCCAGCGCGCCACCGCAGCTGTGCGCAAGACACGCCCTCTGCGCCTGCGCCTGCGCGCGCCCGCGGCGGTTTCAGACGGCTGCACAGCAGCGGCGGTGCGGGGCGCGGCGCAGAGCCGTCGCAGCGGTGGGCGAGACGACAGCGGGCACTAGCACGCGGGCGGGGGGACGGGGGTGTTTCGTGTTGAGGACTGATGTGCTGTGCTTTGCTGCACTGCGTTGCGCTGCGTTGCGCTGCGCTGCGCTACGTCACGTCACTTCACGTCATGGCACGGCACATCTTTGTCTCCCTGTGCAGCGACACCAACATGCTTGTTGTGGCAGGCTGGGTCTGCGCACCCGGGTATGACTCGCAGCAAGACATGTGGCTTTGTGGACGCCCGCACACACTGATCATGCACTGCAGCGCCGAAGCGGACATGACAGCTGCGGAGTCGCGGACCACAAGAGAGGAGCTCTGTATGCGTTTGGTCAGGCGTGGACTCAGGGGTCGGGTCATGGGGAGGACTGCGGGCGTGTCTGGGGGGTGGGAACGGGTTGGGGGGAGGGCACGAGACGCCGTGCTGGAGGGACGGCGGAGCGATGGGGGCAGCGTCTGGACGGGGTGGGGTCATCTGCGGCGCAGTGCGGGTGTGGTGCTGTGGTACGAGCAGAGGGGTGGTTGTGTGGTATGGCGGCTGTCTCCCTCTTTGTCCCCACAGCCGGAGCGGACAGGGTGGTGAGACGCAGTAGTGTAATGTCGGTATCCGAGACATGCTGCGCGGCATGCTCAACAACTGCAGCCACCGTAGTTTGGTTGAGCGACATGGCCGCAGTCACCATCTGTAGAACACTGGTCGCAACACGTCTACGCCAGCAACGGCTTGTGCGTCAAACGTGCTGATCGGCCGGCCCTCAACATCTACAGCGACCGAGTCCCTGGCATGCGCGGCACATACTATCATTGCTATGATATTGACTTTGCGTGCCTGATATCGCGTCGTAGCATTAGCATCATGACTACAGCCGCTAGCTCACAGTCGGGTGCAGCCCTAGCAGGAACTATGTCTCGTTTCGCTCGTTGCCAATCGCATAACATCATCAGCATCTTGCACGACGCGGTTCGACGTTAGCTTGCGCGATACGACCGATGTCATGGATCTAAATCGGATCATCCGGACCTCGCTGTTTCAAGCCCGTAGTGCACAGTGGGCGCAAAGCTTAGTAGACGGTTGCGTAGCAAAAGCTTCGTCGGCAGACAGGGTAGAGGGTGAGGGGTCGTTCTGTGGTGTCAGTAAGAAGCTCGGTGTGACGTTGCACCCTCTTGTCTTGCAGATCGGCAAGATCTTGTCCAGATCTGATCTGCGGGACGACCGATGTCTTAGTTGGGTTATAGGTGTGCGAAGGACGGCGCATTTGACGGAGAAAGCCCGCTTGGGATGTGTTGGTTGGGAGACGGCTTTAGCAAGTGTAGCAATCATAATCAAACCGAATGTATTATGTTGTGCATCGCAAAAGCCTTTGGCGCTCATTGCAGGGTCGAAGGACGTCTACAAGTCAAGCCTACGCTGTGCAACTTGCACAACCGTAACCGCCCGCCTGCTGTGGCGCAGTTTGGTACGACGACCCTGTCGTCTACAGCATATGTCAATATGTCAGTCGCGTATGTCTCGCCTATCCTTCGACATCATCCCTCTATTTCCAATACCACTGAAGTGCCAGACCACGGTCCTCGATTTGTCATGTTCTTGGAGCGGAAGGGCGCTGGTAGCCTGTCAGTCTGCGGCCCAGGACCTCACGGCTGCCCCGGGTGATATTGGCGTCGGCTGATGCGGCAGGCGTGCTAGAAGTCGGTGGTTTCTCGGTTGCTCGGTTCGTGCCGAGCCAGTGACGAGCAGTTCAGACCCCTTCATTCCGATATGAGTCGACATATCTACGAAGTGCGGGGCTTATCGTGCCCTTGAGGTTGCGGTGAATGGGCTGGGGTTGCAGTCGCAGCGGACGGGCTGCGGCGGTCGCTATCCTCGCCGAAGCCAAGATTTCTGAATGAGTCAGGGGCCATGAGATTCCTGTGGGCACGGTTCGAGTCAGTGACGTCCTCTGCGAAAGTCTGTCTTGGGCAGTGCTGAGCTATGATCGGATGCTGCCGACGCAGTGTGACAGCACTATGTGGAGATGTGGGTATTGTTGAGGGGGCAACTATCCGCAAAGCATATCGGGCGCTGAGGGAGAGTCCGGGCTGGCAATGACTGATTTGACACCGAGACGTTTCAGATCTGACAAGAGATGAGGAATGCGGACTGCTGCATCTCTCCCTTGCTTCACTGCAGATATTCCCAAAGACCTGGTTCGAACTTTTTGACAGGTCGGTATCACAAGCTTCTTTTCTCCCTTGCTTTTGACTGTGGAGCCGTATCGAGCACAGAATGATCGTCGCGACTAGACATGGCTGTATGGAAAGAAAGGTAGATCCGGTACGTACCGATCCATCCGACAGGACAGGTATGACTTTGAAAGATTGCGACATTCAGAGTCGTTGGTCCCACGGTGGGATTTGATACACCTGAGGTAGGATAGCATGATGTCCTTGCACTCGCCTGGAATGTAGCGTCAGCGGGTGAGCTATGGCGTGTGGCTGGAGGAGACCACGGCCAGCACCGTAGAAGAGCGAGCCGTACCATCATGATCGAGCGGGAAAGAGCCGCGCTCAGGACTGCGAGCCGCGGTTAGCTGAGGTTGAGCAAGACAGGGAGGACCCAGAAGGACGGTAGGTTTGGCGCAATGCAGTGGGAAATGCAGTAACTTACGGATTGGGCCTGATGACCTTCTGTCCAAGACCGGCGCCACCAAAAGAAGCCATGACGTAAGCTATATGGGTGCACAGTTACGGCGGGCGTGGTGTTGTTGTGTGGACAGTGCAGGCGTGTTGGTGATGGAGCGGTGGAGTGAGCTCCGAATAAAGTCGCGCGAACGATGGCCTAAGCGTCCCGCGCCGGCAATGTCGCGCATGATGCACCATGATGCACCACAACACAGACGGAGTTGCATCCACGTCAATTCTCAGATGTGTCGTGATAACGGATGTAAATCTGATCGACGATAAACGTGATAAAGGTACCCTCCGAGCAATCCACTGCGCTGTTGACCCTGAAACGCTGCTTTGTCGCAAAGCAGCTTGTTTGTATTGGTAGTCTCGTGTGTTTTTCAGCCCCTGCTGCGTTGCTGAGATCATCGAGAGCGGCCAATACCTGCACAAGGACCTACCGTTGTGTTGCAAAAGTGGTTAAAGCCCCCGGCGCCCCGCAGCGTCAGCTTCCCCACTCGACCTCCTGCAGAATCCCCACGTCACCTAATGGCGCTGCCGCTGCCTCCTGCGTCGAGCCTTCACGCAATCCTGCTGATTACAAAGTCGCGCTCGCTGGGCCCTCGTCTTGTTTTCCACTACCCGCCTCTTTCGCCCTCCGCTGCAGCTCTCGCTGCAGCCAAAGATCCCTCTTGGTATCGCAACGAAAGCTCTACTGCAAGCGTTGATTCGAACAGCTCGGACAGCGATTGGGACAGTAGCACAGAAGCAGATGAGAATGACGACCTAGAAATAGGCAGTCGCACAAGCGGCCGAGGCTCAGGACGAACCGGCCCTAGCGGGAGTCGTGACAGACTAAAACTAGGAATCGGTGGCTGGAGTAGACAAGAGACGATCGACGAAGAAGACGTCGATGATGAGAAAGATGGCAATGCGCGGCACCGTGGTGGTGATTACGACTGGAACTCTGTGCTTGGCTTCAAGGTCGATGCGCTCGAGAAGATACTAACGCCGAGTGAAGACTACAACAAAAGACGTTTTGAGCTTGGTGTAGAAAGCATCGTCTTCGTCGGTGCGCCCATGTTCGTAAGAGAAGACGGCCTGTGGAAGAAGCTAAAACGGAGGAAGAAGAAAAGGTCGGAGCTGCAGAGAATCGAAGATGGGGATCTGTCCAATGCAGAGGAAGAAATCGAACCAGAACCTTTCATTTATCCTCCGGGCTTTGAGCCTGGCTATGGGCACGAATCGCCGTCAGTCGCTGGATCTGTGGCCGCTTCCGAAGCAGGGTCCGAGGCCCGTAGCACTTCCACTGCCGCTCACGATGACAATCCTGATATGACCATGTTCAATGTCGTTTTTGTGCTGAACCCTCCGGCCCTGGAGTATCAAAGACGCGTCAAGGAGATGTACGACAATGTGACTCGGAAGTACGCAAGAGCTCTCAAATACGAGCAGGCTAGATTCCAGTACGTCTGGAGAGAGTCGAAGCGTATCATCGACATCAAGCAGCGTGCGAAAGAGAACGGGGATTCCATTAGTCTGACGTGGAAAACCCTCCAAGCTACCTCGCCATTGGCCAAGTCGATAGCCATACTTTACAATGCGATCTCGGAAGACAAGATCGCCCATATTCACTTCGATGCCACCTTCAACACATCGTTCCAGATACCTCAAGCCATGTCAACACCCTACCTGCCGAATTCTCTTGAACCGCAAATGCCAGGGCTCTGGCTGACGACATCGAACGTTGTGTTAGACGAAGAGGAGGCACCAATGACGCAGCACGCAGCACTCCTCCTATTGGAAGATCCAGAAATTTTGATCAAGGATCTGGGAGGCGAGTCAACAGACGACGGGGCAGCGATCGCTGGGCTGATTCGTAGAATTGTGCCCACGAAATCGCTTCTCAAAATCTCCAAGAAACACAATATATCAGCCCATGATATGCAGTACATGGCCTCACACTTGGTCTACTGGCGTCGCGCTCAACTTATCGACCCTCTGTCGCAGCGTGACACATACATCATGTCTCCCAATGCGAACATGGCCAAGCTCCCCAGCGCTGCTGCATCATTTGCACGCCAGTTCCCAACCTTGCCATCCCTGCCGAAATTCTTAGGCCTACTATCGGGGACTCCACGTATCTACAAAAGCTTCATTCCCACCTATGAGCATAGAGACACCTATCTCGAAGTACTGGCATGGCTAATGCGAGGTGGTTGGGTTACACAATTGAGGACATTTGCATGGATACGCGTGACTCCCGAGATCAAAGCCCAAGTTGCGATAGAGATGGAGCGGGAGGAGCGGATCAAGAAGGCCGAGGAAGCGAGAAGGGAGCTCGTAAGCGAGAATGGCTCGATAAATGCATCGCTGTTCTCTGACAAGCGATCAAGCCTGCTGTCCGATCACACAGCGAGGCCACTTACGCCGATGAAATGGCGCCGGGATAGGAGTGCCGACACCCTAGACGAGATGGAATCCAGCACAATCTTGAGTCCACGCGTTTCAGCGACCAACTCGGCGTCCTACCGTGCTTCCTCGGCCCGTCCGTCTTCTGATGCTGGCAGTAACAGCAGCCAGCGTACAACGATCGCTCTCAACGCAGGCCGTCCAGACTCGCCATCTCACCTCCTACCTCACAACAGTAAAGTCCACAAACCGAGTCCACTGCACCTAAAACCTACGTCGCCGTCCATTAAGGCGGTCACCTCACCACCCCTCCCAGTCGAAGAAGACCTTGCTGCTCAGCCACACCTTTTTAAAGGCAGCTTGATCCTCAGTCCGCGCAAAGCGTCCAGCGTTGAGGCGCGCTGGCTCGAAGCAATTGGCAAGACATTCGAAGATATCGATCACCACCATCCTCGTCATCCCTCATTCCCAGTCAACAATCCCAGCCCTCCGAAGAACACAGACGGAATGATGGGTATCTCAGGCAAGGAGCTCAGAGAGCAATGGCCGATGCTGCAGAGGCATTTAGACGGGAAGCATGCAATTGAGGACATTGCGCCTAGGGAAGGGCTGAAGAGAAAGAGAGTCGCTGTTCTGTTCAATGCTGTAAGGGAGAAAGGGTGGTTGGTTGTTGTAAGGCATTGGTAGACACGAGCTCTTTCGCTCGAAACTCGTCGCGAATAGAGACCCACAGCAACGGATGTAGAACTACTATTACCAGCTCAAATAAGATTGACCATGTCTAGCAATCGATCCCTGGAACGTCAATGTTTGACGAAACTCAGATTGGCTGGCGGCTGCTGCGCCCTCGAAGTGCCCCGCGGCGCCTCAGCCACTCAGGCAGCCACATCTGATCTCATCGGCTCGCCAAAAGCGCCCAAAAACATTGTCACAGTGACTCCGAGCGCGTCCCAAACGGCTGCGCCCTTCTCTTCACTCGTACTTTTAGCCCACATAGCGTGAGTTTCCGCCCTTCCTGGAGTCATCGTCATCACCTCGTTCTGTGCCTCGTTGTTGCCTGTATGGCCGTGTCTGTCATTAAAATCTCCCCGCTCCTGCTCGTTCGAACTGCATTGCGCGCAGCTCCACGCTTACACCTGCGCCTTCCTCAGATATCCCGAAGCTTCCAGCGATTCACGCGTACGCCGCTCCTTTTCATCACCAGACCCATTACGACCGCAACCATGGCGCACCGCGACCGCGCACCCTACGTCGCTCAAGATCCAAAAGAGATCACTAACCTTATCCACTCGTTGCATGCCCATGAGGGTAAGAAGGGCAAAGGCGGGTTCTCCGTCAAAAAGCACACATTCACCCTACCCAGCGGCCGGACGGTCGACTCTTGGAAGATGAACGACTGGGATTATAAGAAGGAGCACCTCCCCACCTACGCGCGAGGACTCTTCACATATACAAACCGCGCTGGACAGCCCGAGATAGCCGTCAGGGGATACGACAAGTTTTTCAACCACGGCGAAGTCAGGAAGACAGAATGGAACAATGTGGAGCGAAACACACGAGGACCGTATGAGTTGAGTGTGAAGGAAAATGGTTGCATCATCTTTGTTTCCGGCCTTGATGACGACACACTCTTGGTCTGCAGCAAGCACTCCACAGGTGCACGTGGCGACGTCGAGCTCAGTCACGCGATGGCAGGTGAGCGTTGGGTCGAGAGGCACATTGCGAAAGTCGGGAGGACAAAGGTGGACCTTGCGCGAACGTTGCGGGCAATGAATGCGACACTGGTGGCCGAACTGTGTGACGACGAGTTTGAAGAGCACGTCCTTGCTTACACGCCCGACCAGGCCGGCTTGTACGTCCATGGTATCAACCTTAATCTTCCTCAGTTTGCGACGTATCCCGGGCACTTGGTCGACAAGTTTGCAGACGAATGGGGAATGAAGAAGGTCGTTTATGTCATGGAGAACGATATCAGCATGGTCAAGACATTCCTGGACAAGGTCGCCGAGACTGGAAACTACGACGGACGCGACACTGAGGGTTTTGTTGTCCGATGCCAGGCACGAGCAACCGAAGCCGCACCTTACGAAGACTGGTTCTTCAAGTACAAGTTTGAGGAACCATACCTAATGTACAGGCAGTGGCGGGAGTGCACAAAGGCTATGATTGCTGGGAAGCCACCGCGGGCCAAGAAACACAAGGCCATCACCGAGGAGTACTGCGAATTCGCGCGCAAGAAGTTCATGCAGAACCCAGGACTGGCGAAGGCCTACAACCAAAACCATGGTATCATCAAACTGCGTGAGGAGTTCCTGGCTTCGCGTGGCATAACAGGCGCAGAAATCATTCAGCAAGAGCTGAATGCAGGCGCACAGGAGAGTAAGTCGGTCAACAGAAACGTGGTTCTTGTTCCCATCGCTACGATCGGCTGTGGTAAGACGACTGTGGCTCTGGCATTGGTGAAGCTGTTCGGATGGGGCCACTTCCAGAACGACAACGTCAAAGCAAAGAAAGGACGAGGCCAGGTCTTTGCCGATACTATCTCCTCACTGCTCATCATGAACCCTGTCGTCATTGCCGACCGGAACAACCATCAGAAGCGCGAGCGAGACCAGATCATAAACGACATCTCGCGAACAGTGCCGGACGCTCGCTTTGTCGCACTTCATTACGTTCACGAGCGATCGAACTTTGACGCCATCCGTGACGCGACACGGAAGCGTGTGCTTGATCGTGGCGACAACCATCAGACCATCCAGGCGGGCTCGAAGGGCTCTGGCGAGATCATTGAGATCATGGAAGGCTTCATGCACCGCTTCCAGCCTCTCGATCCCTCGGAAGCCCCTGATGATATCTTCGACCTTGTCATTAACATCGATCCCGTTCAGGACTCGCGCCAGAACCTGGAGACGATCATTAGCAAGATGGCAGAGACATACCCTGCTCTGTTCGAAGGCCGAGACATGCCGACTGACACGGATATGGACGAAGCAATCCAGTGGGCTATGAACGACTACACACCCGACTTCAAGATGGACCTATCACGAGGCGGCCCGAAGAGCCAGCAGTACAACAACAACCAAATTCTCCAGAACATGCAGAAAAGTCAGGCCGGAGATAATGGAAGGAAACAGCCGCAAGGAGAGGGCAAGTCTAAGAAGGCCCCGCGCATGGAGTACTTCTCTGTCAAGCTGAATTCGTCCCGGGTCAGCTCAATCCTGGATGCTGCGTTCAGTGGTAAGGGACCTGAGGCTGCGCGGCTCTACAACCACCTCAAGCAGCAGCGCCGTATTCAAAACGAGTTTCACGTTACACTCATTCACCGGGCTTCAGCCACTCAGAATCAGCCATACTGGGACAAGTTGACCAAGCTGAACGACAGTGTGCAGGCTATGGCTGGGAATGGAGAGCCAGAGTTGGGCAAATGCGGTGTCCTGCTGGAGCGCTTGATCTGGGATGACCGCATCATGTGCTTCGTTGTGCGTCTCAACGGTGCCTCCACGCTCCAGGTTGAAGGCGGAGCCGGCACAACGACAGAAGAAGTGATGTTCGAGACGGTCAACCCCATTGCACACATCACCGTCGGCACGGCAAACCAGAGCGTCAAGCCCAAGGAGAGCAATGACCTGCTGCAGCGATGGCTGAACGAGGGCTCGGGCGATGCAACCGGCATTGGCGAGCTGACTGTCAAGGGCAACGTGGTGCTTGATGGCAGCGTCCGCGGTGTGCTAGGTCGAATGTAGAATGGCGACGGGCATGTGACGGCTCGCAAGCGGTGATATAAAGGGTTGCTTTGAAGGAGGCGAGGCGGCGATGAAGCGAGAAGGGCTTCGATTACGACAACAAAGGCAGGCAGGCCTGTGGAGGGAAATGGCATACATGGCGCTCAGTCACAGCATCTCAGCTCTACTTACATCTCAGCTCTGCATCTCAGCTCTGCGTGTTCACCACGAGCAACCTGCCTTATACCAATTCAACGAATCAAATTTATCTTGTGCACACATTGACCGTGTATCCATAAGCAGCAGCAATTCGCAGACAAAGCCCCTTGTGTTGTTGTGTCTGCAGCAGAGTCAAGACAAGCCGTTGCAAGCGAGCTGGCAGTGGTCCCTGCCCGTCAGCTGCAAACGGCCCGTCGCGCAACAGCTGTGGCGCGCAGCTTGTGGCGACGCCCAACGACGTCTCGCAAACTTGGCGCGCAACGCAGACAACATTCCGACCTGGACGCGACGGCAGATTGTCCATGGCACCGCCCGCGCGTGCTCGGCCCCTTGGGAAGTCGTCTTTCTCCACCGCCTTCTCGCGCCTCAAGACGTCTACATACATCGATGTGCTTCGCCCCAACGCCTCGGTCTCGGCGGCGCACTACATCCGCACGCTGAGCTGGAACGCGTCCGGCACGTTCATTGCGACCGGGGCTGCGGATCGGACGCTGCGGATCTGGAACCCCGAGAAGACCAATGTCAAGAACTCGACAGAGCTGCGCACGCCAGGCGTACCGCCGTCCACGCAACTCGAGCGCGTGGCATTCCACCCCATCAACGAGAACGAGCTGGCAAGCTGCAGCACCGATGGCATGGTCAGGTTCTGGGACATCCGGTCAAAGGCCAGCGTAGGCGAAGTCAAGGTCGGCGAGCAGCCCTTCACACTGGCCTGGACGCCGGACGGCAGTGAGATTGTGGCGGGGCGGAAGGTCTGCGTCTCCGACTGCGTGCATTGCTATGGTGCTGACTGTACAGGATAACCTTCTCGTTTCCATCGACCGCGCCGCGCTGCGCATCCTCTCCGAACAACGCCAGCCTGTGCAGACCAACCAATGTGTCTTCGACTGGTCCGGCGCACACCTCTTCCTCACGTCGGGAGACGGCAGCATCAAGGTCACCGACTACCCCTCATTCACCCCCGCCCTGTCCCTCAACGCACACACGTCGTCCTGCTACGCCCTCAGCATGTCACCTTCCGGCGAGTACCTGGCTGCGGGCGGCGGCGATGCTCTCGTCTCGCTGTGGGACACGCAGGAGTGGATATGTGTACGGATGTTTGACCTCACAAAAGAGCCGGTCAAGAGCGTCGACTTTAGCTTTGACGGGAGCTACATCACAGCGGGGAGCGACGACAAGGAGGAGAAGAAGATCAAGATTGCGCATGTGGAGACGGGCGAGGTGGTGCACGAGATCACTGTGCAGAAGGCAAGCAGTGTCATCAGCTGGCATCCCTGTCGGTACGTGCTGGCGTACTCGCAGGAGGAGCAGGGCTTGCGCATTGTCGGTGGAATCAACTAGGAAGCAGACGACAAAACGAGTCATGGCCAGCACTCGCATAAGATACCCATCAATGCCAACACACGCAATTGACACTCTGTGCCCTTTGCTTTGCCGAGTACGACGCTATTCCCGAGTCACAGACGAGTGACGCCATCGAGGCTTGGATATGTAAGCAGCGAAATATCAATATACTCCGTGTACTCCGAACGCCTTTATCAACGAAACTCAATTGGACGGCAGAACACAGTAAAATGGACGTTCTAGCACCAGTCAATCCTGCCTCCCTCTTCTCGGCCAAGGGCCTGGTCGTAGTCATCACCGGCGGTGGCAGTGGTACGTCGAGTCCAAGCTTCACAAAGCTACCCCTCCCCCGCCATCCGCTGACGTCGCATAGGCATTGGCCTCGCCATCACAGCAGCACTGCAGCAGAACGGCGCCTCCAAGATCTACATCATCGGCCGCCGCAAAAACGTCCTCGACGAAGCCATCGCCAAACTCGACTCCTCGCCCTCCGCGCCAAAGCCCTCGGTCCTCTCCGCCATCTCCGCAGACGTCACAGACCTCGACTCGATCCGCGCCGCCGTCGCGCAAATCGAGCGCGAAACCGGCTATGTCGACGTTCTCATCAACAATGCAGGCGTCATGGGCCCCAAGTCGGGTCAGCCCATCCACGACGCGCACTCCATCGAGGCCCTCCGCGACGCCATGCTGCTCGGCATGGACACCCCCGCGTGGTCCCAGGCCTTTGAAATCAACACCCAGGCCGTAGTCGGTGTCTCCGCGCTCTTCCTCCCGCTGCTCGCTGCCGCCAACACCCGCCGTGGATGGGCCTCTGGCCGCGTCACCGGCACGGGCACACCGCGGGCCCGCGACACCGCCGCACTGAAGGAGCTGGGCATCGACCATGACGACGACCGCCTGGCGCACATCATCACCGTCGCGTCTGTCGCGAGCTACATGCGCTGGATCAGCGCGGGGCTGGCGTACAACGCGACCAAGGCCGCCACCGCGCACCTCAGCAAGATCTTGGCTACCTTCCTGGCCGAGTGGGGGATCCGTAGCAATCTCATCTGCCCGGGCCCGTATCCGAGTGACATGACGAGCGCAAATCCGCTGGCGTACGGGACGAACCAGATTCCGCAGGGCCGCATGGGGAATGTGAATGACATGGCGGGGCTGGTGCTGTTCTTGGTGGGCAAGGCGGGCGCGTATGTGAATGGCACGAGCCAGATCACGGACGGGGGGCGGATTGCCGTGTTCCCGTCAACGTACTAGGGGGTTGTCACGCGAGAGGTTGAGCGGGAGGGCTGCGAGGACACTCCACGGCGACTGCTTCGGTGTGGCTGTTTTGTCTGTACTACGAGTCCTTGTCTAGTCTGCGCCAACAGTGCATCGCGTAGCTTCATGAGCGCGGTGGCACAGCATATGTACAACGCGTAAAGATCCCCCCCACATCCTGTATCTGGCCTACCCTCCATCATCTATCGCCAGTGCAGTGCTCACGTCAGACCTCGAATAAAGTACCCGATATCCTTCTTATGGCAATACCGCCGCTGGTATTCGCGCGGCAGCTCCACAATCGACAAGCGCCTGTCACCCTTCTCATCCACAAAGAGGCGCACGCATGGTAGCTTCTCTTCGACGCAGTACTCGCAGGCAATGATGCGATTATCTACCTTGCGGCGCCTGGGCGGGATGCCTTGAAACTCGCGGCGCATGGTGGCCGTGATGCACGTCTGCTCGTCATACAGCTTGTTGCCCAGGAGGTAGTAGAAAGACCACGCCCAGTCCTTGTTGCTGAAGAGCCGCGCTGCAATCTCGTCGAGCAGCATGGTCTCAAGCTCGGTGCCCTCGCCGATGTTGATGCGCGCAATCCGTCCGTCGGGCTCCGTGTGTGGTTCGCGGGCGAGCTTTACTTCGCGCTTCAGTTTCTCCACGGCGGTGAGGGTGCTGTAGTGTTCGGCTTCCGCGTCGTAGGAGCGGTCGGAGCGCAGATCGCGCATGGAGGGGCCATTGAAGTTGCGTCTTGCCACGACGGGGTCCCGGTCTGGCTCGTTGATGTCCGAGAAAAAGCCGCTGTCGTGTGGTCTCGATGCTGCGGAACTCGCTGAGCGTAATGGAGGAGGCGAAGATTGAAGAGGGGTATCCTCGGCGACATGGCGTTCGTCTGGTCGCCCAGGAATACACACGCGAACCTCCACACGTGTATTAGTGCTGCGGCTGTTCCGAGCGGTCTCCAAATCTGCTCTTGTGCGCGACGAACGACTTGTTGGAGGTTCAACGATTCGGAGAGATCCAGAAGCGAGGTCATTGCTGGAGCCTTGGTGCCGCACCTGATTCTCAGGACTACTTCTGTGCGGAATGGTGAACCGCCTTACCTGCGGTGTCTCGGGTACTTCAAGAGCACCAGAGGCCATGGCATCATCGTTGGCCTTGTGGTGATCACTGAGTAGTTGCATCACCTTAGCTGCGAAGGACGACTCTCTAGCGCGGCCACCTGTGCTTTGTCGTTCCTGTACCCCATGATTGCGCGGAGCCAGAGGAGAGCTTTGCCTGGCTCTCAAGGTATGGCGTTGACCAGTACGCAATACAGGCATGATGGAAAGCTGGTTCGGAACGAGAAGAGGGTGTATGTGGTAACGACGGAGCGTTGACGAGCCCCGAGGGTAGCTGTCACACTGGAAAGCACAGTGTGAAGATTGTTGACATCTTGTGCATAACGAGATGTGGGCTCCATCTTATCCTCGGGCGGTATTCATCAGAGCGCGCAAGATCAACTCTCTGCGCTCAAGATCAACTGTGTCGGCCCCGTGCGCATTCGCTTATTTGTGATCCGGGTGTGCCGAATGTGGTATTTTGTACATTGAGCGGTAAAGTCGCCTTGATTGTGCGCAATGCTCTATCACCTTTTCAACGATGAAGCTGCAGCGGATGTGGGGCGTGACGCGACTGCGAAGACATGGGTGTCGGCGGGAAAGTGTTTATATCAGTTGCCTCCGTCATTTCTAGTCGCTTTAAAAGGGGTTTTTGCAGAACAAGGAACGTAACAGTTGCCACTGGGTGTTATGGCACAAACGCGACTGTTTTCCTGTGTTGATGAGAAGTTGTAGACGAGTGTTGTCGCCATTGCTCTCTCCATATCCGGAAGGTGCATAATCAGACCCTCACCGATCCACTTGGACATCAATTCTCATGGCGAATCATGATGAGAAGCGCCCGATCTCGCCCCAGAAGAGCCGACTCTTTTCATGAGCGCCCGTCGCGCGCTCAAGATCAACTCAAGATCACACTCGCAGCCTTTGAGGTATAAAAACCGGTTGCCGCCTCATCACCATCCTTTCTTCTTTCCTCAACTCCAGTCAACACTCAAGCAGATGTCCACTCAATGCAGGCCATAGCGACTTGGCTCTCGCCTTTTACTACGTTCCGGCCAGGTCCTTTGTCCTTATGAGCCTACTGCGGATGTTTAAGACGTTCCACTCTCTTCATCTGCAATTCCATAGATCATCATAGCAGCACCTTTGCTATGAGACTGTCTCGAGTCGTGCACGAAGTTCCCGTCGATATGATCTTTCTTGACGCTCCTTCGCGACATGTTCTGAATTGTACCATAGGTGAATTAAATAGCGTCTCAAAGTTTGCAAGACCTGATTTTGATGTTGTGCCTCGGATTGTGGATTACTACAATCCAGGCAGTCTGTCATACTCGATACATTCTTCGAAGCAGCGTCCTGGCGTGAGCTACTGACACCCCGACGGGCAATTGCGGTTCGGGTATGGTCATTCGATTCTGATTACGATGTATCGATCAGATGTAATCCACGAACATCAGGCAAGCATCGACATGATGTGCTGTGCTCATGCCGACTAACAACCGCCTACTATCTCCTCTGTATGTTCTTCAAGTCATCATCTGTGGCTCTCTCTTCACCTTCCCCTGCCCCTGCCTCGACCTCTGCCCCGACCCCTACCGCCGCCTCTCCCACCTTTGCCTCTGGAAGCACCTGCTCGCTCGTAAATCTTGACCTCGTCGAACGGGGCGTCGGCGACTCGAATGTAGCTGGGAATTCCATTGTCAACAACAGCCAGGACCACGTTCCTGCACCCGTGTTTCAGTCTTTGGAAGGACTGTGCGCCAGCCTTTGGTCTGTCTTCTGGCAGCTGTGCGAAGAGATCGTTGAGTTGTGCGCCGGTTGGGATAGGCGTTTCGCGGGCATCGATAACGCACATGCGGAAGTCGGGAGTGCCTCGCTGAGTCTTGCGGAAGCCCGATGTCGTCCTGTAGACATCGAAATGTACGCGGTATGGGTTATCGGCAGCTGAAGGAAGTGAGAACGATGGCGGCGTTGTGCGGTCGTGCGTCGGGATGATCTGCATAAGACGGAATACATCGCTGTAGCTACGGTATAACCCCGGTTTGATGAGTGGCCCGAAGGCAAGGTTTGCAGGTGCGATGGTGTAGGTGGGCTGGCTTATCCGGCGCCAAATCTCGGAGAAGAAGCGTGTGAAGACACTCGGTCTCGACTGCTCCTGCGACTCTTGCAACACGAGATCTGCACGATCGTCGTTCCATGTCCCTGTGCGAAAGACAACGTAACCCGATCTCTTTAACCCGGCGTACACATTGTACATTTCCAGTGTCAACTTCCCGCCCACGCCTTCTTCGTATCCAATAAACGCAGCATAAGCCGCCTGCAGGCTCATTGGCGCGCCGTCTTCGGTCTTGTAAGTTTGCTCGTCTCCTTCCTCTTTCTTCACAGGCCACCTGCAATCCAAGCTCCCTCTCTCGATCATGAACAGCGCTTCTTCGGGCAGCAGCCACTCTTTCCCGCCTTTTGAGCGTCCAATTGTTTGGAAATGCTGCGACTTGACTTTTTCTACGCAGACAGTGTTCGAATCTGGGTGATATTGAGCCAAAATATGGTTCTTGTGAGTGTGCGTTCGCTGCCACGATAGGACACCATGCATGGCTCGCCGCGAGGCTTCGAGTGTGTCAAGCTGCAGGTTCGTCGAATGCGACTCAAAATCCTTCTCGCCGCGCTTGGGTAGGGTTAGGTGCGCTACATCGTGGCCGCCTCTGTCGTGAACGTTAGCCTTACTGGCGCGCAGAAAGTGTTGCAAACGTACATTAGCTTGTCAAGGAAGCGGAAGTCCTGCGTTTCTTCTGTAGGATCATTCTCTGCTCCATCCTGCGTCCCCAGGTGCGATACGTCCTCGTCCGCGTCGGCCATGGCGATTGTTAGACTGGTTTGGGCGTTATGGACACTGAGGATTGAAGATCACGAACTTTGGAGCTGTGACTCGCGTAGGGCTGAACCACCCGAGCTTATCGATAAGAAATCGTTCTTCGCGTGCATGACGAGAGGGAGCAGAATCGTATTTGTTCGTCTTGTGATCATGTTATTTGATTTGCTTTTTGGGCGACGCTGGCAGGTCGGGTTGCACATAGCGACTAAGTCCGGACATCATCACATTACTCATCTATCCAACTCTTAGAACGTGTGAGTGCTAGCTTCAACTTATTCTTCCTTGCACATGCTCAGGTCTCACCGTATCGCCATCTGCATACCTACACGACAGGAATCGAGCGAGATACCGCTGCTCCGTCTGTTTCGATCAACCACTGAACAGATGCGTAGCTTGCCATGATGAACGCTGCACAAGTCTTGCCAGTCTCTAAATCCTTTACGCTACGGTTGTGTTCGGCGAGCTATCTTGATGTCGCCGTCTATGCTTCGGTTTGCGGGGAGCGGCTCGATCGGCAACTCTAAAATAACATCAACGGTCACTCTGGAAGAAGTAGTCCATGATGCTAGGTACGTGACACAGAAGACGTCTGATTCGCACCAGAAGGATCGGTCGGCTCGTCAGACGTCGCGCAAGCCGGAAGAATTGAGCAAGTCGTCTCGATAACAGGTTGGAATGACGAGCACTGGCAGGCTTCAATGAATAATTTCACAGTAAGTCAGCGACAATGATGGCCAGTACCAAACCGAGGAATTATGCGTAAACATAGCAAAGGAGGTGGAAAGATGGCAGAAATCAGCGCTTCTGAGTTCACGCTCCCGACTATTTTATCAGTACTGGTCATTCCATCGTCTTTGTATCGAAATCCAAAACAGGTGTGGTAGTTGCAAAGAGAGTACAAAGCTACAGGGAGACTTCAGGTCCGGTACAGTATGGTGATGGTGGAAGAGGCATGTACCTGAGGCAAACAGCCAAGAGTGGCGTCCTGCTGTGCCACTCTTCAGCCACCGCTACTATAGCATTGCTGACAAGTTTCACGATGCCGTCAAAAGGCGAATATTCGGCAAACGGCCATCACATTGTTTGCGCAGCTGCCTTGTTCCAGGCGTCATGTGATTCCCAACGATGTTTAGGCCAGCGTTGCTTCTCGTTTCCACCGTGGGAGCAGCATCGACTATCGAATCATATCGCCAACTGCGGATCTCGCGGTGGCGAACACACTGCGCAATCAACTCTCAAGATGAAACCGCGTCACTGGAACTGTCGAAAATAGATCGATCATCCTTCTTTCACCCCCAACGTGACGTCTGTAATTCGGACCATCGCATGAGATACCGCTGTCGAATCGAAGCATCGTTCGACCCCACATTATAGATGAGGCCGCGTAGAACACAGCATGCGAAATGAAACTGACCGATAAGACGGAGTCGGATCGAGTCAGAACCGGGTGTGAAAGCCAGGGTTGAGGTCGACAAGCACTGTTCCACGCCGGCAACTGTGGAGAAGCCAAGACCTTGGCATCTTGGTGCAACGCATGCTATCCACATCTCCATCTCCTGAGCGATTTGCTGCACGACTAAACATCTCATGAGCGTGTTCGAAACAATGCTTTGACCCGGCAGTGGCCATGGGCAAAACATCTCATGCGCTACAGCGTAGACAGGAGCGCGGCTTGGCCATCACTGCTCGCTGAAGCACCGTCCCGATTCCCAGCGGAAGAGCATGACAACGCTGATCCCAATCCAATGGTCGTCCCCTGTTCATTGAATGAATCAAACCTGCAATCGTTTCCTCCACCACTCGGTGGCCTTGCTCCGCGGTTTCAAGCTCCTTCAAGCCTTGGGAAGCGAGCCCGAGAACACCGCGGTGGCACAGGGGCAGGCTATCCGAACCGTCATGCTCATGCCGTATGTTCATGCGAACGAATATAGTTCGAGCCATCCACCAATCCGATTTTTGCACGTAGATGCGAAGATCGGTTGACAGATGCCGCTACAGCATACAGCCGATGGCGCTACCGTACACGACGTGTCGAACAAGGTTTGACACATTGCTTGCAATTCCATCCCACCAACACTCCGCTTCACTTGAGTACGCTTTGGGCGGCAGTCTGACGCGAATCTTTGGCGGGCCCTATCCTCGATCTGGATCCGTTGGCAACAAGCGCCGATTGGGGCCCCCAGCGGATCCCGTTTCGAAAGAAATGAGCACTGTCTCGCGAGAAAAATCCTCCGACGACACCACGATCACCACCCTCCTTTCCTATTCGGGAGCGGCAGACGGTTTCAGGACCCCGGGGGCGCTAAGATGTCCAATGCTCAATCTATCTGTGAATCAAGCGTACATGCTGGTTCGCAGTGCGCTGACTTTGACAGCATTCGAGAAGTCTAGGATGGGATCCACCAAGATGGACTGCGTGAGTATAAGAGGGAGCTGGAACCGCACCCATTTGGTTCTGCACTCATCATCGAGCCATCAACAGTCTCTTCAACTTCACTCTCTTCTCTTCTTCCTCTACAGTTGCTTGACGCACACTTTCGCTTTTACAATCACCACAGTCTTTGAATCTTTCGATTTTCATCACCACCTTCTACCTCAACCACCATCAAAATGAAGGCCTCCGTCGCTGCTTCCATCTTGGCTTTCGCCACCATGGCCACCGCTGGCCCCGCCTACAAGGCTCCTCACAGCTTCTCCAGCCTGACCAAGCGCGCCACCATCCCTATCCCTTCTAGCAAAGGTTCCGAAACCTTCAGCGCGGCCAAGGAGATCACTGGCACCTTCGACGGTGGCCTGAAGACCTATGGTCGCGGTGTCAGCTGCACTGGTCAAGCTGAGGGCGGCGACTCTGACGCTGTCTTCTCTCTGGCTGACGGCGCCACTCTCAAGAACGTCATCATTGGCGAGGACCAGATCGAGGGTATCCATTGCCAGGGCTCCTGCACTATCGAGAACGTCTGGTGGGCCGCAGTCTGCGAGGGTAAGAAACTCCATACCAACTCAGCCTCACACACGCTAACAATTGACCAGACGCCCTCACCCTGAAGAAGGACGGTGACGCCACCATCACCGGTGGAGGTGCCACTGGCGCCAGCGACAAGGTCATCCAGCACAACGGTGCCGGTACCGTCACCATCGACGGCTTCCAGGTCGCCGACTTCGGCAAGCTCTACCGCTCCTGCGGAAACTGCAAGCAGAGCGCCGAGCGTCACGTTGTCATCAAGAACGTCAAGGCCTCCAGCGGCAAGCTCCTCGTCGGCATCAACCCCAACTTCGGCGACACCGCCACCATCGACAGCGCCACCTGCGCGACCAGTGTCAAGGAGATCTGCGAGGAGTTCGAGGGCACCACCCCCGGCAACGAGCCCAAGTCCGTCTCCACTGGCCCTAGCGACACCTGCAAGTTCTCTACTCTCGCTTCCTGCTAAGCGGAGAGCTTCAACCGTCAAGCAGATGAGCTTTAAGGCTCATGACCGGTAAAAGTTGGTGATCCAAGACTCCAGGGCGCTGGCGTCATTCAATTCTTGTAGAGACCCTTTGATTAGACTATGATGAGTATAGAAAACAATGGAAACTTTCTTCCATATATCCTGCTTGCATGATTGATACGACTATGAGTTCCCGCGAGTAACACGTTCGACTGACAGTGAGTCTTGATTTTGCGGGCTACCCCGGAGCGTCCGGGTCAGAGGAGGATGTTGGTGATTAATCTATCTAGATGAGAGAATTGATGGCTTTGGGCGACAAGATAACCATCTGATCAGGGCCCTCGCATTGGATGCTGCACTGATTATCATCATCATAAGGATGAGTCAGCCAGCTGGCTCCGTCTCACTCGCATTCTCCGACATCGTATCCTTAAAACAGTGATTAATCTTCTGACGTCAACTGTGGCAAGGCTAGAAATGATAAGAAAAGTTTCACGACTGACATTGACTGGGTCGAGTTCAACCCTCCCTTCGTTTGCTCTCAAATTTTCAAACGCCTCAGCTAAACTACACTTCGCACCAACCTGTTTTCTTTCCGTACCCGTCTTACTTTTAACTCATAGATGAGAGATGTCAACGGGTGTTCCAACGTAGCTGCAATGCACATCCTTTTCACCTGACGACCATCGACACTGGTGCACCAGGTCCAGCTGGAGGTTCTGAAACCTCGGGCCCGAAGTCGCATTTCTCCAGGCGAACGCCACCCAGCAACCTGCCCATATGGGTCTTCTCGACACCCTCGCCCTCTTTCCTGATCTTCATGAGCAGAGCTCGCAAGAACTGCACCGGGGAGGTCTTCAGGCCCCATTTTCCGCTCGGAGGATCGATGAAACCGTCGGCATAGACTTGCTGGCCAGGGCTAGCTGAATCTCGCAGGAGACCTAGAAAGTCGCAGACTGCTTCATACTCAGCGAAGTCGCGAAGATAGAGGCTGCCCGAGAACAGGTTCAGCTGAACCGTAAGCGACTGCGGTACGCGTCCGTTCTCGAAATTGCGACCGACGTTGAATAGCTGCAGGTCGTCGAGTCGAGAAAAGCTGGCATTAAAGCATGGTGCATAAAGATGCAAGGTCACTTTCTTGTACTTGATGATTGTGGATTGTAACTCGTTAGCCTCAAACGGGCTGAGTATAACGAGGTGTTCGATCTCGTTGGGACGAACTGGATCAACAGTCGAGAGCACCCATTGAACAGGCCTTTGGTAAGAGTCTGACACAAAATCTGCTATGTTGGAGCCGGGAGGAATCTTGACTGTCCGAATAAAATCGGCAGTGACCAGAAGGTGCCGCGGAAACTGGGATAAGTCGCTGTGTAGTGCTGCGCTGGTCGATTTAAGTGCCTGAAAAGCAGGCTCGAATGCTGGGGACCCGTGAATCAGTGTTCCGGTGTGTACTAAGTGTTCGACATGCTCATGGACCTTGTGGGCCGCAGCGGTCATCCTCTGTGGGCGCTCGATCTGACGCTCCTCTTCGATCTCAGGACTCAGCTCGCGCTGCAAAAGTTAGCTGGTGTCTGATATACACTAGATCTAGAACTCACTTCCTGCTCTTCTTGTAAGGTAGCCGAGTTGAACCCCACTGCCTGAAACTCAAGACAACGTGCGTGTATTAGTTTGATGTTGGGGACATCCAGATTCTGTAGCATGGAATGGCCAGTGTTAATTTGACTGGGCGCATATCGATCCTTAATGCTCTGGGCCTCGTCTTCGAGGAACTTTCGGCCTTGTGAAAGCTTTGTGTTTGCGCCATTGAGAAGATGCTTGTGTGTCTCGTAGCGAACGCCCTGAACAGCCCAGAGGGGCATACTCCTTGACAGATCGAGCCAGGTTTCGCCAATACTCCAGCATAGCACATTAACTACCGTGATTGGTTCATCAGGCTTCTGATCTGTTCGCTCACAGATCTTTGTACAGACTTCCTGGGAGGCTATGAATACGACAGACTGCCCTTTGCCAAGTTTGCGCAATCGCATACATGCTAAAACACCGTCAGCTGCTTCAATACGTTATATCAGTAGATTCAAAACTTACCTTGCACCAACCTATCTTTCGTCAGACCTGCTCCTAGGGTTACAGCAGCCCTGTAATCGCGTGGGAGCTTAAGATCTGTCCCGCGGGTATGTGCTTCGTCGAGATAGATAAGGCATCGGTCAAGCTGCTTTGCAAAAGGTGATGTCTGAAAAGGCTCAATACGCCCGTTGATATCGATAACAGAGAGCTCTTCGTTTTTGAAGAATACCACCGCCTCGGTTCGATCGTTCTTGCGCATCGATAGCCAACACTCAGCGACTTGAGTATTATCCATCTCGAGGATTTGTGCGCCAACATCGAGTACGACGCGAATCTCAGGTTTCAGGCTATTGATCACAGTGAGCAGATGCTCAGCGTCGCTCCCCTCAGACCGCAGTGGTAGCTTCTCGACTGACGTTTCCTGCTTTAGTAGATACCCAAGAACTAATGCGTTCGTGTGACTCTGACTTGGCAGATCCAGGTGCTTGACTGCAAGGGGTAGTACGTGCAAAGTATCGTTCGTGCCACTGAAGCCGGTGGTCGGGTGTGTCTTGACAGCCCCAAGGTCCCATCCTGAAGCAGACAATTTCGAAGGGAACTCCTTCATGGCCTTTGGAAAAACAAGAAAGGTAAGGTAATAGTTCACCACAGCCCGGGACCATCTCATATGCGGGAATATTTGCTCTATGCACATGACACGGTCCTTGATGCTGATACCTGAGAGCTGTCGAAACGCAGTGGGTAGTTTACTACTTGCAGTGCGTACCCACTCTTCATAGTAGATGGTTGACTGATCAGATTTCAGTAGGTGGTGAAACGCATCGAAAAGTTCCTCATCTTGAAGGCCTCCATAATAGTAACTCAGGAGAGTGAGTAGAATGACAACGTCTGGGTGTGAGAATTCCGAGCGAGGTGATGGTGAGTCCTTGGCTCTGTATGGAACTGCGAGTAATGTACTTGGGATACGAGCATGATCCAGGCCGTAGTTGACACGCCAGCGTTTTTGGGATAACGAAAAGCGTAGCACACCTCCAGCAATTAAGCCTCGTACAAGTAGTAGTGGCTCTTTGGTGGCGGCAGTCCAGAACCTGCTTAGCTCGACAGCCTGAATCTGCTTGGTAGATAAATCGGTGATCGAGATATACTGTAGGATAGCCTCTTGAGTGTCCCTCGGTTGGTTGCAAATCGGAAGTCCAGTCAGACCGTTCTTGATGATGTGCTCTGTGAGTAGAGCAAGGATGGCGTCGGCACCTTCATCGTTCAGTATCCGCACTCGAGGGAATTTGCCATCGGTATCATGCTGAACCTCGACTGAGCGCGGCAACACGGTCATGACATGGACAGCAATCCTCGGAATCAATCCCATAATCTCTTGGATAAGGAGCCAGCGGTCAGGAGCAAACCCAATAGAGCGTTGCGAACCTATGGTGTAGATCAGTTCGAACCTTACACTGAAATTCTCATCGCTCTCGTCGACGATATCGCGGGATTTAGTCTCAAACCAGCGTTCAGTGTCGAGAAGCAGTTGCGCCACCCCTGGCTTCTCACTGAGCAGACACTCGATACCCATCAACTTAAACGATAGAATATGTTCTGGCTGAACTAGGAGAACTCCTCGGCAAGCCATACATTCTTGACACATCTCGAGGATTGCTCGCGCGTCAGCCTCTCTCAATCGGAGGTCTCTCGAAAAGGGCAGATGGTAAATGCGACGATTTAGTAGACCTCCTAATTTTGCGACAAGCATCTCTAGCATCTGTTTGCTCTGTGGTTTCGCCGTTATGACTCTGACCAGCCTGGATTCGGCGGTTAGTATCGGTGGTGGAGCAGATAAAGGAGAGTCAAGACTTACCTCTTCCTATCTGCCAAAGCTGCGGCAACTGTAGGAACAATTGTGGACGACTTGCCCTCTCCCATGTTCAACTGCATCACCGTGTTTTGAGCACCTGGCGGGTGCATCATTTGGGCCGCGATCGTGGCTTGCACTGGACGAATCAGAATACCACTTTCAGCTTCGAGTAGCAGAAATTCCGGTTGTTCGCTCGGGCTCCAGTTTGTATGACCGATGTGCTGCAGCTCTTCGTTGAGCTCAAGGGGCTTGTCCAAGAGTGCTACCAGTCTCTGCGCTCGATGTAAGCTGGTGATCGACAAGCCAAACTCCACTATCACGGCAGGCCACGGTGTTGGAAGCAAATCATAGTGGTTGCGATTGAGTTGAGTCAACCATAATGACGGTGTCATGCGAGGTAGGTGCTGAATGGAAGATGCAATTGCGTTGCTGCGAGTGGACCCGGTGACAAGAACTCGCCCCAGCTGGCGATCGAAAGCGTTGAAAAACTCTTCGCATTCCGACAAATAGCGTCGGATCGTATCTTGAGCTTCTGAGTCTACCGGGATACTCTGCACTTCCATATCGTCCTTGTGCTTACGGAGTGAAGCACAGCTGACGCGTAGAGCATCAACATAGCGCTGTTCACAGACGGTTTTGGCACACACCTCTAAAGTCTCGCAAAATTGCTGCAGTCGAACCTCTGTTTCAGTGTCGGCTGAAGAAGAAGAATTAGGAACATGAGGTAGTTCAGGTCTGGGTGGGACGCTGAGCAGAGAGGTACCTTGCTCGTTCGATGCATCCTTTGAAACGTTCGGTGGTGTCGAAGCAAAGATCGCTGACAAGCTGCAGTAATAACCATCGGGTGCGAGCTTCACTTTTTCATTAGGCGCCGATGCACCAAATTGCGGTTCTGTGATTGGCGCAGCGGGTGAGCGTTCAAGAATGCCTGAAATCTTCTTCATGTACTGCTCGAAAGTCTGGTTGTTGTACCACGATTCGAATGACTTTCTTACGTTGCGCATAGCACAGTCAGTATCCAGGTACTCGTTCATTCGTGCAGAAGATGGTGTTTTAGGATGTTCACATGGCCATTGGCCTTGTAAATTGGCGACAAACGTCTGCACAGCTGTATCCTTTCTATCCCGGTGGAGGCTTTCAATTCGGTTCAAGTGTTGGTCGTCTGTTTCGGATTCTTTCTTGGGTAGTTGAGCTTCAGATGAGTCCTCGTAAGACTTTACATTGTGCCGGGCTGCATCTTGCACATCAGAAAGCTGGAAACTGCTGCCCTGGGACAAATGGTACTTCGGCTTTGCTGGAATCTGATGCCAGGCGAACTGCGGCGATCGATAGAATGCTACAAAAGCTCGTATCACATCCATATCTGCTTTGGGAGCGTATGCCATAGTCGCTAACCAGACCAGAACATTGAACTTGTTGCCGATTGTGGACTTTGTAACCAGACGATGATGAAGCGTGCACCAAAGACCTAGTATCAAAGGCGAAGGTGACCCTAGCCACTTCGAATCATATTGAAGAACCGACGAATCATCGGTCATGAGCCCTGTGACATCTGAATTTCGGAGATGATCATGGTAAACTTTGAACTGCGAGATGGGTTGATCGAGCAAAACCTGATCTCGAATAAGCATAGAGGCAGCCAGAAAAGCCCTCCGGCCGCGTTCAGATTTTCCTTGTCGATCTCGTGCTTCGTAGTTCGTATCAAAGCTAGAAGTGAATTTTTCAGCTCCAAAACCAGCGACACGGAAGGTGGAGGCACGAATGTTGGCCCGCTCTTCCAGATCAGGGTTGGTCGAAGTCATCCAGGCGGTGTCGCCGCGGTTCAAACTCTGAAAGATATCATGTGAGTGGAATAACGACATCCTCTTTTCATGATCCAGAATCTCGTTGACTAGTACACGAAAGTCACTATGCTGCGATCCGGATGGAAGGACTGGATCCCATTCGATTTGCTGCATCAATCGCTTGTGTGGCGGATAGAACGTACGTGATGGCGACAACGCTGCAATCTTATTTAGGAGCTCGACATTCTCGAGAAGAAGTGCACTGAAGGACCGAATAGCCGACGACCTCAGGATGATCAGTGCCGACTCGGTTCCAGTATAGCGTGTGAGCGGATCGCATAGACAGTGTGATGTTAACGCATGCAGCAGACATAGCAGCAGCTTGCTCTGTACTGCTCCACTGTCCATTACGCGTCCTAGCGTTGCGTCTATCTGATACGCATGAATAGGAGTGTCTTCTTGTCTGGAGATGCTCACAGATACGTGGTGAGTGAGATTTTTTCGATAGCTCAAAGTACCCTCCGGAATGAGGACAAGGCGATCATTTACTGCAGTGGCACGACGTAGAACCAGCTTGCTGGTCAAGCCAACCAACGTCCCAATCCTTTGGTCTTGATCAAGTATCAGACCTCGATACTGGCGCGAATGAATCTGATTCTCGCCCTCGTTGATATGAAAGTCGAGTTTGAGCCGTGGTACCTCGATTTTGACCGAGTGCGACACCGTATCGTGCGAGATGTGGATGAACTGCTCATCTTCCAATGACTTGAACAGCATTGATATCATCCGGGCGTCCTTGCTCTTCATATTGATCAGGGTTTGAGCACTCTTTCCGAGGCGCCATGAACTGCCGTGACGTTGAAGACACCACTGCTGGACATTGGACAGTTGCCAAGGACTGTGTCGCGGCCGAAAAACGATGTGACCAGTCTCATGGTCGTACCAGTGAACATAAGATGTCACGAAAGCCACAGGCATCCGATTTGTGAATAGACGTGGTGGTATCAAATCGAATCTATCATAGATTAGCGTGGGCCACCGCATACATGGAGGTGAAAGTGGTCACTTACTTCTTCTCCGCGCTCATAGCTAAGACCAGCATATCTGTAGCAACCATGCCAAAGTGGATCTTATTGTCGTGGTATGTTGATTTAGCAGAGAATCGCATACCAGGCTCATCAGTCGGAACCACCTCAAGGGCAGATGCTGAGAACAGCGGTTTATACATTGGGTGTGCCAGATATTCTGATGGAAGGCGTGTGAGCGGCAAGCCGTTGACCAGAAGTTCGCCCGTCAATAGATTGATATGAACTGGTAATGTCCCGGAGACCGTGCAAAGCCAGTGCTGGTGTACCTCATCGTAAATGCTCCAAGAGGCGAGTGTCGCAGGTTGGAAGGCCGCCCAGCACCGCGATACTGCTTCATTCACGCCTGTGCAATCGCGGGAGATAGCGTCGCGTAGTTTCGGGAAGATGCGATACATCAACGCACGCCACGCCTGCATTGCAGATTCCTGCAGACACTCTACGCCCGGAACAAGATCTTGATTCTCTTTCACAGCAATGGAGAATTGTAGAAGCGAAGATAATGCGTCTTGCTGTTGTAAAACAACGTCGACAAACTCGTTCTCGACGTCAAATGTGGTTGTGCCAAGCAATGCGATCTCTGTCGCCCTGGAGAATAGCTCAGTCCTTTGCTCATCGTTCGTAGATGAAGCAGCTCTGGCCTTCAGTCGACGAAGCCATATAATTGAGATGCATCGGGCTCTGTGCAAAAATTGCAAAGAACGCTGGCGAACTTCTGAGGACGTCGTCAGATTGGTGATACGACAAGCAAGTTGGATGAAAGTGGCCACCGCTCTCCAAGACTCCCAGTTCTCTTCCACCCGCTGAGTAGCAATATTGAGACGTTCGAGCATGGCGAGTCCAAAAATCGTATCATTGAGGATGTGGTGATTTATGCGCTCTACAGTCTCATTGGGAAGGCCGGCTTGGGTGACAGTCTGTAACACCATACACTGCGTCTCGACTTTCGAAAAGTCCAATGTCGGGGCAGCGAGTTGCGTGAGTATGTTGGAGTAGAAGATATTGCGACCTTGCGAGAGAGTACCAAAAGCCTTGTATTCTTCTAACGACAAGTGTGGCGGACAATCTGAAAGGCTAGCTATCACCTCGTTCGGCTGCACGCCATCTGGAGCCGAAGGTGGCTTCTGCAGAAAACGTTCGAGAGCCTTAGATCGATGGGGTAACCGATGCGTGCAAGCTAGTTGTAATTCTCCGCTTGGAGTCTGCGCTGCAGTCCACGCACCCGTTACAGTGTCACAATACTTGTAGCGTAGTCCATTTTCGAGACATACATCGACATCTTGCAAGTGCTGAACTGCCTTCTTGATCTTGCGATGAGTCACCGAATGAGGCTTTACCTCTGACAATGGCATAATGCGCCTCGACCGGGATTCTGGGTCGAGCAGGTGATTCAAGTCAGGATGATCGTTAAGGGTGTACGAGTGTTTTGGCTTGTCGATGTGATTGCTTTTGCAACCAAGAACATCGGTTATGACAAAGACTGATGCGTCTCTCCACGCGCTGTATGGATTCGGAATCTTTGATTCAAAGATAGTAGCCTGAGCAACTGACGCGTTTGGAGAAAGTGGCCACTCGTGGATGCCGATTCCCAGGTCATCAGCGGTCCTCTTCAAAGCACACCGGTTGCAGTTTCGGGAATGAACGGTCCTCATGTAGCCATGATGACGGTTCTTAACGATCTGGACATAATCGCACTCGTCCTTGCTGTATTGATCCATGAGGGTCTTATACCTAGCCTTTAATCGAGCCAGCTCTTCGCATTTCTCTTGACGCTTCTCCGAGGCCTTCTGCTCGATCTTTTGCAGAATACTCTGAAGCTGAGAGCATTGACTAAAGTACTGGACGCCAAAGGACGAATCGACGCCAAATCCACGATAAAGCGACGTTTTGTTGGTGGCTGACCGCTTTCGTGCTTGAACATAGGCCTCTACCGTCTGTAGCCGCTGCATCTGGCTTCGGAGAGGTAGTGACAAGCATTGAAATTCGATCAAACGCACTTCGGGATCGTACGTGGTAAGAAGTGGAAACAGGCTGCATGCGGATTTGTCACAGGCAACCCATATTTCCAGAATCGTCAAATACATGAGTGAGATGCTGCAAGGAAGTCCTTTATAAGCATGACTGGCGCTTTTGTAGTATGTTGTCATCAGGTAGTAAAGTTGCCGGCAGGCTTTTTCATCGTTGCGGTACGACTCAATCCAGGGCTGTAGATGGTTCTCAACCCAGCTTTCCGCCGCAGCCAGACGAAAGAACCAATGATCACCAGTTGCGGTGAAGTTTTGAGGTACCCTGCCCGCGGCAAACATCGGGAATGCGGGGCCTGGCTCAAACTTGCAGTCTACAGTAGCAGTCTTTCTAGCCTTGATAGCCGCCAGGAACAGCTCAAGCTCGGGTAGCGCCATATCAAGCGCGTTTTCGGGTCTTAGAGACTTGAGACTGGATGTCGTAAGGTTCGCGCCACTGGCCTGAACCTCTGCTTTCCAATTCCTGTCCATGCACTTGAATGCGTCAGTCATGCATGTTTGCATGCGATCAATCCAGGATGGAATGACACAATGAAGCTGCGACAGAGCCTCCAGCTTGCGTAATCGACGGAGCATCTTGGCATTGAGTGCATGCAGGGGGCCGCTGCCTGACAAGTGCCAATGTTTCTGGGAGTATTCAAGAGCCGATGACAAAAGTTGCACCACGAAAACTTTGTACAAACCAGTGAATGGGGTGGGACCTTGCCTCGAGAAGAGCAGCTGAAGGGTGACTCGAATCAGAAGCCACATTGGAGAGCGTCGCCAAGGCTGCTTGCAGTGATCCCACAGTGTTTCCTCGCGGGTGTGTTTGGTGATGCGAGTGACTGTAATTGTCTTACCGAGGGCTGCGACAATGTTCAAGAGATAGTCAGTCACCATGCCGGGGTGTGTTGTGTCGCGGTCTTCATCGTGGTCCTGACCAGCCTTGCGAGCTACAGGCTGGAAGCCTGGAGCGGCTTGAGTACTCATTTTTGCCAGAGTTCCGGCAAGCACATCTTGCAGGCTCCTCTCCTGCAATTTGGCTGTGGGAATGCTTGCCGCAAATCCCGGAAAGGTACGGACAAGTCTGCCCTTAGACATGGAACTCTTGTTGTTTGGAGAGAGTTCGAAGAACTCGAATGTGATGTCGTTCCCATCAGAGCTGATAAGGATACCTGCGTTCTGCGCCTTGATCTCAAGAGGTATAGACCCTTCATTCTTACCATGGGCAAGCTGATCAAATAGCTTCACCAGCTCAGCCTCGCTAGTGTTTCCGAACCTGTCCTGACTTTGCTGGAGATTCTTGATCGTTTCAATGGCGTGCTTCAGTGTGATGCTGTGTTCAGCCGTGACTAAAGGTTTGAGAGCTTGCAGTGCGATAAGTGTTGTCTTCAGTAGGCAGCGCTCGTGTCCAGCATGGAAGTCATCAGCTTGAGGTAGTTGCGGCGGGAGCGCGACATGATTGACCAGGTAGAATGTCGCCTCTGCTGATGGACAATGCCTATCAGGGACAGCCATCTTGTCGCTCAGAGCTTGCTCCTGCGTTCGGAATCAGCACCATATACTCGTCGCTGATCAGCACCATATACTCGTCGCTGATCAGCACAACTCACAAGATACAAGTCCAAACTGCTAGCCCTTGTAGAGAAATTGTACAGAGTCGTTTCCAGGATACAGAAGGCAAAAGTAGATTGGATGGTAAAGTTTGTAGAGGCGGGGGCGAAACAGTCCAAAAGACGAAGGGAAAAGTTCTGCGTGTGTGGAAGAGAAGTTTCCGTGTATCGCGTCCTAATAAGTACCACAAACAAATGCGCAGCTTCACCGTGAAGCGGGCCTTCACCTGCGCGCAAACCTGAGCAAACACGCCGCAGCGCCACTGCCGCAGCATTACAACAGGCACCAACAAAGTTGTCATGGTAGAGACATCTCTAGCCGTTTCTTCTGCAGTACCTTATGCGTTGTCTCGAATCGCGATATTCAAGGTGTTGACGAGGCTGAACAGCCCTGCGGCACGGGCTGGCGCAGTCAACATCCTTGTCCTCATGATAGGCAGCGAAATGACCCGGTGAAAAGTCCAAACTCTTGTCCAGCATCATGAGAGGGCGCATAGCTGAGTACAGTGTCCCGATTTGAGGAGTCCAGCGGCAATGTTGATTAGTTCCTTGTAACTCCATTCTGCAGGATTCCTCCAAATTGTTGACGTAAAACCTGTAGCTCGGATCCTAGAAACACACACAGAGAAGCCTTGCGAATGGGCCTCAGTACTGCCGTTGGCAAATTGTATGCGATGCGTATCTCCAGGCTGACAAGCAAGCTGTAAACACGACCAGACCCTCATGCTTGCCTGGTTCAGATCCTGGCACAGCAAGTACGGTGGAGACCCGTGCTGGCACGTTCACAGTGTCTCTAAAGCGTAAAACAAGTTGTCTCTTTGTCCTTCAGGAACGTTACCGAGGCCACAATGTGCAAGACATATAACACACACCACTAGCAAGCGCCAATAACGTGGCGCCTACCCAGCAACTCTCATCTCTCATATTCAAACATCGCTTTGAAAACAGTAGCCACAACCCGAATCCAGCAGCACATCGATGTCGTTGAACTCCACCTCGGCCGATAGGCCGTAGTAGCACATGCTGCATATCTAGCGCTGATAGGCTGCATGGCTACTCTAGCCACTACTGCTGCATGACGACATGGAACCAGCAACCGCGCGCCAATGCGCACATCTTGCTCGGCTGGAAATGCTCGGCTTCTTACCAGCCAGAGTAGTGTTGCGCGGTGTTGCGGGCGATGGTGCTGTGCCAGTTGTCCGAGGAGCTGCTGAGTGTGCCAGTTGTCTGAGGAGCTCGTGCAGCCGTCCGTCTTGGAAGCATGTTCTGACGGACAGGTTTGAAGATTAGAATATATTATTATCTGTTGTCGTTACTTTACTACTCTTCATCAATTGTATTGTAGCGATTGTCATGCAGCCTGCTGTCCCAATATTGTATGAACAATGCCGCGAGACCAAATCCTGAACGCCTTGTTGCATCTTGTCCTCTCTGATGCCCATACGCAGGCCTATGGCCTTCTTCCCACTCCATGAAATCACCTCGCGCCCTATCGTGTCTCGACAGGCACATCACTTGACGGCCGTCCCATCGGCTTCAACTCCTCGCCCTTGCCACTCTCGGCGCGCTTTCGTCCGGTTAGCGAGAAGTGATGGCCAGAAGGCCGTTCCTCTTGCTTGTTGTCTGCGTTGCTGTTGTCGCCGAATCGCGAGAAAATGCCGCGCTTCTTCGCTGGCGCTGGCTTTGGCTCGTCGTTCAGACCCACGTCCTCGAACCCCTCCTCCGGCACTCGGTCTGTGCTCTCGCTCGGACGACCTTGCTGCATAGATGATCGAGGTGTTGCTCGTGAGCGGCGGACATCGAGGGAGTGCCTTACGTCCAAAGATCGTCGTGCATCGAGTGATTGCCGCGGGTACGTCTCTGCGGTCATATCTGTAATGGGTGATCGTGCGGAAATGTCCTGCGCGTGTAAGCGGGGTATCGCGAGCGCATTTGTCTCGTTGCCAACGTACGAACGACCGTCTGTAGGAGTCGAAACTCTCGCGCGATATGTTGAAAGGCTCCGTCTCGGCTAGTAGGCTTCGGTGATTGGAGGATGTGGTCGAGGTATTCGATTTGGAGTGCCAGAAGGTGGGCTTCTCCTGCTGTGGGGAGGGCTGTCGCAAGCGTCAACACAGGTCACTTCTTGGGGACAATCCGACTATCGCATTTCAATCGGCAGTCCAAGTGTTTGGTAGCATCTTACGGGCAGGTACACTCCGCTGTCGTTTATCTCTGTAGCACCAGTAAGCGCGCGTCGATTGATACTGCCTCCAACAATGGCGTTCACGGAAGCGGGCGGATTGGCTCACCACTCAGCTTATACTCGGTGGAATCCTTGATCTGCAGCGACGGCCCGCCAGAGACTGCTGTGTTCTGGAATTCATTGTCGGGCGCATTGCGCGGCGCCTCATCGCTTGCTTCGGGCGCACGACGGAAGGGATTACGGATGGGCATTGCAATCGGGCGCTAAGGGCGAAACAGGGCGACACGAGCAGAATGTGGGGTGTTTCAGAATCGGAAGAGTGGTGTTGAGGTCGAGAGAACAAAGTTGGTGGTCGGACGGTCGGGCACGAAGATGTCATTACTGACTACTTGGGAAGCCACGCCGGCGGCTACAGCTGGGGGACTCGGCAACATCACCGGGGGTAATTGGTGCGCGTACATTGTGTGTCCACGATCAGGCGTGTCTATTTAGCATCCAGAAATTTCAGACACCTCGACGACAGATCTGGGTCAAGCCTGTATGTTGTCTTGTAAGCCGCAGGGGACCCTGCGTTTTGACACCTGGACACCCGCGTTCAGTATGGCCTCGAGGCGTCATAGCCGCCTGTTCTGAGCCGCAAGCTAAAAACAGCGGTCTCACGACATTCAGGCTTACATACGATCAATTATCGCGAGGCTCGGCGCCCCAGACTGTAGCTGCTTCATCGAATTCGTGCGCGCCCGCATGAGGTGGATTGGCATCCTGGCCTACCGGTACGAGCTGACGATCTGGTGATGCAGCATCCACCAGTCTGCAACATGGCCCCTCTGCGGAGCGCAACTGTGAGCAAATGGTGCGTGTCCTGGTCCCCAGCAGTCTGTATTCGGGTTCAGGGTCAGTCAGCCGCATATTTGCAACACAGCGACAGTCAGCGAACCCAAAACGCAAGTCGATGCTGCTGAGATAGCCCCTGCTGTCCTTGCATGAGTGGTAACCGAGCTGCAGTCTCCGGAACGTACGACATGATTTCGAAAAGCAAGTTGCACGTCGCAAACGTTTTCTAGGGCCACACTTCACGTGGTGTCCTGAGCGTGCTGCGCACCATGCGTTGGTCATACCAGATTACATCAATCTGGTATACTGGTCGCGAGAGTCGGTGCAATCTCAGCCTGACTTCCGAATACGATATATGTTGTGAAGCCTTGCTAGCGCACGTGTTCGGACTATCCGCGAGATCAAAGGTCGTTGTAGCTGGAAGATCCAAACCCTCCGATGCTGTGCTTTCCCGTGCTTACGAATGGTGATCATTCCACCAATGTGCTGTTCGCCTAAGTATGGTTAATAACAATCAAGAAGGACAGCCTATACGGGACCCTTGAGTAGGTGATCAGTCCTGAACGTGCTTACTTTGCATGCTGGGCTTGCTTGATCGTCGTATGGTTGTGGCTGTGAGCAATAGCAGGCCATAAACATCGAGTGGCAACTTTTTTCACCAGTACTGTTCGCGGGGATGATGCTGCCTGTAGGCTCCCGGACACTGCGGAACATGCTCGCCCGCTCAGCCGTGTTCTTAGATTGCACTTGGGCAAGTAAGATGTCTCATGGCGTGAATGGTGCGTCAGCAGTCGCTGCTCAAGGTGATTGAACGTCATCTGCTTGGAATTTGTAGATCGAAATCAAAGTCATCTGTAACAGCCTTACCTGCGGCTCGGTCCACGGATACGAGGGCTGATGACCTGTTGAGTCAATTATCGTGTGCTTACTACGCAGATCCTAGCGCACTCATCCCAGGCTGGAGAGCACATGTCACAGATCATATCATTAAGTCGTCAGAGCTCGGTCTCCACGGCCCGGCAGAGTAGCCCTGTCTGGCAGGCGACGGACTGCATGGAAGATTCTGCTACTTCGCAGAATCTCGATGCAAACCAGGATCACAAATGCTGCAAGGCGTCCACTAGCTGGATCGAAAGTTTTACTTTGCTAGATGCGTTGTCCAATCGATGCCATTTTTGGGAGCTGTCGCTAGTATTGGAAATGCGGGACCTCAGTCAGTCAAGAAATTCTCCAGACGACCAAACCCGTGGGCAGTGCATTGCCTCTCACGGAGGGGTGCAGCTGAAGCGGTGTGCTGGGTCTGTAGCAGTTACACAAATGTTGTGCTTGGTGGCATCAATATCGGTTCCCCGAGCGCTGGCAGCAAGGACTCGCAGGTGGTCCGCTCCAATCGCAAGCGGTGCGAGGCCGTCACGCTGGGCTGCCATCGTGGTGGAGAAGGTTGCAAGTCTTGCGCACTTGTATCGCCATGACGAAGTGGGACGCACCGTAGCCGACAAACCGCCACCTCAACGTCTACATGACTCTCTGGTGTCTTAGACGGGGCTACAGACTGGCTTCAACGGGTCAACGGGCTCTCTCCATACATGTGACCATGTGGATGCGGAGGCGTCCTGGGGCTTTTGCTCGGGGAGATGTTAGGTAGTGATGTGTAGGAAATTGCACGCCTGATTGTTGAATGATGGGGCGGCAAAGGCTAGGTACCTAATGATAATGATCCTTCACGAGGAGCAAATCGCTGCAGACCGCACCGCGTGCCATCGGAGCGCGCGCACGTCTACAGCTCAAACACGCTCAAAGGCCAGAATGGCCAGCGCGCGCGAGAACGCGAAGCTTCTGTGACGGCTGTCTGGCCACCATCGATCTACACGGTCACGAAACACCGTGATGCCGGAAGGCCTCCAAGAAGAGTGAAAGGCTCGGAGATTCTTTTCAGCGTGTTGGGTCGATTGGAGCAGCGCGATTGGGAAGACCCTGCGCGGGTGTGCTGGGCTAACGCTCCCCATCCACAACAAGGCAGAGGCGTTCGCTACAGGCGACACCAGGGGCTCTTCGGGACCGGTTCATTGCTTCGGCTGCCAGAGGCCTCACAAGCAGCCTTCGCTGAGGACCTGAGGTGACGGTGGACGTGCGGAGAATGCGCTGTCACGCGGCGTTTTCCTCGCGAGGCCTGCCTGCGATGCCCATTGCTTGCCCGCCGTTGCATTACTGGCCAGCCACCGCTCCGCACTGGAACCGGGACCCGTATTCCTCAACGCCCGCCGCGCCGATCGACAGTCTGTCGACGTTCCAAACACTCGCGCCATGGTTACTTTCTATTTCGGGGCGCCAGTCTTGCCGTGTCGCCGTCACCAATGCATGCACTCATCCCTGTCACGAGCCCAACCCCTGCCGCGCTCGCTGTGGCGCGAAGCCAGCAGACGGGATGCAGGCATGGCACGAAGGAGCGCGTCTTGGAAGCGCAAGGATGGCAGGACTTTTCCCTCCCCAGCAAAGCTCCGTCGTTTCCTGCGCACCGGCGGCGGGTCCTGGTCAGACTGTTAGGCGCGGATCTGCTGCTCTGCAGCACGCAATATAACTCACCTCTTCCCGTGCTCTCGCGCTTGCTGTGACCGACCTCATATCTATCCCTCACTGCGACCCCGGGACCCATCCCTGAACGTCGCTGTCCCAAAGCCACAAGACTTGCACGAGGTTTCTGCGTGCTGCTACCTGTCTGGTCGTACACACCTGTATGATTCACTAGTGACACCCGTTCCCTCGCTCGCTGTCCGGACGTTCCACACTCGTTTCCACTACCGCTGCCTCCCAAGGGTCGACTTCAAAACCCCGCCCTCAGCGTGGCCTGAACAACCTCACCCGTCCTTCCACGCTCGCTCTCCCGGATCCTCTTCACTCGCTGCCCACCGCTACCGAACATTGTTTGGTCCGGGCCCTGTAGGATCACTTTGATACTCCACGACCGCCAATCCCACCGCCAGCCAAGACTCCTTTGAGCTGTTGCTCGCCGACATCCATTGAGACAGCCACCACCCAACTTGTCACTGAGAAAGGGTCGCCATTGTTCTGCATTGTCCCTTGTTCAGTGCTTTGTTACTAGCGCTGTCCCTGCCGAGCATCGACTTCGTGTTGCACCTTCCTAGATCTTCGAGATCTTGTTTACAAGCGCGACCACCCGCTATTCTTACCCTACGCACCTAATCTCGCATTCTTACAACCGTCAACATGGCTTTTGGACAATCAGACGACAACACGTTTTTCAACTCGTGGGCGCTATGGCAGAAGATGACCTTTGTAAGTGGCTGCGCTAGTAAGCGAAGGCGAGTGTTGCTGACATCATCCAGGTACTGGCTTGCGGCATTGTAGTCACGATTTTCCTCGGTTTCCTGAAACTTTGGTATGACCGCAGCAAGATCCGCAAGTACAGTAAGGTCGAAAAGGGCAAGCAGGCGGCGACGCCGGAGATGCTCGAGTCGCAGCCTGTGCAGCAGGTGCAAGCAGAAGAGATGAAGCGAGACATTCCGTTTGGTGTCCGCGCCATTGAAAGTGGTATTGAGGTCGATGGCGTTTGGATTTCGCGCTCCAACACCCCGGTTGGCAGCAGCCGTGCTTCAATCATGTCCGAGAACAGGCTGCCTCGCAGCTTCAACAATTCGGCCTTTGAACTCCCTCAGATGTCTTACGCTTCGAGCCACGGTAGTTCTGCCGCCCCAAGCTCCTTCGACCGCGCCGTCTCGGCCGAGAGGCTTCCCACCAACGACTCTCGCTCAGGATCGCCGCCCAACCAGGTCTACCAGAACCGTCCTGGGCCTTCATCCCCCATCTACAGCCAGTCTCGCAACTCCGCAGCTCTGCAAAACCCCGAACGTTCAGGACCTCCTTCGCGTAAGTATCGCAGAGCAACTCTGTTCGAACACAAGCTGACGTCCTCACAGCCCGCAACGCTCAATTCGGAGAATCCAGCGGCTCTTCTAAGAAGTCCAGCCGCCGCACGAGCGATGAGTCCGACTACATGGCTATTGGACAAGACGTCCGCGCTTATGAGACCGCGTACATGAGGCCATCCTCTGGTCTCAGCCCCATTGATCCCCGCACCGATCTCGATCTTCTTCAGAGCCACCGCATGTCTCACGTCGCTGAGACTGGTCAACTCACACCGCGGGTTCGCAAGCCAGGTAATAGCGGCGAGTGGGCCAGCGTGGCAGACAACCAAGTTGCTACCCACAATGGTGTTAACTATTTCATGCCTCAGAAGACTCCTTCTCCTCCTCTTCCTCCTGTCGCCGATTCCCAAGAAGAAGCCGCCGGCTACGCATCCAGCCATGTCGCAGCCTCGCAACAGGAGGACCAACGACGGAGCCACGCTAGTCAAGGCGTACCCCTCCAGGAGTCGTACGCACCGAACGCTCCTTATTACCCCGACACTTATCAAGTCCGGGGCCCTCAGCACCAGCCGTCCTACGACGAGGTTCCGTACGAAGTCCAGACAATGCAAAACAACCAACGTCCTGAATCTGAGGTCCTCCGCAGTGTTAACTCTGGCTTTCAAGTGCTGAAGCCAGGCACCTTTGCCCCGCCACCCGCCGCAGACATGGAGATGACAGACAGGAGCGAGAGGAGGCAGTCAACAGGAAGGAAGCTCCAGAAGAAGCGTCGCTCGTCTGGAGAGTCAAGGAAGTCTGCCTTCACTGAGCAAGTGTAAATCCCTTGTTTCGAACAGTACGTCGTTATGTCATTACGTCCCGTGGCGCTGGGTCGTCGCGTACACGTCGCGACCGCCATCTCGGGTCTTCTTTACGACTTCGTGCCACCTCCATGGATCGACCTTCTGCGCTAGGCCTCAGAATGCGTTGGCACCTATCACTGCATCGGAGTTTCTGAGCGTCTTTAATCATGTACCAACGGGATCTTGGGGCTATTCTGGCATTGTGATGGCTTGCATGTATGTTGGTGAGCACTGTCAATCACCGCGCACTGGACTGCCGCACAAAAGGGGCATAGATGTTGCACACATCATCTACGGCGTTTTAGAGCATACTGGTTTAATGAACGATATAATGATGAGTACATAGCCGCTCCATCATCGGCACGAGAATGCACCTCACATACTTCCCTGCCACTCCATTATCACTCCGCGATTGAACATGTCCCAGTTCCCCACGTGTAACGTCAGACTCGACACTAACGCTCATCGCATCCTCGTGTTCGAATTTGAGACACGAAGATTTGAGTTCTTGCAGCAACTACATCATCGCAACTTGAAAAGACTACCAGACGCTCACGGAAATGTGTGTCTGCACAACTGCACGTCCACAACTTGCGTTAAAGCCGGTGGAGCTGCCTGTTAGGAAGCAGAAATATGGTTCGGCTCAAATCGCCCACTCGTGCGGTCTGATCGGTGTCAATGGTTCCATGGGTCAAATCAGCACTTGTGAAAAACTGCTTGTTGGTCGCTGGGCCTACTATAGCGGCGGTGCGCACATCCCACGAATCGATCAGGGGGAGCTAGTCTCACCGACCACTTAGATTGAACGACGGCATGCGCGTTCCTGGAGGCGTCGGTTTTTCCTTGCCGGCGGGTGTTTGAGCAAAGTTTGGCCCTGTTTGATGCTAGAGTGCGCTATTGTGCGATGAGGAAGGGCGATTCGTCGATCGCACGGGGAAGCATTCAGCCCTAGGCGAGTTGTGCATGCCTCAGGGTTGTTCACATTGACTGCCTTGCTTTGCTGGCAGGCTGTTGTGCAAGCTACGTGGGTCATCAACGTCAGCAGCGCGGTACCTAGTGCACGAACGGAGATGTCCTCGACCCTCGTTCTCAAAGCAAGGCGCTGATGGAAGCCACGGCAAGGCAGGCATGACACAGGGCCCTCGCCGCGGCACGGGCGAACTCAACATCTCCACCTCGAATGACAAAAAATCTCCACACTTGCATCTGCCAAGACTGACCGTCCGTCGACAATCGATAACATGGCTGTTTAGCGTTCGATTGTCTTGTCGGATCTTTTCTGCATTTCTCGCGCCGGACTGCTTCAGACCCTGAAACGCTTAGCCCTGCCAGGTCTTCGATCGGTAACTTTGCATAGCGCATCGACGTGGAATTGAAGCATCTGTACCAGGACAAGGCGACATCAGCGTACCTTGGCGGGGACCGCAGGCGTCAGCGGAACTCTAAACGTACAGCACGTGCAGGAAGCAAGGTGGAGTGAGTTTGGTGGCATGGACGCCCGCGTGCTGACACCCGCTTGCTGTGCGAGGCGAAGCGAAGCCTATTTCTCGCAACTGAAGCGAGGCCCCAATTGAGGGCGAGCAGTCGGCCAGCTAGGATGCAGCCTCTCTCACCGATACATGTCTCGGTATTGACCGAATACGTGCGGTCGTCCCGGGTACGAAGCGAATGCATTTGTTGGTGCAGCCTGGGCTACGATTTCAATAAGCAAAGTCTTGCGCGATCTACACAGGCTGTGCAATCCTGGAGGCTTTGTGGTAAGGCCTGGATCGTGTAGCATGTGCAGGATCATGTACATGCATGTGCCGGCGTGTCTTCGGACAGCTAGTCAGTACTTCGTAGGGTAAATGCTCACTTCTACGCTGACAGTGATCTCATCACGACACGCAAGGCTTCTCGCACGCCTTGCACCGTGAGGCTTGCATCTCCGTATCAATTGTAGTAAGGTATCGGCTTGGATTGCACAGCCCTCTGCATCTCAAGCTTGGAAAGCGGGGTACATGCGCTGTCAAAGCGAAGCGCTGATATAAAAGACGAGGCAAGGGCATTGAAGAGGACTGCCGTGCTTGGCTTCTGCATTGCGTCAAGCGTCAGGGCGGGTAGACCTACATACTGTATATCTGTAAGCGATTCCGCAACGTTCCAGATTACCCGTCGAATCGCGGGAGCGCGTCGTGCCAGAAACGCGGGGAGTATTGTTAAGAGATGCAGTAGACAGATGCTGAGCATGTTTTTGCGGTGTACCCGAGACCAGGGTTGTCATATGAATTGAGCGATAACTGCAGGGGCAGAACAGAGTTCGACAGATGCCAGTGACACCATTGACCGGGGTGTGCATGAAATTTCGAGAATTCCGGGGTGAAGAACATGACGCGAACAGCACTGGACACTGGGATGACAGAACACCATTTGTACGATCCAAACTATGTAACGCATTACAGGGCCCCATGTTGAAGATGTCGTCAATCCAATTACCTTGATGGCTCTGCGGACACCACAAAGCTCAATACCCGGAGCACGCACAAAACACCGATTCTCTGACGATTCAAGTGTTTCATTCGATGCACGAGGAACAAGGGTGCCCGCCGTCGGGTCCATTGTCTATTCCGGCCTCTTTGCATGCTCGTGGTTGAGCACAGAGATGACACAGAACTCAAATACCTACGCATGACACTGAGCTCTGTCAATCGTTGAAAACAACAGATTCCTAAAGTTGAAATGGGTAGGACACCCTTGTAATGTTCGCTCAAGTCTAAAATACTATAGTAGCCGCCAAAGTCAAACAGTAACTTTGTAAGAAGACGTGCAATTAGACATCTGCTCTTCTAGTCACCGCCATCTTGTCGCTTTCCACGGCCTTTTGACCGCATTACCTCGTCCCCTGTTTGACCGCCTCTCCGGCCCTGTTCTCCGCTCTAGCCACCATTCCGATCGCCCGTTCGACTTGTTTTTCAGTCTTCACTACCTATCCAAGCTAAAGCCTGCCGGCAGAGTCTGCATAGCGATAGCCTTCGACTCATCATCAGGAGCGAAGACAAATGGCGTTCCACCATGCTCCATAATGGGAGAGGGCTGGTCGTCACAGGACTGGCCCTTTCCGCCGAACTGGCTCGCAGAAGTTGTAGAACGGACATGAATCACAACAATTGGCAGCTGAGAGAAGATCAGATTTGGTCCTGATCAGTGTTGAGGTGGGACAGAGAAAGGTATCCCATCGTCAAAAGGTTGCACGCCCGTACCTGAGGACTTCGGGCCGGTGGGAGCTAATATCTCAATAGCAAAAGCGAGCGCAGGTCCTGCGGTTTGGCTACTACCTAGAGTTGAAGCAAGTGTAGGTCTATCTATAGCATGTGCGAAGGCCAAGTAAACGCCAGGGTGGTCAAAGCGGGTCGACCAGTGAAGTGCTTACTTACATCACCTGAGGGCCTACCTTCAGTGGGAGATGGCTGCGGTGTTGGAAGAGTGAAGTTACCGCGAGCACCCTCCGCTAGCCGGCTAATCTACTCGAGAGGCGAGGGCAGACCATGAGGGGCGGTCACTATCAGCAATCCTGATCTGGCATTGTGGAAGCGCTGAGCATGACGACACTGAGAATAGATTAGCAAATGATCAATGACGGAGGCCGTTAACCGACTGATCTAGCAAAGCTATGTTCAAACTGTAGTGGCGAGCTTGCATGTTGACTATATCCACATATCTTGATGTGCATGAGTTCAATGGAATACATCTCCAGAGTCAGACACGGCCAAGATGGCTACCTTCTGAAGTAATTTCAGCAAGTTTGCTCATAGTCTACGAGAGACGCCCACAGTGTATCAGGATTGGCGAATCTTCAGTCTCTTCTCAACGTGTTTTCTTCAGCATAAGGTTCTGATGAGAGAATTGATGATATTCTGAAGCCAAGAAGGGCATGCAGTTCCTTGTTCAGGATGCCTTCGCTGTCATCTGGGAGACATTGTGAGCGTACCCGTTGAATCAGATGCCTGAAAATCTATGGGCATGTTGATCATGTAAAACCTAGAGGCCGAAGAGGCACGAGTAGCGCAGCGATCCGTAACGATCGCAATGTCGATATTGAAACGACGCGGCCTCGCAGGGGATGGTCGACGCTGACAACAAATAAGCCGACTCGTAGAGCTCAGGCATGTGTTGTCGCACGGAATGCGAACTTGTACAGCTCGTTCTGGCTTTTAGAGTTCATCTCAGAATCGAGAGGGAAGGCTTACCCAAAGAAAGTACTGGATTGAGAACTCCTGCCCACAGGCACGTTCAACCGACCACATGGCAGACTGTAGCATTACAAAAAAGATTCATGATCTCGTTAGGGGCTTTCATGTTGGAATATGCGCTAAAACATAGATACTTAGTAAGGGTTCTGCGACTTATCAGTTTGAATAGACACGGTTCAATCCTAGAAGAGCGCCAAGTGACTGGCCGGGTGTATTTGGTTGCAGTACGGGCAGTATGTGTAAATTGTGAACAAAGAACTGATGCAGCCGCAATGTGGAGAGTCACATTGCCAGTGTTCGCATGGAAAAGTGTCGATGTGTAGAAAATGTCGAAGAAGTCGAAATCGGACCAGTATGTACATCTTACCTCTGTGGCAATTACGACCACAGATTAATTGATCTCACCGTGGTCGAACATGGGAAGCTGATCAGGGTGCACACTAGCGTGTCCCAATATAGTAGGCGGTGAACAGCAAGCGTCAAAAAGTTTCGAGAGTTCGCAGATTGTTCGAGGCGCGAACTTTGGCGGACAGCACATCCACAACAACACAAAACAATGGCTGGAATCAAGAGTAAACCAGCAGTTGACGCTGCACCGGCGAAGGTCAGGAAGGACAAGTCGGAGAAGAAATCGTCGAAAAGCGACTCGAAGCATGCTGTAAAGCCCGTGAAGAAGAGCAAGAAGGTCGCCGAAGACGTCGAAATGGCCGACAGCGACTCTGAGGGAAAGGCAAAGTCAAAGACACAGAAGCGCAAAGCGGAGGACGAATCCACGGAGCAGAAGAAGAAGTCCAAGTACGAGACACCGGGGGAGATCTCCTCCAAGCTCGCCGACATTCATGGTAAAGACTTTTATTGCGCGCGCACATCAATCCCGGCTGATCATTTCATAGCGAACAACTCTCGTGAGGCGCATCAAAAACAGAAGGCCCTCGCCAAAGAACGAAAGAACGCCAAGCCCAACGCCGACGTTATCGAACGCTCCAAGAAACTGTGGGAGAAGCTGCGTTTGAAGTCACACATCGAGAAGGATGAGAGGAAAGAGCTTGTCAAGGAGCTATTTGAAATCATCACCGGCCGAGTAAAGGACTTTGTCTTCAAGCACGACTCCGTACGAGTCATCCAGACTGCCATCAAGTACTCGACAATGGAACAGAGAAGAATGATTGCGCGCGAATTGAAGGGGGAGTTCAAGATCCTTTCTGAGGGCAAGTACTCGAAGTTTTTGATCGCCAAGCTGGTGGAGAAGGGGTAAGTTTCTATGTCGTTGAGATGGCGCTGCAGACCCTAACAAAGCGTAGTGACCCGGAGATTCGCGACCTGATCATTACCGAGTTTTACGGCCACGTTAAGCGTATGATCAACCACCCCGAGGCAGCGTGGATATTGGACGACATCTACAGGGCGGTTGCCACACCAGAGCAGAAGAACCGCATGCTGCGCGAGTGGTATGGTGCGGAATTCTCTATCGCAGGTCTCGGGCCGCAAGGCACGGAGAGCGCAGATCTGGCGACCATACTCGAGGAGTCGCCGGAGAAGAGAAAGCCCATCATGAGCTATCTGGAGAACCAGATCAACTCCCTTATCCAAAAGAAACTTAACGGCTTCACCATGCTGCACGACGCCATGTTGCAGTACTTCCTTGTTTGCGAACCGGGCACAGAGCAAGCGAACGACTTCCTCGAGCACCTCAAGCCTGACCCTACACTCAAGGAGGGAGAGGAGGCCGACAACGTGGATCTGATGAAGAACCTCGCGTTCACCAAGTCTGGTTCGCGACTTGTGTCACTATGCTTCGCATATGGTACAGCGAAAGACCGCAAGCTGTTCCTACGACCGTACAAGGACACCGTCGAGGTCATGGCATTCGACCAGCACGCACACCACGTCCTCCTCGCTGCTCTGGCTGTGACCGACGACACCAAGCTCTCCTCAAAGTCGATATATAGCGAACTCCTGCCCAGCAACGATGCTCTCCCCGAGAAGGTTCTCAACCTGTGCAATGACGCCCGCGCCCGCACCGTTCTCCTCTACCCTTTCGCCGCTGATGCCAAGTGGTTCCTCGACGACAACACACGCGAGCGTCTCGCAGAGATCTACGCCATCCGAGAGAAAACCTCGAAGAAGGACCCCAACACCCGTCTCCAGGAAGTCACAAAGAGCATCGAAGCCCCCCTGCTCAACGCCATCACCGCACGCGCCGCCGACTTCGCCTCCTTCACCTTCGGCTTGCAGTTCATGGGCGAGATTCTCGTTGGCGCGCCCGAAATCGAGCCCGCAACCCGCAAGGACGCCCTCACCGAGGTCGCGCGCCTGTCGCAGTCGATCCTCGACGCCTCGCTGCCGGCCAGCGCCGGCGACACAAAGGCCACCAGCCACGGCAAGAACATGCTCAAGACGCTCGTCCAGGGCGGCAAGTTCGACCCCAAGACCAAGAAGGTCGTCCCCGTGACACCGGCCCTGGGCTTCGCAGATATGCTGTGGGCGGAGATCAAGAGCAATGTCATCGACTGGGCCACCGGCGAGGGCTCGTTTGTTGTCGTTGCGCTAACAGAGGCTGACGGCTTCGCGAAGAAGAGCGAGGTCCTCAAGGCGCTGAAGAAGGACAAGAAGAAGCTGGAGGCCGCCGCTGGGCCGGCGAAGAGCAAGGATGCCGATGCGGCGGCCAAGAAGGGCAAGAAGGGCGACAAGAAGGACGACGCCCCCCGAGGGAATGCGGGTGCCAGAATTCTGCTCGAGAAGTTGTAGACGCGGTGCATGTTGCAATTGGACAGGAGTTTTATTGACTAGGCAAAAGCATCAATTCACGATACCCACTACTTAATCTTGCTTTGTGAAACAACCCGCCCAAGATTACAACACTTGCTGATTTACATTTACACCCAAATAATCCCAGAATCGAGTGCGAGCCCCCGTGGTATACAACAACAGCAAAGACGATAATCGAACACATACTTTGAACACGCCAAGACCAAATTACACAGCATGCGCGCCCTGGGCGTGCGGCACGTATATCGGCTCGTCGGCGGCCGTAGCGTCATTCCGCGCCCTCAACCCATCCCTCCTCTCCATCTCAATGATGCCATCCTGGCTCGTCGCCTCGGCGGCATACCCATGGCGCTGAGCCGTATCCGCGCCGCCGCCCGCGCCATTCTTCAGCGTCTCGCTCTGGCCCTTGCGGCTCCAGCCCTCGACGCCCACGTAGCTGCCAACGCCCACGCCGATGCCCCACGCGCGCTCGTAGCTTCGTGGACCCCATGCCCAGCCGGCGCCGCGCGTGATGGGCAGGTGGTACCAGCGGAACGAGAACCAGGCTGTGGTGATGCCGATCAGGCTGCCGAAGAGCAGGTCGAAGCCGAAGTGCCGGAAGTCTGTGAAGCGCGTGCTGGCGACGTAAATAGCGGTTCCGACAGGGGTGAGGACGAGTGCGAGGGTGTAGACGGGCGGGGCGGCGGACTGATAGCGGATGGGGACCACTGCGTCGTTGTCGGTGATGCCGGTGTGTGAGAGCGATGATTCTTGTTTGTGGACAGGGAGGACCGAGCGGTCGGTTGAAATACGCGACTTAAGGTTTGAGCGTGTCACGGCGGAGGTATACGCCGGGTTCGTGGAGAATGGACGAGGGGCGAGGAAGGGGATGGCCACGGAGAATTTCGAGGCCAGGAACAGGGTCAGGTAGAGAAGGCCGGCCCAGGAAACTGGTGGCTGTTAGCAGGTAAGAAGCAGCTGAAAAAGAGGTCCACGTACAACTGGCGTGGCCACTGGGAAAGGACTTGAAGCCGTCCTTCATGATGTCCTCGTCTTCGTTCGTGCAGATTGCGTCTGTGACAAGGACCCATGCCGCGTTGAAGTCAACGCCGACAATGGGGTTGACAGCGGTTTCCTGAAGACGGCTGAGGTCGGGCTGGCAGCGAGACAGCAGATCGGGACGCGGCTTTCCGAACAACAGCTTCATGCCCTGGGTGACCATGAAGGCGGTCGCAAGAGACAGCGCCAGTCCCATCCAGCCCGTGTTCCATTCCCAAAGCTTCCTCCTCCAGATGAGCGCCTTGGAAGTCCCTCGGCTGGCTGTTGGACCCGGCACAAAGACAATGCAGACCAAGAAGATGACAGCAGCTGGGATAACGAGACCTATGACGGCCATAAGCCATGTTGGAATTGTCTCGTTGTGCTCAAACGGATACGATATGTCGAGATTGACAGGGGAGAATGGTCGCTTGTAGGGCGTCAGGAACTCCCATCCTGCTCCAACAGCGGCTATAGCTCTGCGCAGTATCAGTAGAGTCGAAGAGACGGCGTGCGGCTCTCATGCGCCCAAGACCATGTTCGGGCGCGACTATGAGCACGCGACAGTGACGTACATTATACAGATCCAATCAAAAACGTACGACAGCACCAAGCGTACTGACGGCATACTGAGGCCTCTGACGGCCGGCATGACTGAAATGTGTTGTGTGACTGTGACAAAGAAAGGGTTGCAGACAACAAAGCGAGTGCGCACAGGATCCCAAGACACTTAGAGAGATGAGCGCATGGACTTGGTCGAGCACCAGGCTTGAAGGGCCGATTTGCGACCACGTGTTGTGGATGCTTGGCTGTGTTGTCGCAGTTGTGCGAAGCTGACGTGGTGTGCTGCCGGATGCAGACGGGATATCGCAAAAGCTTGATGGCGCAAAAGAAGCAGGATGGCGGACGGGGAATTGGCGAGTGATGAAGGGCACACGACTATCGCCAAGCACGCGTATTACGCTGGAAGGGGCTGTGTCCCTGAGAGGTCCGTTTGGTGATGGACGCCGCTGGGCACGTCTCAGCTGCTAGGCGTCCGACGGCGTTGCACGGGCGCACGCTGCTGATAGCTGCGCCGTAGAACAGGTCGCTGCGGCATCAGCACCCCTCCTCCAGCTTGCAGAGGTGCGCTGAAAGCGCCGCAGCTGGTGATGATGGGGACCGAGACCGAGACGATCGGCTTCGCGTAGTGTCGCCTCCCGGCGATGGCGGGGCTGGGCTGCGGCTAGCGATGCGATCTGCGCCCCCGCGTCATCTCGAAACTTTTGTCCGTCGTGCGTGTGCGAGCCGCGCAGCAATCCGGAGTCCGAGTCGCAGCCGCCGAACCACCGCCAAATCCTCGCAAAATGGCGCTGCCTACGCCGACCATCGATTTGCTGCTGAACCTCATCGACACGCGCCCGCAGTCCATCCTGCAGACCCTCGCGCAGCACCCTCAGCTCGCCTCAGCCCGCGACGCACACGGCTACTCGCTTGTCCACGCCGCCGCCTCGTACAGCCAGCTGGACGTCCTGCGCGAGCTGGTCCAAAAGTACTCGGCCGACGTCAACATCCTCGACGAGGACGGCGAGACCGCACTGTTCGCGACAGAGAATGTCGAGGTTGCAAAATGCCTGGTCGAGGAGCTGGGCGCCGACGTGAACATAGCGAACAGCGAAGGCAAGACCGCCGAGCAGAAGATTGGCGAGGAAGAGGGCGAAGGCCACGAAGTATACCAGTACTTGAGGAGCCGCAGCGCCGGCGGCGAGCTGGCGGGCGCTGGCGTTGTGGACACCAACGGCGTGCCGCTGCCGAACGGTGTGCAGATCAACATGGGCACCATGACAGAGGACGCTGCTGGCGATGCACCAGATCCGGAGATCCGGAGGCGCATTGACGAGCTGGCGGCAAGGGAGGACTTCCAGACCCCGGAAGTTCAGCAGCAGTTGAGGGAGCTCATCCAGGAAGTTGTCACGGGTATCGGTGCTGATCAGGGAGAGCGGAACGTCAGGCAGAGAGTTGATTGAGTGTGACGTCAACAGCCGAACTGCAGATGCTCCGACGACGGCACGCGGAGACTGAAAAGAAGCGAATGGACCCAGATGCTCTGGACGTGTTCTGCAAGCACAGGAACATATCCACGTGTCTGGGGGAGTAGAGAGCCAGGCAGGGGTGGCATGCCGTCACACGTAACAGTCCCTCGAGCCCTGAACAGCACCTGAAAAGGATGTTGTGTTCTGATGTCAGCCACGACGGCGCAGAACATATGGGCGACACGATGCTATCTCAATATCTACTCCAAAGATTAGGTTCAATCTAACCAAATTGCTTCGTTCTGGAAGAAAAAGCAAACGTACCAACTTGAATCAAACCTCGTCGTTACGCGCGATCACATCAACACGATTGACCCAATGCAGACAGCATCTTCGCTGTCTGAGTGGACTGCAGTGCGTTTCGCCATGTCGCAGATTGAGCGGCTGCGCCTCGGCTGGCGGCAAAAACCAGGGTCCACAACCTGTCAGCCAATTGCTGATCAACAGATCAGCACCTCACCCCTTGTTTTGCGCGACGACCTGCACGATCCTTGCCTCGTGCGATTTGGCAGCAATGCGTGCGCCTTAAATTAGACGTGAGATCGTTGCTGATGACTTCATAGAGAGGCTGTGCGCTCCTGCCGTTTACAACAACAGTCACTCTTTCTGATCTTCTAGCACTCGACCCACGCGCCTTCCTGCTGTTGCAGTCTACTCCTCGCGCTTGTTCAACGATACCTTGAGCCACCATGTCCAACGCGCCTAGTAACTGCTCGGTCGTCCCAGACGCCGTCCAGACTGATGCGGGAGTGGCGGGGGCTGGCGTAAGCCACTTCTGTGAACGCACATAGAATGCACTGACAGCGCAACAGACCCTGCTCTCATTCATCATCACGAACTTCATTTCCTTATTCCTGAGTGCCACAATCATTCTCCTCGGCCTGCGCAAGTCGACCTCGGCGCCAGTATGTCGCAGGCTCTTGCAGTCCTTCTCAGACCAGCAGATCGTAACCGGTATTGGCATCCAGTCCATCGGCCTGGCGAAGATGCATTCGATGGTGTCGTACCACTTCTTCATCATCTGGCTGCTCTCACTGCTGTCCACGGCCACGAACCTGGCGACGCTGCTCGCCCTGGTCAACGACTTTAGACGTGATTGGGTACTGCGATGGCTACGACAGTTTTTCATGCTCGTCAATCTCTTCCTCGGCGTCCTGTCTGGCATCTTCATCCTCCAGTCCGTGACGAAGAACCTGGAACCTCGACTACCTATCGCCTGTGTCTGGGAAGTCGAGAGCCGCGGAACCTCATCCAACACAGCGCTTAGTATTGCTGGCACCATTGCAGTCATTGCCGCTCAGGGCATCGTTTTCATCTTGTCAACCTGGTACCTGCACAACCGCGCCAACCCAGCTTGGCTCAAGACTGTCCAGGTTGTCGGACTGTTCGTGCTCCTGGCCATGGGTGTCGGAGCTACGGTCCGTGTCATCATGGTCTCGCAGGCTTTTGGCAATCCGCCCGCAGCGCTGAACCTTCAGGGTACGAGTGAGAAGTTTTGGAGCTACGGCCAGCTACTTCCTCTGCTGCTGTTGGTGATGCCTCTCATCAGCATCCTTGAGGTGATCAGAGGCGAGACAAGGATGCCGCCCAGCAGAGTGGACGACGACACTGCGCCTTTATTCGCGAACGATATGGAGTTCCAGCCGAATCCCCTGATCGGTAGTGCTAACAGCCTGTTCCGGAAGTGACCCGGTCCCTATCAGCGTTCGTTATTCCACAGTGCTAGAAATCGCTGCAATCAGAAACATATACTACATTGCGAGAGGTGATTCCGGATACTTTATATGGCGTGTTCTCATCTGATCCGACTCCGTGAACGATCAAGTGATCTATCAACCTACACCCGCTCTCCCATAGCCCTCGCAGCCTGCACAATCGTCTTGAAGCACAACCCAACCCCCACATACCAAATCCCCGTCCTCAGCACCGTCGGCCCCTGCGCCTCATGCGTCGCATACACAGCCATATACGCGACCCTCGCGACCAGAAACCACGCCGCAAAGCCCGACAGCGCCCGCTCCTCCAGCCCCGCAACATGGCCCAGCACCACCGCCGCCGCGAACAGCGGAAAGCTCTCCATGCTGTTCGCGTGGCACGCCTCCAGGCGCTCGTACTGGGCGTACCTAGCGGCCGGCAGGCGCGCTTTGAGCGCCGCCTTCAGGTCGGCGGCGCGCGGGTTGCGGTTGTCCCATGTGCGCAGCTGGCCCTGGGAGGCGACGTTGATGGCCCAGCCGTGCGGGAGCATGGCCAGGACGAAGTAGGCGGGTATGGCCAGGATGGAGGGGCTGTAGCTGCCGAGGAATGACATGGCGGGGTTGGTGTGTTTTGTTGAAGGTATCTGAGATGGCGAGGATGGTGATGGTGCTGGTGCTATGGACCTCGGCACCATGATGTCAGAGTTACGGCCAACACCAACACCACCGGTTCTGCGCGCACGGTTCGTCGACAGAAGTGGTCACCAGATTGACGCGAGGATGGTGGTCAGCGTTATGGATGTGAAAAGGAGGACTGCGATGTATCTGACGACCGGGTGACAAAATGCGTCACGACAAGGCTGCTCGAGAGTCGCTTGAGGCACGTCAGTTTCGATCCCGCAACGCAGATTGGGTGTCACGACGTACTCTGATAAACCCTCGATCGGTTCGCTTGAGCAGACTCACTGATGATTCGTGGGGTAATGCTAATCGAATTGCGGGCCTCGATCAAGGACAGGCCACACAGCAATGTGAGCAGGAGCAGAGACAGCCCAGCTGGTAACTTCTGCTTCATCGTGATGAGGCAGTCAATGTCTTGATCAGTATGCAAGTTTTCTACACAAGCAGCCTTGCTTGTCAACACTTTATCACTTTTGCAGTGGACGCCTTGAAGTCTTATTTCGCGCTATGGCCTTATACGAGCATGATTCCAACAGATTAGCAGATACAATGCTTTGGAAGGATACGATAGATCAATGCTTTGGTCCTGCAAGTCCTGTGAGTCTCGTTGTTGGTCACTCGTGCGAAGCTCCCAAAACAGCCTAGCCTAATTGTCATCAACGACACCAGCTACCACGATCCTCCGCGTCAAGTGTCTCCGCGCATGCGCGTCATTCTCACTTTTCGAGAACCCCGGTCCTCTGTAGACGTGACTTGTAGTGTCACTATGTCGCGCTCACGGTGCTGGCGGAGCCGGTCCTTCCACGATGTGAGACCTCTGCCTGGGAGCGACGCGTGACCGGAGTGCACACGACACCTGCGTAGAGAACATGGCACGAGCGCACATCACAGATGCCCGCGAGACCGCCGCTCGATAAACAAAACTAACTCGTCCGCTGCCAAACTTCCGCAGCCTTCCTCACAACATGGGGACACCATTCCGCCCAGCGTCTCCTGCACAGGATTTGCCGCAGTACTACCACGACTTGGGTGACACTGACATTACAGACTGCTTCCGGAACTTCGATCTCGAAAAGAACTTTGATCTCTTTGACCGGCAGACACGAAACCCCAAGACGGCCAACTTCTGCCTCGATCTGGGCGAGGACGAGGCGTACTGCGCCTTTGACCTGGCCTCGTTCTCCTACTCCCGTCTGCTGGAGGCGCCGCGGCCTGCGCATCTGCACACACGATGGATCAACCTCTGGCAGCCGTACAACCAGAAGGACACTCTCCGCCTGGTTGGCCAGCACTATGATTTCTCGCCACGTCTGCTGGGCATGATGTGCAGTGATCCCGTGCCCCCCCGTGGAACCTCCAGTCTGGAGAAGAGCATCTCTACACTGCGTTCCCGGCTGTCGCATCGCTCCAGGCACTCAAAGTCAAGCAGCGAGAAGTCAAAATCAGGCTCGAACAAGGACACTATCGAGTCGGAGGAGAGTGTTGGGATGACAGAGCTGATGCACTCGACGCAGTTGGAGATGGTGCGGGATCTCACGCACTACCAGATTGTCGAGGACGTGTGGCACTGGTCGACGGTGGACTGGGGCCGCCGATGTAAGTCAGCCCCTGCTTGCGAAGCGTGATGTCGGGTGATGTTGACTGTCGCAGACCTCTGCCTAGGCTATAACACCCTCCATAACGTACGCAGCAAGCAGACGCACCACCACCATGACGCACACCGGCTCGACCGTGACCAGGACATACCCCACGGCAAGCGAGTGTGGAACTGGCTTCTACTGTGCGAAGACAAGACGGTCATCTCCATCTCCGAAGACCCATTCCCCTTTGCGAACGGCGAGGTGCACGGATGGGACTTGAGGATGTTGTACACAGTGCGACGCAACCTCGTCAATGTCTTCCGACAGCTGACCAAGGCGCCCACGCCGCTCTCCGACGCCGCCCTCACCCAACTCCCGATCCGCCACCGCATCGGCCACAGCGAAGAAGAAACGGCTCACCGCCCCGCCGACACGCCCGGGCTGCTCTTCTACTACCTCTTCGAAGACTGGGGCACCACCTTCAGCCTCATCTCCCGCAGCGAGGAAGGCTACGCCGCAGAGCTCGACCGGCTCGTGAGTCGCCTGCCCACTCCCGCGCACGCCGCTAACACGCCCAGCGCCAGGAAATGCTCGTCAAAGCCGACCTCACGCACGTCGACCAGCTACACCACATCGGGTGCCAGCTCGCGGTGCTGCGCCGCGTGTACCACAGCTACTCGCTGCTGATCGAGCGGGTGCTGGAGCGGCGCGACGCGACGCCCGCGTCGCTGAAAAACTCGCACGTGCTGCCGCCGACTTCATCGCTCGTCGCGTCCGCGCACGGCACAGAAGGCGGCGCGTTCCTGGCCGACGCGCCCAGCAGCCTCGGGGTGCCGCTCAGCACGGCATCCCGCGTGCGGTTCCAGCGGCTCAAGGACCGCATTGCGCTGTACGCGCTCAGCGAGATCCAGGAGTGCCTCGACCAGAAGGACTCGCTGGTGATGATGAACTTCAATCTGATTGCGATCAAGGAGTCGTTTAGCGTGGAGCGGCTGACGTGGGTGACGCTCGTGCTGGCGCAGATTACCATCTTGTTCACGCCCGTGACGCTGATGACGGGGTACTTCAGCATTCAGTTCAAGGCGACCGAGTTTGAGGTGGGCAGTTACTGGGTGGCGTTTGGGGTGGTGTGGGGGGCGTCAGTGCTGCTGCTGTTTGCATTTAGCTACTTTAGCGGCACGCTGAACGGGCACATTATCAAGACGAGCTGGAGCCGGGTGGTGGTGGAGGGGAGCAGGCGGTGGTGGGCACGGAGGGTCAAGCGGGGGAACTGAAGCGGGGAACTGAAGATGGTGAGGCATGTTGCACAGTGTCGTGCAGGCCACGCCGTTGAGGTGTCGCGTAGCACGAGCATGTATGCAGCTGACGCGGCTGACTGCGTCGCGCACTGGAGAGGCACGGCAAGCCAACGAAAGAAGCACGGCAAGCCAACGAAAAGAAGTCATGTCATTATTTTGAGTCGTAAGTAAGCCAGAGGTATCACAGAAAGCAGCGCAGAAATGCAACACGACCGAAGTCGGACCCGAACGCCGTGAACCTGCGGCCGTGAGAAGATCAAGTATGCGGCCGTGAAGTACAAGTCTGCGGCCGTGACAAGATGTTGAGAAGAGCAAGTTGGCGGCCGTGAAGAACAAGTCTGCGGCCGTGAGAAGGTCAAGTAGGCCGTAAAGAACATGTCTGCAGATGTTGAGAAGAGCAAGGGAGAATCCAAGAACATCACGCAAGCGACCGGCGCGCGCCCTTGCGCTTCTGGCTCACGACGCGCCGCACGGGCCGGGTGGTGCCGCGCTTGAGCCCGCGCTCGCTGCGGGTGCTGGCGGCGAACTGCGGCGAGAAGCGGGTGATGGCGCAGATGGAGCAGGGCTTGGCAAACTGGTCGACGTGGGCGGCGTGGAAGGCGCGGGTGCCGTACAGGGCAAAGGCCATGGCCTCGACGTCGACGCGCAGGACCCAGGGCGAGTTGGGGCCCGGGCCGCGGATGGCGGGCGAGGTCAGCAGGGTCGGGATGGAGATGTGGTACTGGCGCTCGACCTCGTCGACGGTCAGGGTCTGGCGGTAGAAGCAGTCCTGGCAGGCGGCGATCAGGCGCTTGACGACGGGGAAGGGGTAGCAGTCCAGGCCGACGTGGCAGTAGATGCACAGGCGCGGGGCGTGCTGCAGCCACAGGCGGCGGTAGACGATGCGGCTCAGGTCCGGGTAGACGCAGGCCGGGCCGTGGGCGTCGTAGTGGGCAAAGGGCAGGTTGAACATGTTGCAGGCGCGCACCAGGTGGGCGCAGTAGGCCTCGACGTGGGCGTGCAGGCGGCGCGAGGTCAGGGCCAGCACGTGATAGGGATGGCGCAGGCCGTTGAAGGCGAAGATGTCGGCGGCCCAGCGGTGGGCGTCGGGCGGCGTGGTCAGGTCCTCACGGTTCTTGATCTCCAGCTTGGCCGGGCGCGCGAAGTCGTGGGCGCTCTGGGCCTCGGACAGCCCGGGCAGGCGCGAGCGTGGGTGCACGAGCAGGGCGAGGATCTGGTGGACGATCTCGACGGGCAGGGCCTCGAGCGGGCTGGGCGGGCGCATGGCCGCGGCGGAGGACGCGCTGCCTGGGGGAGGGGAGGGAGTGCCTGGGGCTGTCTGTGCTAGGGGGCGGGCTGGGGCATCTTATAGCTGCTCGCAGCGCAGGGCGCCAGAAAATGACAGGGCGAGGAGGACGCCCGGGATGCCGACTGCACTGCAGCGACTGCAGCGACAGCACTGGCGGCATGGCCAGCGCAGGTTCGCCAGATCACGCACCGCGCGGATCGCAGCGGGCGCCGCGCAGATTGGCGAGCATGGCATCGCATCGCGGCGACTTGTAGTCGCAGGCTGCGCCCATCTCCGCCAACGCGGCCCAATCGGCAGTCCGCTTCTTCCAGCGCGGCCCCACCCGCGCTGGAACGCACCACCCGCACCACCAGCCCGCCGCTCTCCTGTCTGCCGCCGACCGACGACACGATGCAGGCCCCCGACGCGCAGGCCCTGCCCGCGCAGCCCGAGCGGCGCGGCGCAGAACCCGCCGACCGTGACCGCGACCGTGACCGCGACCGCGACCGCGACGACGACGACGACGACGCCTTGTGGGAGACGGCGTCCCTGTTCGAGGACATTCTCGACGACGTGACCGCCTTCGAGCCCGGCCGCGATGCCGACGCCTGCCCGCCCGACGAGGCCCGCCGTCTGCGCCAGCGCCTGCACGCCGTCGGCGCCAGCCAGTTCGTGCTGGAGAACATCACGGCCGAGAAGATGACGGCCCGCCGCCTGTGCTCGGCGTTTGGCGTGCGCATCCCGCGCTTCCTCGACGACGCGCCCGACGACAGCTTCTACCAGCTGCTGGGCCTGGCCATCAACCGCGAGCTCAACAAGCGCCCGCGCCTCGACCAGTACCGCGACATCGACGACGCCGCCCGCCTGCTGCGCGACCGCCACCACGTGCTGGTCATCACCGGCGCCGGCATCTCCACCAGCCTGGGCATCCCCGACTTCCGCTCCAAGAACACGGGCTTCTACTCGCGCCTGCGCGCCATGGGCTACGACGAGCCCGAGCAGGTCTTCGACATTCACAACTTCGACGACGACCCGCGCATCTTCTACCAGCTGGCCGGCGACATCGTGCCCGACCTGAAGAAGTGGACCCCGACCCACCAGTTCATCCGCCTGCTGCAGGACCACGGCAAGCTGCTGACCAACTACACCCAGAACATCGACAACGTCGAGGCCAACGCCGGCATCCGCCGCGACAAGCTGATCCAGTGCCACGGCTCGTGGGCGACTGCCACCTGCCGCAAGTGCAAGTACAACGTGCCCGGCGAGGCCATCTTCGACGCCGTGCGCGCCATGAAGCCCGCCGAGTGCCGCCGCTGCGTCGCCGACATTGCCGCCCAGAAGCCCGGCGCCAAGCGCAAGCGCGCCTCCAACGGCCAGCCCGCCCGCAAGAAGCGCGCCAGCGACGACGACTCCGAGTCGGACGGCGCCTTTGACATTCCGCAGCCGGGCATCATGAAGCCCGACATCACCTTCTTCGGCGAGGCCCTGCCCAACGACTTCTTCGACCGCCTCAAGGACGTCGACAAGGACAAGGTCGACCTGGTCATCGTCATGGGCACCAGCATGAAGGTCGCCCCCGTGTCCGAGATCCCCAACTTCCTGCCGCGCGACGTGCCGCAGATTTTCATCTCGCGCGATGTGCGTATCCCCGAGCCGTAGCCGTACCGTCTTGTCGTGCTAACACCCGCAGCCCATCCACCACATCAACTTCGACATCCAGCTGCTGGGCGACTGCGACGTCATTGTCGCCGAGCTCGCGCGCCGCGCCGGCTGGACCCTGCGCCACGACATGCTGCCCGCAGACCAGACCGTCGACGTCGAGCTGCTCGACGCCGACGACCACGAGTACAGCGTCAAGCTGCGCAACGCCGCCCCCGTCGTCGCCCCGCAGCCCGAGCTCAAGCTGGAGGCGCTGAAGAAGGCCGAGGCCGAGGCCGAGGCCGACAAGCCCGCCAGCGCCGCGCCCGAGCCCGACGCCCATGTCAAGCCCGAGGCCGTGTAGGTGCGTGTGCGAGCATCGCGGATAGACTGGCGTTTGGGGCATTCGTAGGCGTTTTTGGGTCGAGGCGTTGCTTGGAGCGGCGAGGTGCCGTCCGCGTTTGCAGGCATGGCGGGGATGATACCAGCGAGTGCGGGGTCTGATGTTTCTTGTTTCTTATTCCGATAGAGTGTTGAATATTCGCTTTTTCCACTTGTTGCATCTGTCGTCGACCCGTAGGGCTGAGCAAGCATGTGCCCCACCCTCGGTCCGCGCCGCACTAGCTCGTCGCGTCGCGCCCAACTTTTTGCTCACTCGCAACAACATCTCCTGCAAAATCAGCACACTCACCATGCTGGACGTCCACAACCCCCCGCCGTCCACCGACACCAAAACGCGCACCACCCACGCCCGCCTCCCGCCGTTCATCGACCCCCACGCCCCCCCGCGCCGCAAATACCCCTTCGCCGCCTTCGCCGCCACGCCCTCCCTCCACACCCTCGACCTCATCCTGCCCGCTCCCACCTGGCGCCTCGTGCGCCCCGCCCTGGAGTCCCACGCCCGCGTGTACGCCCGCGCCACCCTCAGCCTATCCGACATCCTCGACCCCGCCTTCCTCGACGCGTACATCCGGCCCGCGCACACGACGCTGCTCAGCACCAGCCGCGCGGGGGACACCGTGTTCGCCGTCGCCGCGGGCCAGCTGCGGCTCGAGCTGCCGGCGGCGCTGTACGAGCGCGCGGGCCTGCAGGGCGCGCCGGTCGCGGATGGCGGCGCCAAGCATGCGCGTGCCCGCTGGGAGGTACGGTGCGATCTCACCGCGGCCAGCATGCGGGCGGGGAAGAAGGGGTTTGAGCGACTGCGGTGGGCGGCGAGGGAGGTGCTGGGCGAGCGTAGGGTGTGGTTGTTTAGCCACGCGGACCGGGGGTGGGGGGAGCGGATGACTGAAGGCGGAGAGGTGCTGGGTGTGCATGCGCCTGCTGTTGTTGCGCTGGCGCCGCGGGTGGAGGCCTTGGACGGTGTTGAGGGGCCGGTGCTGCGCGGTGTGGAGGCGTGGGGGCGCGAGGAGAAGCTGGAGTTGCTGGAGTGGCTGGACATGCTTAGCCTGGGGTCGGCGAGGGTGCGGGGTGGCGGCGCTGTCGACAGCCACCTGTGTCGCTACGAGGTTCCTGATTTCGGCCACGGCGTTGAGACGAGCGAGTTGGTGCGTGTGCGGTGGAGCGGGTTCATCACGCCAGTGGTTGTGGAGGAGGTGTTTCTGGAGGTGTGGAAGGCGGGGTTCGTGTCGAAGGGTGGCAAGGGAGGTGCAGATGCAGATGCAGACGTGACCATGGAGAGCACGCAGGACAGTGCGGGCGCGGGTCCGTGGTTCGCAATGAGCGCGCAGGCATTCGGCGAGACGAAGGCGTGGTCACTTATGCAGTTCGCGAACCGCGAGACGCTGGTGTGGGAGGTGGAGCGTTGAACCGCGGTTTAATTGTGCGAAGCAAACATGACACGCACCTTTCACACAGCTGGACGAGCTCGCAGTACAGATAACAATACCCCCGCCAACGGACCGCGTAGACTAGACCCTGCTCGAGCAGCCCGGACAAGGAGTTGTCGAGCAAAACACCACCAGCCTCCAGCGCACACCCCACACAACCCGTGCTCTATAGCGCAGCGCAGCGATTCGAGTATACTATCTTCGCTCGCACCAGTCCGGAGGCTCCAGGCTACGCGGAGGAATCGCGGGATATATGTCGCGGCCGTTTTGATGACCAAACAGGCACAGTTGGTTTGTACGTAAACACACATACACTTCATTCGAAATCCGCTTACGTCAAATTAGACACAGCCATAGCATACAGCTTGCTTTCATAGTCAGGCAAATGGGCAATACAATGCAGCTGTCGATACAAACACGAGCCGTGGCGTGACAAAGCATAGGTCTGGGTATACCAATGATTAACACGACCACCGCCGCCCCATCCGACCACCCCTCACACCTCAACCTTCTCGCTGTGCGTAGCACCCTTCGCCTGCGCCGTCGCCACGCCCTCAATCTCGTGCTGCAGCCGCTCCGACCCCTTTCTTGTCTTCCACGCGTGCGGCCCGTCGTCACTGAACAGCACCTCAATCTCCTCGATAGTCTTGCCGCACGTCTCCGGGTACGTGAAGTAGAACTGCGCGGCGCCCAAGACGCAGAAGCCGCCGAAGAGCAGGAACAGGCCGTACTTGATGTTGCGGAAGGAGGGCGGTATGAAGAGGCCGATGGCGAAGTTGAACTGCGGGTGTGAGCGGGAGGTTCGCTCGCGTTGTGGAAAGGGGTACGTACCAGCCAGTTACCAATCGCCGAGACGCCCATGCCCGTCGCGCGCGTCTCGAGCGACCACACCTCGGCCGCGTAGATCCAGCACACGGGCGCCAGCGTGAGCGCGTAGATGACGATCAGCAGGTACGAAAAGGCGATGACGGTGTAGGCGGGCGAGCCGGTGACCCGGATCAGGATGTTCGCGTCGCCATTGACGCCCTCGGGAACGGCGACGCCGTGTGCGCCCAGAATACCGCCGCACACAAAGTGGCAGAAGGCCATACCCAGCGCGCCGCTCACGAGCAGCGTTCGTCTGCCAATCTTGTCCACGAAGAAGAACATGATCGAGGAGAAGACGATGAAGAGAGCATACTGCACTCCGCCGGCTACCAGGTTGATATTGCCGGATAATCCCGCCATCGAGAAGATGTACACCACATAATATGTCATCAGATTGGCTCCTGACAGTTGCTGCCAGGCCTGAACGGAGAAGCCAGCGAGCGTGCGGCGCCACATGCCGTTGTAGACGAACTTCCGCCATCCCTTGAGCGCGGCACGCTCAGCAGCGAGCACAGTGACGATCTCCTCGTACTGAGCGACGACGTAGGGATCCTTGAGGTCACCGCCGGCCTGGATGTGTGCCAGTGTGTGGATGGCCTGCTCCGTGCGGTCCTTCATGGCGAGCCCTGCTACCATTAGTACGACGGCAGACGGCATGGAATTACACTTACATCTTGGGGACTCCGGGAGGAAGGGCAGACCAATCATGAAGAAGACGCAGGGGATGAACTGCATGGACCAGGCTGTGCGGAACGAGTGCTCGCCGTCGATGAACGAGCAGCCGTAGCCGATGAAGTACATGATCAGGATACCCCATTCGATCGCCAGCTGCTGGATTATGATAATGGTGCCACGCTGCGAGTGCTTTGCAATCTCCGCAAGATACACAGGGACTTGGGAGGACGTGATTCCCACGGTAATGCCATTGAGGACCCGGCCGCCAATCAGCATACCTCGGCTGGTGGTGGCTGTCTGGACGGCTGTGCCGACGAGCCAGAAGATGCATGAATAGAGGAGAGCGTCGCGGCGTCCAACGTAGTCCGACAGTGGACCTGCGAATAAGGAGCCGATGATGGATCCCAGAGCGAGAGCTGCGCCGATGATGCCTTGGGCGATGCCAGCTGGATTGCTAAAGTATTCGCTTTGTTGGGTCAGTAAACACATTCATTGGACAGGGAAGGTGGCTGTACAGATACTGGGAAGTCCCGATGATGGCACTCATCGACGAGATGTCAAAGCCGAAGAGCATACCACCCATCGTGGACACGCACGCCAGGAAGTAGACATTGTAGATTTTGGGCAGCTTCTCGAACATGCTGAGCGACGAGGTATCATCCGTAGTCGAAGAAGAATAATTTCTTGCGACATGCTCATATTAACTCTTGATTATAAGACGTCAGGTAATACGACTGCACTCCGCTCTTTCCCCGCCTGAAAACGGCGCCCGGAGGACGCGCCGCGATGCGTATTAATACAGACTGCTGCCGATCGATGACACGCCCCAAAAAGCCATTCAATCAAATGCGGACCTTGTCTATTCAAGGTAGCGAGGTATGCCCATTGTCTGCGCTATCGCTCGTTTGGGGCAGAGTGGGGAAGGAGCCTCATCGTACCCGCAGCGTCAGTGGCGACGGCTGTTGCACCCTGCGCAAATCACGACGGCGCGGCGTGCACTCCCTCGCCGGGACGGATGGATCTGCACTGCGGCGTCGGTTCTGGGGAACTATGCTGCTCGCTCTTTGCCCCGATGCTCGTGCACTGCGGCCGTCTGACTGTCCAATGCGGAGATGCAAACACTATCGCCGTCGAGGACTGAGCCTCCATAATTCCGTGTATTCAGGCGCGTCCTTTCGCGGGAGGTCATTGATCGGAATCACTCCCCTCGTCTTCCAACGCGATCAGACTGCGTCCTCGTGCTCGCAAACGCAGTACAACTGTCTGTGACAATCACGTGCAGTATGGGCCTCAGCTCTACGTACTAGATATTCGCCCGGGATTGATCGGATATCCGACCGATCAACGTGCCTCTCGTTGTGCTGGTGTGCGTGTGTGTTACGACACGGCTGACGAGTCTGCTCATCATCGGCGCAATTGCCGAGAGTCATCATTTTGCTGTGGGATCTGGCAATAGGACATGCAAGTTTTGACGACATCGCAAACGCTGACCTCAGAATGGACAGCATGTACTGGAGTTGGTGAGAAATACTCCGTTGCCAATACAATAGCGACAAGTCCGGAAAGGACCGCTGGGGTTACACCAAGATGAGATGTTATAATAGATTAGTAGGTATAGAAGCATTACTGATCGTAGAGACCAGGAATAAGATAGGATTAAGTGCTTGGGCTACTTAGATAATTATATACTCTTTGCACAATTACTGAACGTGGCTTGTAGCACAGCAAGTAGAGGTTTAACATTTCTGTAAGAGACTCTGTAGGTTATTTGCAAATCTACCTACTATTGCATATGTGTTTGCTGTCAACTCTAAGAATTAGTCTATGCCGTCGAGGTTAATAGGTTAGCGGCTGTGTTGGCAATTGCTGAGTCCACCAGTTCGTCACTTTCACGGGGGACACAAATCCAACGACCGAACGGGCTACACTTGACGACGCTCCCAGCAAGAGATGGTGTAAGACAGAGCATCGATTCTCCGTGGACGGAAGGCATGGGCTCTGCAGGAGAGTCTACTGTCTAGACGCCGATTGATCTCGACCAGTCGCCAAGCAATCTTTGTCTGCTATATCGAAGTCTGCGGAGCAACCACAGGTTCTGTCATGCTTGCTTCAGAGCTTCGGCTCAAGTCCCCTGGAGATCTCACCACGACTCGAGTTCCATGGAGTGACATACACTGCTTCACTGGCAAGTCCCGATGGTATCGTACTCACACATGGCAATCAGACATTCTACATCTTCCCCGTCTCCTGTTCAGTAGCGGTGAGTGATATGCCCACGATCGAAGCTTCTTTGATCCGCTGTACCCCCGATAACGATCGTGGTAATAATGATTGGATGTCGCTGCTCGGACCTTCGCCTGGAAGGGCCAGGGTGTTACGAGCGGATTGGTGTTGCAAGCATCTCGAATCTCTATGTTCCATTCTCAGCTCTCGCAAGCAACGAAACGCCGGGTACTAGTTCTCAGCGTCTAGTCCGCGCTCATGTAGCTACGAGAAGTACTAGGCAGTATTTTATACGGCCAGAGAAACGGTGGAGACATTATTTCAAGCCAGAAGTCGTCACGGTCATACAAGCTCAGCGATGCGGTATGTTAGGTGCTGCTCAAACGAGCTCTCAATTTGTCCTCGTATACCTCTACTCTTCAACCCCAACCATGATGTCGCCCTTCGTCTTGTAGAACGCGACGTAGTTTTTGATCTTCTCCATCTCCGGCAACGGAGTGGGATAGTACCACGCGGCATCCTGGATCTCGGTCTTATTCGTCGTCACGGTGTAGTAGCTCGCATCGCCCTTGTATGGACAATGCGTTGACGTCTTGGTCGGTGTGAAGTGGGACTTCTTCACAGAGTCCGGTGGAAACTGTAACAATGTCAGCGGTCCAGATGTGCTGCGAGAGCAGTGGGAAGGGCTTGTGTTACGTATATGTTCCCATCCACCACCTCCCAGGTATCTGAGCGAGCGACCTCGACGCCGTTGACGGTTGCTGTTGCTTGAGGCATTTTGAGTAGTCTGGCAGTTGGAGAAGATACTGGTCAGGAGATGAAATTAGAAATATATTGATTTCGTGTATTTCTAAGCTGTGCCCTCGTTGTCATCAATACCAAATGCGGAGTAGATTCTTATCGATAAGAGCTGTGAAGGGCGTCATCGTGCATCTTTCGAGTCGTGTTTAAATCGATGTCGGGGGCTTGATTTTCTGCTACTAACCAACTTCATTGTGACTGAAATTCTCGTGAGGGTAAAAACCTGAAGTCCAGACTTCGACTGAAGGATCGTTGGAGCTGCGGTACGTTCGGCCTTCGCAATGCACGATGGAGGTGGAAATGGTTCGCTGATGTGCTGGTGGAGATGTCGAGTTTTGCATGTACATCCACAAGTCCTAGGAGACAGACGATAGGACGGCAAATGAAGCGTCTACTTCAATGCTACAACCATATTTAGCAATATGCATACAAGCCGTGGTCGGTCGCTCCGATTCTTGGTGGGAAGGTTGCGAACAACAACGACATGGCGAGGTGTCCAACACTACGCAATGCTACAACAGATCCCTGGATTTTCTCAAATCTGGAGAGAAAAGTGTAGATTGCATGGATCCCCATTGAATTGAATCTTTGCATCTAGATGTGTTAGAGCTTTCTTCCCCCGGGCTGATGCAACATAGTCTATCGATTTGATAAAAGATTCTCGTTTTCCAATCTTCATCAAAACATTCAGGTCTTATGGTCTAGTGGTATGATTCTCGCTTAGGGTGACTAAGCAATTTGCGAGAGGCCCCGCGTTCGAGTCGCGGTAAGACCCTGTTTTTGCGGTTTGGCAGCCGGACTGCATCGATTGTTCGACCTCTTTTTGCTTAACCGAACAAACAAGCTGCAATGCCATAAGAAGTTTGGCGTGTCTGCTCAATGCGATGGAGCTCGCTCGTTTCTGAGTACTACACAACCAAGATTGTCCACGGAACAAGCCTTCTGCCGGGTGTGAGACAACGAATGTGCTTTCATCATCGTACAACAAATTGAGGGTCTCACGATATGCTGGCGCCAATTAGTGCATCTTTGTCGCTGAACATGTGTTCTCAAAGATCAACCACCAAACACAGCCCCACTCAATTGGACGCACATGCAATGCATAGAGATCAGACTTCAAGAAGCATTACCTGCAGACGGGAGCGGTCGTCAGTCTAGCGTGCCACGTGGAGTCTGGTCCTAGCTCCGGGCGATCACAAAACGTTGAGCGAACCCTCCTGATGGCTCTCCCAAACACTCTTCAGAAGAAAGACAATTGCGAGCCGTCAGACTGCACAGTATGCAATTCCGCTGGCCTTACCCAATAGCGCCTGGCGCGGGCGTCTGGGGCGCACCCACTTCGAATCACAAGTGAGTTCGCGGTCAGCGTACCTGCATTTGCGCCACACCTCATGCGTGCAACCTGAATCGCTGACCAATTGCAGCTTTTGTGAAGAAGTCAGTACAATGACATGAGACCGTGCTTTGAGCTGATATTGTGCAGGACTACAACGTCACGCCCTACATCGGTGAATTTGTGAACACAATCACAAACTCAATCTATGGTACCGTCTGACGTACCGTCGGCTTGAGATGATGGCTGACATGTCATAGTCATCTACGGCCTCCATGGTCTCCGCAGGGTGCGGCCGCGCAAAGATGGAGGGCTTTGGTCGACCCTAGCTATGCCGTACTGGGGGCTTATCGGCGTTGGGCTGCTTTCAATGTGGTTCCATGCCACGCTCAAGTACCACAGCCAGATGGGTAAGTCAACCGCACCTGAAGCGCGACTGTTAGATTGTGGCGACATGTCCATGGTGGATATCTTGACAAGAGAATCGCAACTTTGAGACTGCTGCTGACCGGTCCAGGTGACGATCTTTCCATGTTCCTCGCTGTCGGTGCATTGCTGCACCAGTTGCTCTGCTTCGAAGCCACACCAGCTCAGAGAAGGAACTATTCCCTCGCCATGCTTGGCGTGCTGATTCCCGTATCAACATACCACGTCGTGGCCGATGAGATCTATGTACATGAGATTGTCTTCGGAGTCATGGTCCTCATGGTAGTCAGAAAGACACGAAAACTGATCCGCGAGAGAGTGAAGAATGAACAACACAAGAAGTGTATGGGACAGCTGGCCTCGTTCGGAGTCGGTGAGTTAGACGTGCTATTCGTCCGTTCTCGCTAATCAAGACAGCGAACTTCCTGTTTGGATACTTTCTCTGGAGCATTGATTTCCACCTCTGCAGCTATGTCACCAAGGTGAAGCACTACGTTGGACTTCCCTGGGGATTCGTTTTCGAGCTGCATGGCTGGTGGCATATATTCACAGGCATTGGCGCGTACATCGGGATGGCTCTTACAGAGTACCTCGTCACCATCGAGGAAGAGCAGACTGGCCGTGTCGAGGAGGGATTCGTCTGGCCGGTGAAGGCTGTCTTGAAGGACCTTGATGCGGCTGGACGTGTTAAGAAAGACCGGTAGATCTAGATCTTGACGCGCACAGCCACTCCCCGACGATCATGGTATTCACAGCGCTTGATTCAGGATCGGGATCAACTGCAAGGCTGGCCCTATTAAAATTACTAGAGAAAAATACAAATAAGACTTTAAGGTCTCATAGTTCTGCCGGTTTCGTCACACATGCCTCGTGTCTCTTTTCAAGGCCACAGCCACAGTGCGGGCCGGTCAGCCCGGCGGATCACTATGACGTCGTTCCGCCAGGCACATTCCAAAGTTTAAAGCCGCGGTGCCCTTCTTACCTCTCAAACCTCAATTGCTTTACCTGCTCTACATATCCCTTTGATCAATTAAATTCTCGCCGACCTTTGTACTCAACATGGATGTATGTTTTCCATGGCATGAAGGCCGCAGCAGCAAGCTAAGTTCTCGCATAGGTCTACTACTTCTACAGCTACGGCACCGCCGCATGGCTGGGTAAGTCGCACATCCACACTGGCCTCAGCCTTACTAACAAGCCTCCAGCAACACAAGCCGCGCCTCTGATCGCCAGCCCTGGGATGATCGTCGCGCTGCTCTCGCCCGAAGTCCGCGAAGCCACAAGTCCGCCGCCCTCACCCCCGCCCCTTAACACTCAACACTAACCGCACGCAGCCCTCGAAGTCTACTTCTCGCGCACCCTCGGCTTCACCCTGCTCACGCTGGGCATCCTTACCGTGCTGCTCACCGGCTCCGTCCCGCTGTCCACCAGCATCGCGCAAGGCACGCCCTCCCCCCCACGCACCACGTGAATCGCAGCCATGAACCGCCGCTAACCAACCCAGGTGTCTCGACTGAAAACACGGACCCCAAAGCGCCGTACGCGCTGCCCACGCTCACCATCACGGCGCTGTTCCACGCAGCCTCGGCGTTCTACTGCTACGGCCTGTGGACGGAGACGGGCGTGTTTTCGTTTGGGCTGGGCAGCTTCGGCGCGCTGTTCTTCGGCGCCGTGGCGCTGTGGTGCATTCTGTTCGCCAGCAGCAACGGGAGGATCAGCAGGAAGACGGGCGCGGATAAGCGGACGAGCGGGTTTCCGTTCAAGAACAGTGAGGCGGATAAGAGGAAGGGCAGGTAGGGGGGTGTTGAGTTCTCACTGGATGGGTCTTGGGCGCATAGACTCAGGAGGAGAGTGGCTTGGGCTTTGGCTTGAAAGCGAGCATGTGTGTGGAATTAGAAGTTGTTGAATGAATTGGTATCTCTAAATCATCGTCTGTCTATGCACCGGTGCATCGTGTCGTGTGCAGCATCGGGAAGCGCCCAAAACGCCTGCTTGAAATCCACACCCTTTTCCTCAATCGCGCTCACGCTACAGAGCCCTCCGTCCGCGCGCCGTCGTGCCCCAGTCTGGCTCCGTTCTCCGGGCCGCTCTCGGCCAGCCGCGTCACCCACGCGTCCTCCCTCCACCACGGCAACTTCCCGTCCTTGGGCTCAATGGCCAGCTTCCTGCTCGGCGCCACGTCGTGCTCGGCGGCGTCCAAGCCATCGACATGGTCGGGCAGGCCCTGCTCCAGGCGGTCGCGCTTCGCCTTGGCAATCTGGAACTCCATGTAGTTCTCGACCAGCACCTCCTTGGCGTCCCACTCGGCCTTGCGGAGCTTCTCGAGGGCGTCGGCCTCGGCGCGCAGCACGTCGCCCTCCTCGGTGGCAAACTGCAGGGTGCGGCGCAGCGCGTGGAAGAGGGCGTCGGCGGGCAGGGCGAGCTCGGCGGGCGTGAAGGCGACGTCGGGCGGGAACTGGACCATGGTCGGGGCGCCGGGCGAGGCGAGGTCCTGGATGTAGGTGATGTTGTTGTGGGCGTGGTCGGCGTCGGGGGCGTGGGCGGGCTGGGCGGCGGCGGGCGGCGGGTGCAGCGACGAGGGCGAGGCGGGGGTGCTGGCCTTGGACTCGGAGGGCCGCTTGGCCTCGCCGGACAGCACGAGCTTGATGCGCTGGAACTTGTTGGACGGGTTCGACGAGTGGTGCTTGGGCACGGGGTCGGACGGGCGCAGGGCCTCGGTCTCGTGCACGGTGCGCATGTGCTTGGCGAGGGCGTCGGAGCGGGTGAAGGAGCGGTCGCATTCTGCGGCTGTCAGCGGAGTCGCGGCGGGCGGGCGGCGGGCGGCGCACCGGGCAGGGTGCAGTAGAAGGGCTTCTCGCGCGTGTGGCTGCGCATGTGGGCGCGCAGGGCATAGCCGCTGGCGTGCGGGATGCCCTTGCGGGTGCAGTCGGACCACTCGCAGCTGTACTTCTTCTGGCGCGTGCCGATGTGGTCGTCGTGCAGGTGCTCGACCAGGTTGTCCATGTTCTCGACGTCGCCGGCCTCGCAGCCCTCCCACTTGCACACGGTGACCTGGTCCTGGCCGAAGTCGTCGTCCTGCGACATGCCCGGGTGGTGGTTTGGCGACGCGGGCACGCTGCCGTCTGTGTCCTCGCTGAGGTCGCCCAGCTCCTCCAGCGGCGCAGCGGGCGCGGCGGGCGGCGACGACGGCGCGCGGTGAGGGACGCGCTGCCGCTTGCTGGGCCGCTCGTGCGTGTCGGGCGTGGCCATGCTGCGGCCACGCTTGACCTCGTCGGGGAAGTCGTCGGAGCTGCGGCAGTGAGTACGGGGCAGCGCAGCGGGGAGCGCACCTACGCGTAGTCGGACAGGTCGGACGCGGGCGAGTCCATGGCGGGCGGGCGGTGGCGCGCAGCGTGAAGCAGCGCCGTGGTGTGGAGACGGAGCTGCAGGTGCACGATGCGATGCTGCTCGGGCCAACGCGCCAACGCCACACACAACGCAAAACGCGCCGATTCCTCCACCACGCTCCTCCACCTCACCACACCACCACATACACCACACAACATACACCGCATGCAAAAGGTAAGCCGTCTCATCCACCACCTGCAACACACAACCCATCTTCTCCACCACATGCATAGCCCATGCGCAATGATGATTTCACAGAGTTCTGCAATTCCAACGGCCCGGCTTCACAGCTCGGTCGAATGCCGATTACTCTATACACTACTTTTCTCTGACCTGCTTCCTTGTTCACACGACTGCCGGTATTCTTTGCATTCATTTGCTAACTATACATCCAGCCTCGCCTTAGTACCGCTCGCCGGTGATGGGGAACTTGCGCAGGATCTCTGCCAGCTCCTGGAAATCCGCATCGTCGAGCTTGGCTGGCTTCGTGTTCTCCTCCACTCGTGCCGACGTTGTAGCGCCGGGGATGGGGATCACAGCGGGCAGTCCGTCTTTCCCACTATGATGCAACACCCAGCCCACTGCAATCTGCGCAGGCGTGACGCCCTTCTTCTGCGCGATGCCCTCGACTGCGTGCACCAGCTTGATGTTCTCGTCGAACACGTCTGGCTGGTAGCGCGGCAGGTGGTGCAGGAACGAGTCAGGCTCCAGGTCACTGTGCTTCCTGTACTTGCCGGCCTATGGCCTCGTCAGTGAGGCGATAATGCGTGTCGAGGTGTTGCTTACCAAAAACCCGCGTCCAAGCGGTGAGTATGCAACGATCGGGATATTCAGCTCGGCACATGCTTTGGCCACGCCATTCTCGAGGATGTCCGTGCAGAAGAGCGAGAACTCGACCTCGACGGCAGAGATCTTGTGCACCGCCGCCGCCTTGCGGATCTGGTCTGCGTCCACCTCGGACAGGCTGATGCCACCGAGCTTGCCAGCTTTGACATACTCTGCAATGTACCCAATCGTGTCCTCGATTGGCACCTTTGGGTCAACCCGTGCGCCTGCATTCGCCAGTTAGACATGTCTGCAACGTGACCTCTCGCTGGACATACACTCGAAGAGATCAAGGCTCTTCTTGCCATCGAGCCATTTCAGACATTCGTCAATGCTACGCTTTACGTTCTCCTTGCTGCCGTCAGGCCGCAGCTGGCCCGGCACAAGACCGCCCTTGATAGAAAGCACAACCTTGTCTGCGTCCTCAGGATACTTTGTGAAGTACGCATTCAGGAGCTGCAGAGAATTGGCATCAGGAGGGCCGTAAAGCTCGCCGCCGTTCCAGTTGTTAGCCCCGAGAGAGAGCGCGGTGCGCATCGTCTCAAAGCTCTGCTCCTTTGGCGGCGGGCTCTCGCGCCACGTAAGGCCTGAGTGTGTTAGTTTGACGTGCTCCGTAGCGAATCCGAACCACGCACCCATGAGGCCGTAGCCTACTTCGCCGACCTGCTTTCCAACGAGTTCAGGCATTGCAATTGGAAAGTGTGGATGCGAGTGTGCGTTTGTGGTGTTGGTGGGGTAAAGCGATGATGATATCACGCTTGTCTCTTAGTCGTTGCTGGCTCTTCTACGCGACGCACTTGTCGACTTTTATACAAAAGCTGAGCTCTGCATTCGGGCCCGAAGCCAAAGCACCCTAGAACATGTCGGCAGCCTCGTGCTCGAAATCGCCGCGCCCGCGGCATAACTGCGCTAGTAGCATCTTCTTAGCTCCTTAACCCCGCGATTGGCTCCGCGTTCAAGACGGAGTTACGATAGGCGGTTATTTACATCAAGAGTAGTGCTCATGGAGGGCCTGAGGCTCTGTCTGGTGCAAGCATGCGTGTCGCTCATGTTGCAGACGAGCCTTCGCGGACAAGCCTCTAAAGATCGCATCTGGATACCGTCACGGACTCTGGCATTGACGTAATATCAAAGCTACATCTCACATTCAAGCTACGACAGATACAACGCTCTACACATATCCAACTTCACTTCTGAGGCGTCACGCCGTCCTTGAGCGACGCCACCGCTGCTTCTGCCACACTTGCTCTTGGTGCTGCCTCCACGGGTGTCTCGACGTCCTCCGATGTGCCAGCATCTGCTGCTCTTTTCCGTTCGTCTCTTCTCTGCAAAAACTGGAGGATGACTGCCAACGCTATCATCGCAGAGCCGAATATCGAAGCTGCCGTGAAACCAGCGTGGAATCTTGGCGCATCTACAGTTCTCCAAACCGCTATTGTGTACCAGATCACGTTGATGTAACTGAACATATTCGACAACGCGATTATGAACCCTCGGAACTCATGGTCATGAGACACGAGATCCGAGTACCACGCGAAGTACGGCCCTGGCACGCCCGAGCAGAAGTACGAGATGTAGAACGCGAAGTACTTGACCCGGTCTGAAACGCTCCAGGCGGCTAGAATGCTCGTTCCGATCAAGGACCCTGCTTGCATGACAATGATGACCGGCCACCGACGTCCTTTCAGCAATGGCGAGTCCGAAATCATGCCAGCAGCAAGCTGCACGACTACACCGATCGCGACCTGGCCTGTAGGCCAGACATTCCTCTGGTATACCGTATGACCGTTGGCCTTCAGCCATAGTGCGAATGCTGGCTGGTGGATCGGAAAGCTGGCCTGGACAAAGAAGTAGCCGAGCGGGAGTACCCAGAACTGCCACTGTTTCGCGATGCCGAGGATCTTCTTGCGGTTCCAGGGATTGTGACCCAGCGGCTTCTGGCCCTCCGCGATGAGCCGCTTCCGTTGCTTTTCGGCCTCTTCTTCGGTGATGTAGAAGGCTTTCGTCGTTTCGGGGAAATCGGGGATGAAGAAATAGCCTAGGAACGCGATTGGCAGCGAGATGATACCGCATACGATGAACAGCCACTGGTATTGTCAGCCAATGGGATTGAAAGAAGTGAACATGTCTTACCTGCCAGCCCTGCTTGCCGTACTTGCCATCAAGGCCGGAGTATGCGCCAGCCTGTAGGTAACCGCTGAACATGCCAGCCAGCGCTGCGGTGCAGTAAAACAATCCGACACGCTTGCCTCGCTCTCCTTTTGTATACCAGCTGGACACAAGATACTGCTCTGTGTTAGGACTGCACATCATCACCACCCGCCGGCAACTTACCATCATGACCGGGAAGTACCCGCTCTCACAGAGCCCTATCAAGAACCGGATAGCATACAGCTGCGACACGCTCGTAACCGATGACGTGCAGAACGTTAGCACCGACCACAAGATCTCCATCGTGGGCAGCAGAATCGACGGCCGCACCCGCGTCGCCAACATGACCGCCGGCAGCTGGCCCACCACATAGCCCGCCGTAAAAACATTGCTCGCGTACGTCAGCTCGCTCCCGTGCATACCCAGCGTCTCCTTCATCTGCACCACGTCAGCTGCGCCACACGCACGCGCACGCCCGACTTACCCCAGACACATATGCGTTGCCGATGTTCGACTGGTCGAGGTTCTTGCTGAAGTACCCGAGACACGCAGACGTGAGCAGGAAGCAGTCCAGCTTGAACAGGAACCATTTCTCGTCCTTGGGCTTGTCGGGGTCGTCCCAGACATATCGCTGTACTGCGCGGTGGCCGCGGCGCAGGGCGCCTACCACGCCAGGCTTCTCCCATGGGCGCGGGGACGGGGCGGGGGGGCTGGTGCTGCGCGAGGATGTCGAGCCGGGGACGTCTTTGGCTTCGACTTCTAGGGGGTCTTTGGAAGCCATGGCGCTGACGATGGGGACCGGAATTTTTGTGGCCTGGGTCTACATATATATGTCGGTGGCTCAAGTAGTGCCTCGCACAGTCTTTCTTCCCAAGACATTGCGACATCCGCCTGTCAAATTGCTATCAGCGGCGACTGTCATGTGTGAGTTGCAGTATCTGTCGGGGTGTTGTGCATGTGGCAATGCAACTGACTACTGCTGAGATAGTCGACTGAAGATACCGGTGATCGCGCCATTATCCCCGGCGTTTGCGTACTTGTATCGAACGTTCAACAGACCCACGCGAGCAACATCTTTACCTGCATACTATGCTGGCTTGTTGCTCAAACTAACCCGTCGTTGTGCTGATTCGATTTATTGCGGTGTTCTATTTTAAGTCTATTGGAGACTGCCCACCTCGCGAATGTATATAAGATCTCTCCTCAGCAATTGCTATTACAGCTGATGCGAATTCCAGAGACTTGACATCAACTATCGAGGTAGACTACGCGACTTGAAACACTTGTGATCCACCCAACTGGTTACCGTGTCGAGGAGATTCGCCATGGGAGGATTTCATTGCGCCATCCTACGAACGACGTGTGGGGTAATAGATCACCCCACTTCGGCTAGCGACGTCTTGCCAGCCATTGACTTCAAACCAATGCGCTACTTAGGATTACAAGCAGATGCTTGTATGCTGCAGCCGCATCGTTGACCCCACCCACGTTGTTGCAGACAGAACGGCGGCGTCCAACGGCGTCTCACGGCGTTCTCCGGCGTCGTCACCACCGAACCGCTCAGCGGATCAAAGGATGATGGCGACATGATAGTTGGAGTGGGGGCGTTACTCCGCTCCAAGGAGTGTGGTGGAATGCACAGCACCTATATACAGCTCTTGCATCCTACCTAAAGAATCTCATCTATCAGTTCATATCTTCAACATGTCAACAACAACAACACAAACCCAGGCCGCGGCTGCAACAGAGAAGAAGGATCTATCACAGTACGACTTTTCTAACCTCGAGCCATATACACACCCGCCCGAGACCAAGGAGGACCTTCCCTGGGCTGAGCTGGTCACCCTCGATCTTGAAGACTACAACCGCCCGGGCGGGAAAGAGCGACTGTCAAAGCAGCTTGAGCATGCGGTCCACCATGTAGGATTTGTAAGTAGCTCCGTGCTCACCACGAAATGTGTGCTAATTCCGCAGTTCTACGTGAAAAACTTCGGCCTCAGCCAGGAGCAAGTCGACAGACAGTTCACACTCGCGAAGCACTTCTTCCAGCTCCCGACGGCTGAGAAGGAGAAGTACGAGATCAACTACGCAGAGGCCGACTACAACGGCTGGCGGCGCCCTGGCCGCTCGCTCGTCGCCCAGGCAAAAGACAACATCGAGATCTTCAACTTCCCCAAGTTCACGCCCGACTTCGTCGGCAAATACGCCTACCCGGACCTCCTCACGGCGCACCTCCCCGAAATCGAGGTCTTCCAGCGCGCGCTCCACGCCAACGTCGTGCTCCCCCTCCTCCGCCTCTTCGCCATCGTCCTCCAGCTCCCCGACGAAGAATACCTCGTCAACCAGCACACCTTCGCCAAGAAGAGCGAGGACCACTTCCGCTACATGCTGTACCACCCGCGCAGCGCCGCAGAGTGGGCCGAAGCCAACAACGGCGCGACAGGCGGGCACACGGACCTGGGCACGCTGACGCTGCTCTTCCGCCAGCCCGTCGCGGGACTACAGATCCTCGGCGACGACGGCAATTGGACCTGGGTCGCCGCACAGCCCGGCACCATCACCGTGAACCTCGCAGACACCATCTCGCACCTGACGGGCGGCTGGCTCAAGTCATCTGTGCACCGCGTCGTCGCGCCGCCTGAGGACCAGCGCGACCACGCACGCACGGGGCTGCTGTATTTTGCGCGCCCGCACAACGACACCCCGCTGCTGCCCATCACGGATAGTCCCGTGCTGGAGCGCGCGGGCGTGCGGCCGCGCTTCGACAGCGTGGTCACGGTCGAGGAGTGGGTCCGGGCGAAGCAGACGTTGCAGCTGAATCCCGAGGAGACGCGGAAGCGGTGGAAGGACGGGCGGGTTGAGGTGCTGGCGGGGTTCCACGATCAGAAGTACAAGGAGTAGGGGTTGTGGCGGGTTGTGTTTGGGCATTGTGCGGGCGGGTGTTGGGCGGCTTGGGGGTTAGTACGACAGTGGCGGTGGTGAAGGGGGTTGGAGTCTGGCGTGGCTGCGTTCGTGGTTGGAGATTGCTTGTTGCGCTGCACATCCGGCCACATGGCTACAAGAAGAATCAACACTCATCACAAGCCTTGTATGTGCTTGATTAGAGCTGCTCAGTCCAGCTGTAAGAAGAACGCGTAGGCTCCTACAATTGCGCCGGACCGTGCAGTGCATGTCCTCAATGCGATATTGCAACCATACCACATCGGCTCCTACCAGCGTGACGTTAGTACAGCTCAGTCTCGCTTCTATATCCAATTCCCCAGCTACGGCAAATGCCCTCGTCGCCGATTGCCACTCCCGTCGAGCATGCACACACTATCGCTGAGCGGTGGGTGTCACGAAACCAACGACAGCTGCCCCACCCTCGGGACTACGCGGAGACCATGCATTGCTTCACGCACATGAGTCGTGGTGTTTTAATCTGTTTAGTATTTTCGCTCTTATTCTCGAGTCTTCTAAGGCTGCCTTCTGCTATTGCCTAGCTTGTACTGTCATCGCTGCTGAACCAGATTGCATACTCTACCTCCTCCCCTTCTCGGCTTCCTTGCGTAACAGCTTTGTGGACGCTCGCTGCAGCGCGGTCTTGATGTCGCCCTTCTTGAACGTCGACAGGTCGTAGTAGTTGGGCGAGATGTCCTGTTGTGGTCAGCGGATTCAATCACGTTCGTCGAGAACACTTACCATCAGCCACTCCGGCCGCACGCTGGTCACGGTGCGGATGTAGTTCTTCGTTGTGAGGACAAACTCGTTGTAGACTACCCACTCGCTGTCCTCGGCCAGCACGGTGCTGGGATGCAGCAGTACGGTCTGCTCGTCCTTGACGGTTGTGTACTGTTTCCCGTTGCCGTCGCGCTTGGCGACCTGCATGAAGAAGCCGGCAACGAGGGCGCGCTGGATGTTCTCGTAGTACTTCTTGTTCTCAAAAGGTGTCGACATGAGCTCAAGCTCGGAGCGCTCCATTATGCGCTTGAGCTGCAGACGCACGTTGTCTGCCTGCTGGAGGGCGCGGTATGAGAGGAAGTGGTCGTGGCACCACTGCTTGGGGTTCGCCTGTGCGTCCTCGCCCTTGAAAGCATGGTACACGTTGAGCATGGTGAGGTGGTCGCCCTTGGGGTGGGCGAACAGCTCCTTCATCTCGTCAGCACGCTTGCGGTTGGCTGCTGGGCGAACGAAGACCTGGGGCACAGAGAGGAGTGCGGTGAGAGACAGTATCTCGTTCGAGCAGTAGAACTCGGGCGATGTGATCAGCATGACAGCCAGCGCAGGGTCGAGCGGGAACTCAGATGCGAGCCGGCCAAGAGTCGTCAGCTCGCCCTCGTCGTCAAGACATGCGAGGTAGTTGAGCTCCTCCAGAGCGCGCATAAGGGTCTCTGGTGCTGGAGGATCCATCAGGTCGAAGTGCACCAGATCGTCGACGCCCAGTTTCTTGAGCTCAAGAACAGTGCTCGCCAAGTTGGATCGCAGAATCTCAGGGTATGTCTGCTCAATGAGTTCCTTCTTGAACGCAGACTCGGTGTATAGACGGAAGCACTTTCCAGGCCGTGTTCGACCAGCACGTCCAGCACGCTGCTGGGCCGAGGCCTTGGAGATGGGCGAAACCAGCAGCGACTCGACTCGGATGCGGGGGTTGTAGACTTTTTGCTTGCTGAAGCCAGGGTCGACCACGTACACGATGCCATCGATGGTCAGCGAGGTCTCGGCAATGTTGGTGGACACAATGACCTTGCGGCCAGGGGGGCCGCCGGGTGTCAGCGGTGGAGGGGCGGCGCTGAAGATCTTCTGCTGCTGTGCAGGCGGAAGGGATCCGTACAGCGGGTAGACGACCAGCGGACCTGCGCTGCCTTCCCGGGACAGATCCTGGGACTCCAGGCTGATCTTTCTGCAGGCGTCCTCAATCTCCTCCTCACCAGTCAAGAACAGCAGTATGTCGCCCTCGGGCTCGGTGGCATGGATCTGCAAAACGGTGCGAAGGGCAGCCTCGACGTAGTCGCGCTCGGGAGCAGGGGTGTAGAAGACCTCGACGGGATGAGTGCGACCGGGCACGGCCAGCAGCGGGGCGTTGTGGAAGTACTTTTGGAACTTGGTGGCGTCCAGGGTGGCGCTCATGATGATGAGCTTCAGGTCCTTGCGGCGCAACACAACCTCCTTCAGCAGGCCCATCAGGATATCGGTGGCCAGGGTGCGCTCGTGAGCCTCGTCGAGGATGATGGTGCTGTAGCGCGACAGGTTGTTGTCATGCATGGCCTCGCGCAGCAGCATGCCGTCGGTCATGTACTTCATGATGGTGTTGGGCCCTGTCTTGTCGTCGAATCGGATGGTGTAGCCAACCTCCTCGCCGAGGGTCACGTCCATCTCGTCGGCGACACGCTGGGCGACGGACATGGCGGCGACACGACGCGGCTGGGTGCAGGCGACCATCTGGCCGCTGCGCTGGGGCAGGTCGTCATAGAGCACAAACTGCGGGATCTGGGTCGTCTTTCCAGAACCCGTCTCACCGACAAAGACGAGGATCTGCGACTCCTGGTACAGCTTGAGGAACTCGTTGCGCTGCTGGTGGACGGGCAGGTCGCGGCGCGTCTTGAGGATGCTCATGTACTTGGAGGACAGCGGGCGGCCGGTGAAGGGGTTGCTGGGACCGTCCTCGGCGGCCATGGCCTGCTGGGAGGTGGTGGCATGGCGCGTCAGGCCGGCCAGGCCGTGCTCGCTCTTGACGGCGGAGTCGTTCCAGTGGCTGAGGTACGGGTTGCTCTCGTGCTTGACGTCGCCGTTGGACTCTTCCATCTTGACGCGCTTGGCGCCGCGGTGCTCGTCGTCGGATTCGCGCTTGACCGTCATGCTGAGCGAGAGTGTCGGGAGAGGCGGCGGCGAGGGCAGTGCGGCTCGCAGACGGCCGTCGCATAACATTTTCTGGCCTTGGCTCGGTGCTGGTCCACCGCCCTCTTCACCGCCGCCGAATACGACTAGCGCTGAAGACGGCGGCGCGACGACAGCAGAGGGCCGTGAACAGTGCTGGCCAGCTGTAAGTGCTCCAGGGCTGGCTGATGCAGCCTGCTTGCTGAGACTACTGCAGACGGCTGCTTGAGCCCGCCCTTGCTGTCTAGGAGCTTCACACGCACTGCTGGCCGCTCAATGGGCAAGCTCGTGTTGCCTGCTCCCTGCGTCGCGCTGCCCACATGCACCCCACCAAAAGCCGAGTCGCGTAAAAGAATGCCAGGCGCGCGCAGCCCACCATGCACCCAACCACCAAGTCGCCGCCGCCATGAGCGACTACGACGACACGGCGCTGCCCGTCTTCTACATCGGCCAGCACGAGAGCAGCCGCGCGCTGGACGTGTCGGCCGAGCTGGTGCAGCACGCACAGGATCTGGGGGTACGCGCCGCGCCCTCTGCCCGCCCGGCGGCCGCTGACAGGCGCAGTATGACATGCTCTCGAGCCCCATCACCAACGACCACTTCCACACGCGCGTGCTGGCCCTGCTGCGCGCCCACACCCAGGCCGCCGCCAGCGCTGCCCGTCCGCTGCCGCTGCCGCTCATCGCCGCCCTCGAGCGCCTCGACACCCCGCTGGGCCCGACCGACACCATCAGCCAGCTGGTCACGTACTCGAGCGCCTGGATCGACCTGGCGTCGCCCGACCCCGTCATCGCCCACCTCTCGCGCCAGGTCCTGCACCTCGAGGTCGCCTATGCCTCGTTCTGCGGCGCCGTCAACATCGTCGTGCCGGGCCCGCGCCTCGCCCACGGCCAGCGCGGCGTCGCCCAGTATGCGCGCGCCGTCAAGGAGGCCCTGGCCACGGGCGCATACGTGCAGTTCCACGTCCTGATGCCCGTCGACGGCACCGCCGCCGCCGTCGACGACCAGAACGAGCTGGGCGACCTCAGCCGCTTCGCCCGCCCCGCCCCCGCTGCGCCGCAGGGCACCACCGACGCCTGGAGCTCGTGGGAGGCCTGGGACACCATCCGCGCCGTCTGCAAGTACCACTCCCGCCTGTCGCTCGCGCTCGAGATGCCGCGCAAGCTGCCGTCGCTGTCCGTCCAGGCGCGCTGGTTCTCCGAGCCCGTCCGCCTCGTCACCATTCCGTCCGCCGCCTTTCTCGTCAACGCCCGGGGCTCGCACGTGCTGTCACGGGCACACCAGTGGTTCCTGTTCCGCTTCGCGCGCCTGCGCTCCGCGCCGTGGCTGCTGCTGTCCGACGTCGGCCCGCTGCCAGGCATCGACGACCCAGAGATGATCATGTCCTACTCGACCGGCCACCTATCGCCCGCGACCGCCGAGGACGCCGACCCGTCCGCAGAGCCCACGCCCGCCGAGGCAGCCCAGCTGAAGAAAAAGGCCGCAAAGACAAGCAGCAGCAGCGACCCGACACCGCACCTGAGCTACCTCCGCTACCTCCAGCGCAACCAGCCGCCCAAGAGCCAGATCGAGCGCTTCGGCGGAGGCTTCCAGGATTACTTGCAGAGCCCACTGCAGCCGCTGTCCGACAACCTCGAGTCCATTACGTACGAGGTCTTCGAGAAGGACCCTATCAAGTATGCCTGGTACGAGCGGGCAACTGCACAGGCTCTGAAGGACTGGCATGCCCAGAAAAAGTCCACGAGCTCGGACAACGGCGCAGTGGTTGTTGCTGTCGTCGGCTCGGGCCGTGGCCCGCTCGTTACGCGCGCGCTGAATGCTAGCGCCAGTAGCGGCGTGCCCGTCAAGGTATACGCAATCGAGAAGAACCCCAACGCCTATGTCCTGCTGCAGCGACGCAACATCGACACCTGGGGTGGCCGCGTCACTGTCGTCAAGACAGACATGCGCGCCTGGAAAGGCCCAACGCAGCCTGATGGCTCGCTCGGAAAGGTGGACATTTTGATCAGCGAACTGCTAGGCAGCTTCGCCGACAATGAACTGTCTCCGGAATGTCTTGATGGCGTACAGCATGTTCTTAACCCCGAGCACGGCATCTCGATACCGTCCAGCTACACGGCGCATTTCACACCGCTTGCGACCCCAAAGCTGTGGGCAGACATCCACGGTCGTAGCACCAGTGTCGACCCCCGCTGCCTTTGAGATTCCCTGGGTCGTCATGCTTTCTCAGTTCGACTACCTTTCGACTACTACAGACGAGACCAGCGCGTCCAAGCAACTGAACAACGGCACCAAGATGAACAACTTCAATTTGGAGGCACCTCTTGCGCCTATCGTCCGGACAGCTTGGGAGTTTTCGCATCCCTTACCACCTAGCGTCCTCGCTCAATCAGACCTGCGCAGGGGCGGGTCTGCCGTGGGTGGTGGAGGCGGCTTCATTGGCGGCGACGGTGCCAACGAGCACAACTACCGAGACTGCCGCATCTCCTTCCCAATCCGCGAACAGGGTGTGTGCCACGGCCTCGGTGGCTACTTCGAGACCGTACTGTACAGTGGCTCAGAAGGGCCTGTGGAGCTGTCGACAAACCCTGTAACAATGGATGCCAAGTCCAAGGACATGATCTCCTGGTTCCCCATTTTCTTTGCACTCAAGGTATGTGGGACTCCATCTTCGTGCATTCAAAGCTAATTGTTACAGAAACCCATGCATCTGCCCGCGGGCTCCGAGCTGGAGGTCAGCATGTGGCGCCAGACAGACGACCGGAAGGTGTGGTACGAGTGGCTTGTGGAGAGTTTCATGACGGTCAACGGGCAGCGTATCAAGCTGGGCGTGTCCGATCTGCACTCGAGCATAAGCAGCGGATGCCTGATGTAGACGTCGATTAGAACCAAAAACCGAGGAGTGTGATGCTGTTACCAAAGACGATGCTGGCGTGATCCTTGTGATGTTCGCCAACACGATGCAGCCTCGCGCTCGCGCTTCGGAACCCCCCGCGCCGAGCTTCCCCGCTGCATCTCACTCATCTGCACCTCCCATCACGAGATCCATCCATCACCTCACAATGCCGCCTTTCTGGACCATCGGCTGTCTCTACGGCGCCTCCAGCGTCATGCTCGGCGCCTTCGGCGCCCACGGCCTCAAGCAGCGCATCTCAGACCCCGCGCGCATCGGTATCCGCGCCCCGCCGACGATGCCATGCCACCACCACTAACGGACTGCTAGCAAACTGGGGCACCGCGGCGCAGTACCAGCTCGTGCACTCGGCCGTGCTGACGTTTGCGTCTGTTGTCGCGCCCCAGAACACCGTCGCCATGGGCTTGCTGACCGCCGGCATGACCATGTTCTCCGGCAGCTTGTATCTGCTGGTGCTCGACCCGCAGCGGTTCGGGAAGTACGTGGGGCCTGTGACGCCGCTTGGGGGGCTTGCGCTGATTGGGGGGTGGGTTGCGCTGGCGGTGACTAAGAGGCCGGTGGTGCCCAAGTTCAAGTAGACGGAGGCTTCTCCATCGGACTCAGAGCTGTTGTTTGGCGGTGTCGGTCGGCGCGGCTCGTGTGGCGCTGCAGAGGGCTTCGAGGGATCCTGGAGGTTGGCACGTTATGGGATCGGGACGGATGGCACTTCAAAGGGGGATGGGGAATGTACGATAAGAGGTGTAAGAGATATATTCTACGAAATCACTCCTCAAGAGGACGCAATATTGCCAATGTCACCCGATTTCAGGCAATCTTGCACGGCATCAACCCTACACATGTCACCTGCAAGACCATTGACATACATTCTGGTCAGCTGTTCCAACCCTATAGCTCCGTAACAGAACATGGCAAATCCTCCGTGTCAACCAAAGAGATTGTTGACAGAGCGCTTTTTGCCTCGCTCCTCGACTGCGTCAATGAATGCCTGTGGCATGGTGTGTTGAACAAACTCTGCGCTGACCTCGACATAGTGCTTAGCGAAGACCTTCCACAGCTCTTGGTCGCCGGACCCGGCAGCTGATGGCCGCGGGTAGTATGGATCGTTCCAGTAGAAGCCGTCGACGAGTTTCTTGAGGCCAGAAGCATCTTTGCTGAATGTCCCACAAAGGTTGAAGTCGAGGAGCCATACAGACACGGTGCGATGGTGGAAGTCGGTCATGAACAAGGATGCCGCCGAGTCTTTATCAAGACCGACAAGATCATTGTCTGTAGGAAGCTGAGTGACCTCGGGCGAGCTTCCAAAGACGAACTCCACGTCATTGGCATCGAGACCTGCACGCCAATGCAAGATTGCGAGCGCTTGCGCCATGAGCTTCGCGTAGTAGGAGGTGTCGAGTTTCAGATATTCCATTTCGTTGACGTGCAGTGGGAAGTTGCGCAGGTGGAATTTATCGGCGGGAGTAGATGACTTATCGCTGTTCCTACGTCCAAGATAGATGCGGATCAAGCAGTCTTTGTTGCTTGGTGTGCGGAGAAAGTCGTGTTTGCGCTCCTTGACGGCTTTGGGCGCAAACGTGTCGACCAGAGCTGAGCGGACTGGAGCCGGTAGGGGGTAAATGCGCTCTGATACCAAGCCATAATCTGGGGTTTGGACTCCTTGGGGAAATAGTCCTGCGTTGTTGCGCCAAAAGTGGGAGCTGGTCGGAGTCACCCATGTCTTGAGAGCTGGGACGTGGACGTGAACTCGAAGTATAGCCGACACACCTTGAAACGCTTGATATGCAGCTTTATGGCTCTTGAAATCATCAAAGACACTGTTTGATCGATCTGGGGAGTTTGGAAGCTTGATGACTAGGGTTGTGCCCTTGAGTGCGTACACAGTGCCGGTCTGTCCGGCGCCAATGGATGCGAATGTCTGCATGGAGGCATCTTCTTGCGCTCGTTGGTTCATCTCGGCAAGAGACGAGTCAGTTGATATGGCCGATTTCGTAGAAAGCATTCGGCTCAGGATGTACTCCGGCTTCGCCTTCTCAAGGTCAGAGTTGGTCAGTAGATGCAGGCCCGCGTTCCAGTTGTCAATGATAAGGCTGCGTAGAGAGTCTGTGAGAGACGTTGTTGAATCGTCAGTGCGGGCTTCCTTACGACGGTCGGCCATCTTGATAGTTGGCGAGGGTGGAGGGCGGTAGTCAGCGAGAGCACAAGGTGGGTGAGGATGGAGATGTGAGGGAGGGAGACAGGCGAGCGAGCGAGATTTATTGTTGCCTAAGCGGAATCAGGGTCCAAGGCAGGCAGATAGCTGGTTGGCTGCTTTGATAAGAGCGTTTGTCGGCGTGAGGCTATGGCAAACGCACTGGCTGAATTCCGAGAGCCACGAAAGGACTGATGTCAAACTTAGAGAGATTAGGATTGCGACAATGACAAATATATAGTAGACACGACTGCAGTTCTTTGGTAGGTAAAGCGGTACCATGGTAGGCCTAGGTGAGACCCATGGTCCTGGCATAAGGGACAAGACCCCAACCAAATCCTGGCTGACGCGACTCGGCCTATAGATGCCTCGATCGGGACATTGAATTTGTAGGAAAGGGAACAGAATCCTGCACTAGATTCACAGTTTAGTGTTGTCAGTCATCCCAATAGAGTTTGCGCTTCACCGGTCGTGTTGTGCATCGTACTATGCCAATGTACGTTTAGCCAGCGGCCAGTCACTTGACAATATGCAGTACTAAGCAAACTGAATTTTTAGCAGGAGCCTCTCTTGTTGGAGTTGCTCAGTGATAGTTCAGTGGTACAATAGCTGCGACAAGAGTGGTTTGGGCCCTACAAAACTACCACGAGGTGCGGTAGAGATATTTGCCCCTACAAAACTAACTGGCATCGTCAACATCAACTATCCTCTATGTCAGTCGCATGTTTTCGTGCTATACTTTGGAAGTATTAAAAGTCGCGCATATGATATAGACATTCTTTATTGAGGTCCTGGGTTTGAACCAAAGTTTGAACTAGTTTGAAATGATGTGCCCATCACTATAGACATATGCATTACGAGCACAAGAACCAACATATCCGAACCTTCGCAATCCTATCAGGCGAGTCGTAGTGGATACCTTCAATATTACAAACCTATGCACGTTCAACTCGCTGCTTACCTAACAAGAAGGATGTGAGATCTTACTAGGACTGTTCCTTGCAAAGGTGTATACACTATAGCAGAGTTGCGTAGCAATAATTAAACAATGGCTTGCCTGTGACGTGGATGAATTAGACTCTATTAAAGTGTCAAATGGCTGTTTACCGAATTAGAGTGTAAACGTTCATGTAGAGTAACCTAGTGGTGGTTCTGCGGCTTATCAGCCGCAATGAAGACTGTTTGGATGCCACAATTCAAGGTGCCTGGCCTGACGTGCCTGGGTACAGTAAGTAGACTTGCGTGTGTGTGATAATATATGTATTTGGTAACAAGAGGGAACACGATTCTGCACAAACTACGAGATACCGCGTATCCAACAACTTCCTCGCTGATCTGCCTCTTCACTCGTGGTTGCGCAGTCAGAAGTCAAACATCAATCCGGGCTGTTACGCGCGAAGTGATGTCGGGCTCGGCCGAGCCACGAGTGCCGTATGTGACGCTAGAAACAGAGCCGCATCGCCTCAATTCTCCGTGCGCTCTGAAAATCGCCGATTGGCTGCCCTGGCACCACTCAACATCATCACTTCCGCTGTGTGTAAATATCCGGCCTTCTATCCATCTGATTGGTTGCGTGAAGGCTATTCCAGCGGCCGCTTGTTCTCTTTCTCTGCATACGTGTCCCACTCCTTCCTCAGGTTCAGTAGCCGCACCAGCTCACTATCTCTCTGTGTGACTAGGTCATCGAACTTCCTGTCCCCGACGGCGTCCATGGTGCTCTGCACCCACTTTCTCTTCAACGCATCGTCGAGCACTGGATCTTCTTGCGCCCACCACGTCGTCACTGGCTCGAGCAGATGATCTGCCATGTGCTGCGCGCCCTGCTCCCCGCCAGCGAGGTGGAACAGCATGTTTGGTCCCATAATGCCCCATCGTAGCCCTGGCCCGTATGCCATCGCGTCGTCGATGTCTGAGATGCTGCATGTGTCGCTCTGCAGCATGTACAACATTTCGCGCATCAAAGCTGCCTGGAGGCGGTTGGCGATGTGGCCAACGACTTCCTTTTTAACGTGTACTGCTTTCTTTCCCATAGTGTTGTAGAATGCCATGGTTCTTTGGATGGTGTCGTCTGACGTCTGCTGGCCCCCCACAACTTCGACGAGGGGGATCAGATGCGGGGGATTGAATGGGTGACCCACGACGACCCTCTCAGGATTGGACGAAACTGACATGCCAGCCTGTATCGAGCTGCAGGTCAGCCCACTGGAAGACGTCGCGAGAATTACATCGCGCCTGACCAGGCTGGCCATCTCTTCGAACATCTTCTGTTTGAGCTCCAGTCTTTCTGGTCCGTTCTCTTGTACAAAGTCTGCATGTTGCAGCGCATCCCCCAGATTCGTTGTGAACACGATGCTCTCGACTGACGCAAAGGGGCTTTTCTGCAGACCCAGCGACTTTAGCACAGGAAGCGCGTTGGACACAAGTTTTCGAAGACTGGCCTCGGCAGCCGCGTTGATGTCGAACGCTGTGACAGTCAAGCCTTGAGCAAGGAATAGTGCTGCCCACGATGCGCCGATCGAGCCGCAGCCGATAATAGAGACATGTTGCACAGGGAAGTTCGTAGAGTGAGGCATTGTTAAAAATGCGGGTAGGTGGTGAAGATTCAGACAGTCTTACAGAGGGCATTCAGCATGATACAAATACAACAGAAACATAACATCTTTTTTGCTAATAATATGTCTACTCGGCCGCACACATACATCCTCGCACGACGATGCCAGCATCACCGCGACGGCGATATCTCGGACAATACATCATTGTGTCGATCCGATCGTGGTCGACCGGATCGGGCCGAGTTAAAACTTTGACAATGGAACAGCGTACTCTGCGACCTGTCAGTGTGCATTTAGAATAAACGACGCAATCAATGGAACACATTGGTAGGTAACTTACTGTGTATGATCATCGGTGAGCATCGGCCGACGCATCTACCCTGCGTGTAATGCGGAAGTCTTCCGCTTCATGATGCTCCACATCGTTTGATCTTGGCCGGCACGGGCGGACATCGTACGAAGACGCGGAGTGGCAGGTGTGGCCGAAACATCGCTGTTGCCGTCATGCGGTCACGGACACTTACGACGACGGTGAAATGGGTGATCATGAGCGGAGATGATATAAGAGTGCAGCTCCAAGCATACCTAGGTAGGTGCTTCATGACCTAGGCTTCCCTTCCCATCAGCTTTCTTGATCTATCACTATCATTACACCGGCACTGCAAACATCGAAAGTATAATCATGGCTTCAACCGATCGCCTCGTAGATGTGTACGGTCCAGGCACATACACAGACAAGGCGTTTGTTCCGGTGCCCGAGGACACTGCTCGTATCTTTCGCCTCATCGCATCACAAACACCCGGGTTCACACAGGACGAAACCATTCTCTCCAGGGTAAAGTTCACTGGTGAGGATTATCCCGTCCTTCCCGGCCCCATCAAGGCAACGTCAGTAGCCGCAGCCCTGCACGCGATGTGCGGAGTCATCGCGGATGAGATTCTCACCCTGAGAGGATCGAAAAGCGAAAATCGTCAGATCACTGTCAACACTACACACGCTGCATTTTGGTTTGGCTGTGTAGCGACTGCATACCTCAATGGCGAAGATGTCCTCAGTATGGCAGCACAAAAGAAGCTAGGCGAGGTTCTACCCAATTGGGAGCAGGGCTGGACCGACACACCCTTAAAATACCGTACGACCGCACTGTACCCTACGAAGAACCCTGAGACGTGGTACTCGCTCCATGGCAGTATGAATGCCAAACCAGTGCTCGAGAGTATCGGGATCGATGCAGACGCGAACATCTCCACGAATGAGGAGGCTGCACGGCTGATTGCTGAGCACACGAAGAAGTACAGTCCAGAGGAGCTTGAGATGAACAACCTTCTCAACGGCTTCTGCGGCTCCATCTGCTTCACGCCAGAGCAGTGGAACAAGTCCATTATGGGCAAGTCGATAGCTGCACACCCTTTGGTGAATGTCAAGCAGCAAACTCACGCCATGCCTACCCCGCCCATCGCATTCCCCCCGCTCAATCCCCAAGATCCTCGTCCTCTAGCTGGCGTCAAGGTCATAGAGCTCACGCGGGTCATCGCCGGGCCTGAGATCGGTACCATCCTCGCCTCTTTCGGCGCTGACGTGATCCGCCTCAATGCCCCATTCCTCCCAGACATCGACATCATGCAGTTGACTCTCAACGCCGGGAAACGCACCTCCACCGTCGACCTGCGCAACGATTCAGACCGCCAATACCTCCAGGCGCTACTTGCGGATACGGACGTGTTCATCCAGGGCTTCCGCCTAGGCAAGATGAAGAAGTTCGGCCTGGGGCTGGAAGAGCTTCTGGAGATGGCGGGCAAGCGCGGCAAGGGTATTGTATACGTCTCTGAGAACTGCTACGGCCCGGATGGATACTACAAGGAGCGACCGGGGTGGCAGCAGATCGCCGATGCAGCAGCAGGATCTGCCTACGTGACCGGGCGCGCGCTCGAAATCACGCAGGGCCTGCAGAAACACGAGGCTGTCCTTCCCAGCCTGCCCGTCTCGGACATGTCCACCGGAGTGCTTGGCGCTGTCGGCGCGATGCTGGCGCTGAGGAACCGGGCGACTAAGGGCGGGAGCTGGGATGTCCACGCTAGTTTGGTGGGGGTGAATGCGTACGCGTTGAGGGAGGATGTCGGGTTGTATCCCGTACAGGCGGTGCAGGAATGCCAGGATAGGTTCCAGTGGGGCGAAATGAGGGGCAGCCACCACGTCCTCGATCTGCTTGTGACGGTCTGGAAGGGCTGGAAGAAGGTCCTTGGGAAGTATCTGGATGAGAAGAGCGGGTGGTATCAGAGTTTCGAGGACAGTGCTTTTGGCGGCAAGAGGCTCAGTATCCTGAAGCCGGTGCCGCAGATTGAGGGTGCTGAGGGTGCAAGATGGCTCACACCCAGTGTACCGTATGGAGCGGAGAAACTGGAGAATGTGGCATGGCTGACATAGTCAAAGCAACTTACACGTCTGGGGAAGAAGTCGTTCACACTATTTTCTGAGAAACTTGTATAATAGCCATTCAATGTCACTATGATTTATCTATGACTAGCCTTGAGCTCTCATATTTCAATACAGAGACGTGCAGTGATCTAAGAGCCCCCAATTTGCCGGTTTATCTTATAGTGTCGCGTGGTCTTGAGAGCCTTGGTGCTTTCTCTGCTCACACGATGTGTGTCTTCTGGCAATAGTATCCTTTGACAGATCGAATCGAAGCTCCCGACTTTTGCCTCACCACGCCAACCGTGTTGCAGGACTTTAAGCTACTCATAATATTAGCCAGGTAGTGACACCGGAACAATTCTAAAACTGACGGAAAGAACTCGCACTCGCAGATTTTGTCAACACGGACAGCGCGTGCGACCCCCATGAGCTCATAGCAAGCACCTTCGTACAGCTTCTGAGTCACACCGTCGGAGAGCTCGATAACACCGCAGACGAACGGCGTTTCGGCTTCGAGAAGCATAGGAGTGGCGGAAGAGTTGGCGGCGACGGCAAAACAACCAGTAGAGAGAGAAAGGAGGCTGATGGCCAGATTGAGAGGTGCAATGGTGACTTTCATGTTGAGATTTGCTCGAGAGATGTGAATGGAGTGTCGGGGTGGGAAGAGCGAGCGGACAGATTCTGAGAAAGGTAGTGAGGTTGCGACAGCACCTTCACTTAGTGGTAATGCGAATTCCTCACCGCCACCTTCCAGGCACCAACACATCACAGCAGACAGAATGGGCTGTTGAGCAATTAGCCGAAGTCCGATGGGATAAATTTCTTTCTATCCTTTCAAAGGCGTGTGCAAGGTGCAAAGCTTCATGTGATTTCAATAGAGGTCCTCAAAATTTGTCTCACCTCCACAATTCCACTATAAGATTTCATTCGTGGAGTCCAGTATTAAAAATGTGGAGCTGGGAGTCTAACAGATTGCAATGGGTGCAAGTCAAAACGTTGCAATACTCAAAGCTTGCATTATCATCCATTTTCAAGGAGCTCGGAGCTGGAGTGAATATGGAAATGGGTCCGAAGGACTATGACAGCCATTGCAACGGAGTATCGACTTCCTTGGACCCGAGCTCCGGATCATGCAACAGACTGCCCAAGCTATCTGCTTCAACTGCTTCTCGGTTCATGCAATTCATGATGAAGATCTGAACTGGAGCACTGGTGTTCTGCCTTACTGGAATGCTGTGCGATAAAGTGAAAAACCTTTTTGGTGGAAGTGAAGGTAGCTTCCGAAAAGCCCGTTTGTCCGCTACGTCTCCGGTCCCTACCTGTATATCTTCTCCTACCGCAGCGTGATCTATACTTGTCAACACAACCACCACAACCAACACTCATCTACCCAAGATGAAGCTTTTTGTACTCCTGTTTGTCTTTCTCCTGGCGCTGGTTGACGCACGAGTCGCTCGGCCCCAGGGCAGCGACCACGATGTCTCGATCGCGGCTGACGACCGCCCACTCTACCTGCCGTATCCCTTCGCCACGGACGACTACTACAACACTTGCAAATGCAGAGGCGAGAACTTCATGAGGGCCATGCACTCGTCTAGCTCAGATGCCGGCAAGCTCTTCAAGCCAACTCGCGACTCTTCTGAGAGTATCTTCACTGACACCGGCAAGTGTACAATCGATTCAATTCGACGTGTACTATATGGCTAATACCATCACAGGCGACTTGTCTATGTGGGCATGGAGCGATTCATCAGTCTCTGCTAGTAGCTACAAGTTCGACAAAGCGTGGGGTGTGGATCACGTCCTTCGTGCTGTAGGTATCTCTGACAAGGCCACGAAGGACGGAGGCAGCATACAAGTCGTCAAGGTCGCTCACGGTGACGCCGACGCCAATGGCGGCGGCTACGGTCCTACTCCCTACAACAGCCAGCCGCAGTACACTGTCGGTGACAAGAGCTACCGCGTGACGGGTAGTGAATACACCTTTGGTTTCGATTCTAGCGGAGGTGAGTTCCACTGTCACAGCACTGGCGACGCATCTAACGACTGGCTCAGTCCTTTTGGCCATGGACCGCAAATCGCCTCAGTTTGCAGGCAGCCAGCGAGTCCCCCCGGTGCAGGGCGATGAGATTCCAGATCTGCACTCGTTCTCCGACGTCGCTTGGTTGAAGTGGAAAGCAGCCACTGGCACTGCACCCTCATCCATGCGCTACTTCATGACGATCGCCATCACGAACCTCGACACGAGGGGCGTTATATCGAAGGTGCTCAGCAAGGCATCATACAGCGAAGTACCAGCCTGGCCCGGCCACGATGTAGACGCCAACACAGAAGAGGGTGCAGCTTTGCTTGGTAAGTGATCGCTTTGAATTCCTCAGCGGATAAGACTTGGGACGTCTGCAAGATCCATACATCTCCAAGCGCCTCCAGATGGTGTCATTGTGATCCAGCTTGATCCGGGATGAGCACTGACAGCCTTCAGGCACGCCTAACGCTCTCGCGTTCAGCTACTTCCTCATCCAACACAAGTCGGCCCTCGGAAACCTCAAGATCTCGAAGATTACGCTGTTCAAGAACAACATGAAATTCCCTGATCCATGCATGCTGCTTCATGTGGAGAAGGTCACGGAAGAAGCCATGGAGAGCGCTCTGCGGGCCCGACTGTAGTCGCGCTCACCCTAGGAACTATGCGACAGGCATATAGCAGCATATTGGATAGAGCCAGAACATCGAGATAGTCCAGTGATAGAGTAGTACCAATCGAGCACAATCGGTCCACCTGCAGTGTGTCGCGTTCTTGTAGATTGCAAGTGAAGGTGAGTAACGTTGCAGGTTTCACCCCACCATGTGCGAGCTCAACCTTGAGATTGCCTCCTCCTTATTACCTCCCTTGCACCTCAACCTCATTCTAGACCACCCAGCATGAAGCTACTCAATGTCTTGATGCTGGTCTTCGCTACATGTAGCGTCCAGTCTCAGCACCTCGGCGCTCGCAGCTCTCGACGCATTCGAAACTTGGACTACTTTGCCAACGTTACGTATGCGCCTGCTGCGCTCACGGAGTCCAACTGCACTACTCCATTCGCGGACGATATTCCGCCTCCAGAGTCTGACAAGCCACCTCCAGACACACCTAAAGAACCGTTCGAGCCGTACCTGCCGCTTTACCCTAGCGCAAGCGACGAGGTGTGGGAGAAGGCCAGGTGCAAGGGCCAAAACTTTGTACGAGCATGCCGTGGCACTGATCCAGAAGCGGGCCAGTTGTTCCGGCCGCCCAGGAACACTGCCGCCTCGGAGTTTGACAGCATTGGTATGGTGTTGAGCCTAGATGACCTCGTGCGCAAGCTAACTCGAGGGCAGACGAAGCAGAGGAGTGGGGTTGGGAGCTCCACCTGAACTATATCAACAACGACTTCAGAGTTTGGGGTGTCGACCAGGTGCTCAGAGATCTTGGGGTGGCAGGTGATGAAATGCATTGCCTGATGTTGGATCACGGGTCTGACCTGGACCGCCACGGAGATGACGGTGTGCCCCTTGACGAGACGTACGAATATGACGGCCGAACGTATCGTAAAACCGGAGGACATTATGGGATGGCCTTTAACGGGCCCAAAGGAGGTTTGTGATGATGCTGGGTTTTCCTCTCTCAAGCTTACATCGTGAGCAGTGATCATTGCAATGGATCGAAAGTCGCCGCAATCTGCTGGAAAAGAACGGACACCTGCCGTGCAAGGCGACGAGCTACCTGCCGTTAAATCATGTTCAGACGTAGCTTGGATGTTGTGGAAAATGTTCGGCGAACACGCAGGAAACATAAAGAACCTGAGATTCTTCCTTTCGTTGTCAATCATCAATGCTGAGACGGACGCTATTCTGTCACGGGCCATTCGAAACATTGTGCCCGAGGCACAGCAATTTCCAGCCTGGGGAGGATACGAATTCGATACTGATACACCCGAAGGACAAGCCATCTTGGGTAAGTTCTGCCTTCGGTCTAACAACATCATAAATCATACTGACCAGCGACTGACGTCAGGCACACCCAATGCCCAAGCATTCAGCTACCTACTTCTGCAACACAAGGCCGACCTCGGCAACTTGTACATCTCCAAGATCCGTGTCTTCCACGACGATAGACAGCGGCCGGGGCCAAACTTGCTCCTTATCGTGGAGCCAGTGCCAGTAAACAGTGAAGTACCCAGGCCGGAAGATCAGCAGACTAAGCCCATCTCTGATTTGTTTTCGACCCACACGCGCCAAAACGATGCCATCAACAGGATCAAAGCCGCTCCTGACCTCGTCAATATCACAGCTGTCGATCCCAAGAGCCTCCCGGCTACCTTGCCTCTTACAGTCCCACCCAAGCCGGGAGCCGGCCAGAAAGGTGGCTTTCTCAACCTTTATGAAAATGCAGAAGACACGGAATGGGAGAAGTCGAGATGCAAAGGCGAAAGATTCCTCCATGCAATGCGCGGCTCCGACAACGAAGCCGGCAAGCTCTTCGAGCCGCCGCGCGACACAGCCGCTGGCGCCTTCGACGAAACACACCTCAGTAGGGCCCTTGCTTGCAGCTATCCTCGCCCGGAGCACTGACTTGTCGCAGAGGACCTCGAAACTTGGGGATGGGAGCTAAGACCAACGCAAGGCAACAACGTGCGCCAGTGGGGCATCGATCACGTCCTCCGGGACATGGGCGCGTCAGACAAAGTCGAGGACGAAGGAGGCGACATCCGGCTGGTCTCTTTCGCACACGGTCTCTCAAAACCGGATGAGAATGGCGAGTGGATCCCAATCGACAAGCAAAGCTACCAGGTTGGCCAGAAGCAGTACCGCCACACCGGCGCACACTATGCTTTTGGGCTGGACGAAGTGAGCGGCGGTGCGTGAACATCCGGGGCGTGGCTGCCGAATCCGCCCCTTGCTGACAGGTGCCATAGTCATTATTGCAATCGACCGGCTCTCTCCGCAGGAAGCCGGGAAGCGACGGACGCCCGCCGTCGACGGCGCAGACGCTCTGCCGCTGATCCGCGCCTTCTCCGACATGGCGTGGATATCGTGGCAGAAGCTCGCAACCGTGGCCGCCAGCGACGTGAAAAACATCCACTACTTCCTGTCAGTGTCGATCACGAACAAGCACACGCGGCGCGTCCTCTCGCGCGCAGTCCGCGAGGTTCTGCCAGGCGCCTGGGGCTTCCCCGAGTGGGGCGGCTTTGAATTCGACACGGCGACTGCGCAAGGGCAGGCGATTCTCGGTCAGTGCGGTGGCGGGTGTTGAGCACAGCGGACTGACGCGGGCCAGGTACTCCGAATGCGCAGGCGTTCAGCTATTTCCTGCTCCAGCACAAGAAGGAACTTGGGAACCTGTACATCTCGAAGATCCGGGTGTTCCGTGATCAAAGGCAGCTGTCATCGCAGGCCAACTTGCTTATGGTTGTCGAGCCGGTGCCCGCAGGTGGGGAGAAGGCACCGACGGAATCGTCTCAAGCGCGGGGTGAGGGTATGACTGCATTGACGAGCCGTAACCTTCGCCGCTGGTGGACGCGAGCAAAGCTGTAGTTTGCAGCTCACCAGCACTGGTGCTAAAGCTAGTCTGCTGCTACACTCGGAGCTGTCGAGTCCGCTTCCTGCTCAGCTGGAAGGAGCATGTCATATCTTGGACACAAAGTGGACGTGATGTGATGCACACTTTAACATTAAAAGATGAATACTTCCTCTTCCAAACGCGAATAACAAACCACGGCGTGACAGTGTTTCTGAACCATTTTGCCAACAAATCAATCGGATAGCGGAGCAGAGGGCTACAAAACCTTTTCCATGTCCATAGTAGGCGGCCATCGCTTCATGCTGACCTCAACCCTCGGTCCTCCGGCACCTATACCAGCTCGGCCTTGAGCCCGGAAACAGCGATTCCCTCGACCTATCAGTCGGCCCCTGGTAATCCGGGACCTTGACATTACCCAAGCAATCCTCCGTAAACCTCATCGACATCAGCAAACACTCAACGGATGGAGAGACGACATACGTGTAGAAGCGGCAGATGCACCCTCCGTAGAGCGCGTAGGCAAAGGCATCCTGCCAGCCGCCGAGCGTCTCGTTGAAGAAGAAGGCCGAGCAGGAGTCATACGCGAAGACGCCGGCGACGACGCTGACGTTCCAGTGCGGCCGTACGTACCCGCAGTTGTACGGATCTGCGGGTATTTGGGGGTAGTCGACGGGCGCGGATTGCGTCAAGGGGGCTGCAGAAAGCAGGGCAGCAAGGAGGGACGACAGGAACATTGTGCGAGTCTTGCGGGGATGTTACGTAGGCGCAATGAGTGGGGAATCGATGAAGTGTCTCCTTGTTGGGCAAGGCAGGGCCGATTTATAGACAGGCACGTTGTTATGAGGGCTTGAGGCTTTGCGCTTCTGTACCCGATGGCTATTTCGATCAATACTTGCGGTGTGCAATGCAACAGTCGCCATGGCCACTCAATTTGCGCTCACGCATGCTGGAGGTGGTGACGGGCGACCGGGCTGTCAAGACGCATGCTGCCGATGGCAAGGTGGCTGTTTGTATCCTGTGCAAATCCTGATGAGAGTTTCGAGGGTGCTACGAGAATAGGGTCTTGTCATGATGGCGCATACACGGTCCTACCATGTCGAGCCAGAGTGGCGACAGGGCCAGAGATGGTATGATGCATGAATTGACGCATCTCGCACGCGCCCGACGATATCAAGCATTGCGGCTAGCTGTCTAGCCTGATGCTACTGGAGCATCGAAATACATTCGTGGCAGACGGGAAATGGGAGCCGCTTCAAAGCTTCGGCAGTGTTGTGGCAATGATTGCGGCAGGGCCGAAATGGATACAAACACGTTGGCCACGGCGAAAGGCGGTGAAGATGTACCAATCTAGTGTATCTGTAGTTGTGTGAGGCCACAATAGCGGGATTCTCGAGAGCAGTAACACGGAACTATAAGCACAGCTGTGCACTCTGCACGGCAAGGTCGAGGTGTCGAGTGATGCAACGGGTCGCGGAGGACAGAGGTATGTGACACGTGTGTGTACAAGTGGCAAGAGGCTGATCCCGTGCGTGTGGTGAGAGGCTCACGCGGACTCGAGTGTTACAAACGACACAGCGTGCATTGGGAGGTGAAGACAAGGACGAGCTGGGGAACGGTGGAGGTGGTCAGGGCCTTGGCAAAGTGGGGCGCGGAGTTACGGAGTTAAGGACCAAGCGCTGGAAATTTCCAGCGCCGAACTCGACAACGGCGCAGAAGCACGACGGCCTCTGCAAGCAGAACAGCACTGCCGACGCGCACACGCCGTACGCCCCCACACACACGCACACACACGTACAGACACGCCCGCACACGTCTACACGCCCGTACACGCACATCACTCGCCATGATCCGCAGACAGGCCCGCGAGCGGCGCGACTACCTCTACCGGCGGGCGCTCACGCTGCGCGATGCCGAGCTCGCCAGCAAACGCGCGGCGCTCAAGGCGTCGCTGGCTTCAGGCAAGCCGCTGTCCAAAGAGGTGGCCGACGACGAGACGCTGCGCGCCGACTTCAAGTACGACGAGAGCCGCGCCGACCGCACGGTCGAGGAGGAGCTCGGGCTCGACGACGAGTACGCGCAGCTGTCGGGCGTCGTGGACCCGCGCATCCTGGTGACGACGTCGCGCGACCCGTCGTCGCGGCTGGGCACCTTTGCAAAGGAGATGCGGCTGCTGCTGCCGACGAGCGTGCGCCTCAACCGCGGTAACCTGATCCTCAGCAACCTGGTCGACAGCGCCAAGAGCAGCGGGCTCAGCGACATTGTGCTGCTGCACGAGCACCGCGGCACGCCCACCGCCCTGACCGTCAGCCACTTCCCCCACGGCCCCACGGCCAGCTTCAGTCTGCACAACGTCGTGCTGCGCGCCGACATTCCCAACAGCGCCCGCGGCACCGTGTCCGAGTCGTATCCGCACCTGATCTTCGAGGGCTTCCAGTCGAAGCTGGGCAAGCGCGTCGAGCAGGTCCTCAAGCACCTGTTCCCGCCGCGCGAGCCCACGGCCAAGATTGGCAACCGCGTCGTCACGTACGTCTTGCCCCCCGCCGCCCAGCGCCCTGCTAACTGATCCGCCCAGATTCAAGAACATCGAGGACACAATAGAGGTGCGCCACCACGTCTTCGTCAAGACCGGCTACCAGTCCGTCGAGCTGGCCGAGGTCGGGCCGCGCATGAGCATGCGCCTGTTCGAAATCCGCGCAGGTACCCTGGACAACAAGGAGGGCGACGTCGAGTGGCATCTGAACCAGTACACGCGGACGGGGCGCAAGAAGGATTATTTGTAGGACAAGTGCTGTGTGGAAGAGTGGCAGAACGACGATTTGCAGAAGACTTAGAAACTATTGCTCTGTACAAGACTACCGCGCGTGGTCTTATGATTGTGGATATACCCAATGAAACTTTTCCTGAACGCCTGCTATGCTCCTGACTGCCAGCCCCTTGCGTTTGTCCGCGACTTCTACACGCCTGTCGTCATGCTCTCAACATCTGTCGTCATCTTCTCGACATCTGCCCTCGTCTTCTCGACGTCGCCCTCATCTTCTTAACATCACCCTCATCTTCTCACCGTCTGCCCTCATCCTCTTGACCCCTTCAGAATGCCCCGCCGCGCCTTGCCCTTGCCCTTCTCCTGCCTCGTCTCCTCCTCCTCACTCAGCAGACTGCCCTCTAGCCGCAGGCCCTTCCCCTTTGACTTCCCGTCCGTTCTCCCGTCAAAGTCAACCAGCCGCACGCTCACGTCTCCCGAAACATCGCCGTCCTCGCTGACCCACACGCCCTCATCCGTGCCCTGTGGCTGGAACGTCCAGCTCGACGGCAGCTGTGTCGCGAGCACCGAGACGGGGAAGACGTTAAGAAAGGAGAGCGTGATGTGCGTCTTGCTCTGGTGCGTGATGCGCGCGGTGATGTGGTGGCCGCGCTGAGGGCGCCAGATCAGAAACGTTGCCGACGCCCACAGGAACGGGCTGGCGTACTCGTCGACGTGGCGCAGCAGCACGTGTGCGTCGCCGGCATCGTCGGACGGCGAGGATGAGAGCGCAACGTCCTCGTATGCGAGAATGACGCCGCGCGCTGGTGGGAAGTACGAGAGCAGCAGCGGCGAAAAGACGGACGCGCAGAGGGCGGGGAGCGGTGTTGCGAGCGCTGCGGCGGGGAGAGAGACAAACTGCGAGTAGCGCTCAGTGAAGAGGTTGTCGTCGCGAATTGGCGCCATGGTGACGGTTGGCGAGCGCAATCCGTCATAAGAAAAAGTTGTTGGAGGTCGAGGTATATGTGGGGCTGTGGGGCCCAGTTGAGGCGAGGCCGAACACTCTACACCCGGACACGCTCGATCAGCTCTACTGTGTGCACCCGGACAAACTCAGATGTCTCTGCATCCGTACAGAACTCGATCATGACGTTTCACGAAGTCGTCCCGTTCGATGGTGCCCCCAAAAAATTCTCGAGAAGCTGCACAACGCCCATAGCTTTCTCAGTCGTGTTTAAAATCTGCCTGCGGCTAATAGACGCCCCCAAGACAATGCCGATCCTCTCACTTGCACCTGCAGGAAAGCTGCTAGTGCACCGTTACCACAGACACTACGTGCGAGGGGCACTGTGTGGACTCATGGACTTGCTTCCGCACCAAAACCTCCGACTTAAGATGAGCATCATACGGCTAAATGGCTAAATTGCCACGAGCCTTCCATACACCTCCCTCTTCCGCTCCCTGTAGCCACGAATTGAACGAGGCTTGGCTTTAGCTGGGGTAAATTCCCCATGGGGTTTCCGAGGCTCACGTCCTGGCTCGACAATAGCATTCCCCAGCATCGCCTACCCTTAGGTCGGCGCCGTGATACCATCTCACTAATATACAATGGTTATCTTCAATCCTATGGTATTGCTTCCCCTCAGGAACAGGGCCAACGGAGCATCCCTAACCGCCGGAGGGATTGCCCGGATGCCATGATTCCAGATCGGTACCAAGGAGTGATCCCCGCGTGCGCTTCCACCCGCGGTCCCAAGCCGGCCACTGTTCGAGTAAGCGTGCCTGGTGGTTTGATGAAGTAATGATGCCGGTTAAACGTGTCCGCCAACCCGGTTGATGAGTCCGCATGCAGATGTCGCCCGCAGAATCGTCGTATATATATATTCCCTCGAGCTTCGCTGAAACAGTACTTGTCGCACAGCAAGCATTCGCGCCAATCATTCACCATGCACTTCTCCAGCATTGTCGCATCTCTGGCACTGACCACATCGGTCTTGGCTGTACCGTTCGTTTGCCAAGTCCCGTGAGCGACCTCGGTCCCTGCTAACATCGAACAAGGACCAACTCGAAGCCTAAGGAAACCAGTCTATACAAGGCATTCCGTGACCGAGGCCGCGACTTCATCGGCACAGCTCTGACCATCCGCAATGAGCCTGCTGAGCCCAAGATTATTGATCAAGACTTTAACTCAGTCACTCCGGAGAATGCCATGAAATGGGAGTCTACTGAGCCATCTCGGAACAACTTCACGTTCGCTGGCGGCGATGCGGTCGTTGCTTTCGCGAAGCAGTACGACCAGCAAATCCACTGCCACACCCTGGTCTGGCACAGCCAATTGCCCACGTGGGTCTCTGGCGGCGGCTTCGACAACAAGACGCTGATCTCTATCATGGAGAACCACATCAAGAACGTCGCCGGTCGCTGGAAAGGTGCATGCACTCGCTGGGACGTTGTCAACGAGGCCTTGAACGAGGACGGCACCTACAGGAAAAGCGTGTTCCTCGACACCATCGGCGAGGCGTACATACCCATTGCGTTCCGCCTCGCGGCCAAGTACGCCAAGGGCTCGAAGCTGTACTACAACGACTACAATCTTGAGTACAACGGCGCCAAGACAGAGGGTGCTAAGAGGATCGTTAAGCTTGTCAAGTCCTACGGCGTGAAGATTGACGGTACGCAGATTAAGATTGAAAGGTTCAGGCAGCTACTAACACGCAACAGGTGTCGGTTACCAGGCCCACCTTGCCAGCGAGCCCACGGCAACAGCTCCCGGCGCTGTTCCCGACCAAGCCACCCTTGAGGCAGCTCTGAAGGCGACATCTAACGAGGGCGTCGACGTAGTCTATACTGAGATCGACGTGCGCATGAATACTCCCGCCACACCTGAGAAGCTGGCGGTCCAGGCGGCGGCGTTCGAGCGCATCGCAAAGTCCTGCATTGCCGTGAAGCGCTGTGTCGGCATGACCGTGTGGGGTATCTCAGACAAGTACTCGTGGATTCCGGGCGTCTTCGCTACAGAGGGCGCGGCGCTTCTGTGGGACGACAACTATCAGAAGAAGCCTGCCTACGACGGGTTCCTGGCGGGTATCAAGAAAGGCAAGAAGAATTAGATTAGTGGATTTGTAGAGTCAGCACAATCAACGCACTTTTTTTAAGAACAGAGCGGTGCGTCAGGCAAGATGTCTCATATGAAGTAGTAACAGTCATCGCGTAGTCCTTCAATACATGACGTTCCCACTGCAGAGCCTCATGCCGCCCTTGTAAGCTGGTAAGGCTGACATACGCCAGGCTGCGCTGCTGACCGCGGTGGCGCAGCACAGCCAAGCCGGCACCACGCCGGCACACCCCCACAACTAGAGACATGTACACTACACAGTGCAATCCAACTTGCCGAGCGCCTTGCGCCGCACGCCTGTTGGCGCAGCCAGTTGCCTATCTAGGGACCGGGTCAGCGCAACAATAAATCTGCGGTAAGCGGGCGCCTACTCGGCCCCCACCCCAGCGCAGGCGGATCTGCGGGACCACGGTGCGCCGCAATGCGGCTGGCTGGCGAGGTATATATATAATGACTCGTCGTTCTGTTGTTGCGTTTGCAACTCGATATTTCGCATTCATCAACATCGCCTGCGTCACAGTCACACGCGTGTAGGCAACTTGGCTCAGGTAAACACCTAATAAGAGGAGAATTTGACGAGCAATCCATATCCAGGCGTCTCCAAGATACGCCTCGACATGGACTCTAGCACGCGAGATCCGCAGGCGCCGCTGCGGCTGCTATCGCTGGATGGAGGGGGAGTACGAGGACTGTCCTCGCTGATGGTGCTGCGAGACTTGATGCAGAATATTGCGCTGGAAGAAAAGCGGCTTGGACGGCGGCCGCATGGCGATCACGAACCGTTGAGGCCCTGTGACTACTTCGATCTGTAGGTTGTATCCTTTTCCCGCGCCTGTGTTTAGCGTACTCACTTATCCCAGCATCGGTGGCACATCAACGGGTGGCATTATTGCAATACTGCTGTCCCGATTGCGACTCAACTGTGAGCAGTGCATAGACATCTATCTCAAGCTCGCGCAGCAGATCTTCGAGCATGACCGTTCGTTCACAGCCTTCGGGATGAAAGTGCCGACAGGGGCGACGCGGTTCTCTGGGGTAGTTCTCGCCAATGCAATCAAGTCGGCGCTGAAAGAGCTTGGATTTGCCGAGAACGAGCTGATGTGGGACGAGGCGCTGTTCGAGGAAATCGACACCTCGGCCGACCAGAGACATAACAGCATCTGGGGCGACGTGGTGACCCAAAGCCCCGTCGCAACCACAAAGACGTCGACATCCGAGGACAGCACATTTCCCCCAAAGTCACTGCCGCCGCGGACAGACACTTGGAAACTCCACCCGCGTCAGTCGGTACATCGCAAGCCAAACGCAGCGGGGTGTCGAGGCTTCGTGCTCACGTCGCTCAAGAACGCCCTGGGCTTACCGCGGATACTCTCCACATTCGATCCCAACGACCGCACAACGCGCATCTGGGAGGCGCTGCGGGCGACTTCCGCCGCACCGACGTTTTTCGAGGAAATGCAGTTCGGGACGCCCAAGGTGACGTATCTCGACGGTGGGGTGGGGTTCAACAACCCCTGCGCGGAAGTCGACTACGCTGCCAAAGCCCTGTGGGAGAACCGATCGATCGGTGTGATTGTGTCCGTGGGGACAGGGCTGCAGAGTCTCTCGAGCGTCAAGAAGATGGCGTCGTGGCTCCCGTTTGGGCTCGGCACGGATATCTCGCTCGCCACGGCGCTGGCTGGGATGGCGACCTCGACCGCGCGAGTCGATAACGAGATGCGCCGCATGTACAACCACAGCGACACCAAGTACTACCGCTTCGACGTCGATCGCGGGCTCGCCAACATCAGCCTGGAGCAGTGGATGAAGGAAGACGAAATGGCCTCGCTGACCGAGCAGTACATGCAAGACGGCGAGCAGCAGCGACGCGCCCACGAGTTCGGCGAAATCATGGCAAAGCTGTCCGCGCTGCCCCCGAAATTCGAGATCCCCGCCACGCACTTCAAATTCGGTGGCGAAGACGACGCCTTCGAACTGGTCAAAGTCGACTTCAAGACGGGTCGCCTTCTCGGCGCCACCCCGCAAGACGACTCCAAGACCCTGTCGCAGCTGCGCACCGCCTCGCCCTCAGGCGAAGCCGGCATCGCCGTCGACGCGACCGGCGGCCTGCGCAGCGTGTACCCCGTAGCCGCAGACCTGGACCGCGACGGGTCGCGCGACGAAGCCGCGGTGTACCAGTGCGTCAAAGCGGGCAACATCTGCGTGCGCAGCATCAAGACGGGGATTCCCCCAGGCCGGTACAAGGTGCAGTTCATCGTCGCGTTCCACGAGGCCGTGCACACGGCGCCGCACGATCTCGTGCTCAGCGTCGGGCGGCCGTTTGATGCGACCACATTTCAGAGCCGCTTTGTGGACGTCAAGATCACCCCGGATGTGGCAGTGGTGCTGCTGCATCCTGATGCTGTCCGTGTGCGGGTTGGAAAGAGGCGGTATGAGGAGAGTGTTGGGAAAGGATGGGTCGAGATAGAGGGCGATGTTGACGTGAAAGTGGGGCTTGATGGTGCACTGGGCTTCATCGTGAGCAAGCGGTATGAGGAAGGGGTTGTTGTCGACGGATGGAGTTTTGGTGGCATGCGGCTTGAGCCTATCTTTGGTGGCCAGTCGTTGGATTTGGCATGAACTTGGGTGCATTCAGAGACGGTAGATTAGATTTTTATGTAATACACTCCTGCTAATACAAGTGTTCGCCATCTTTTGCAGCGGGTCTCAGGAGGTGCGCACGCGGTAAGTGTCGCCTGGCACCTAATCATTCATCCACAAAAACACACATCATCGCCTCCGTGTACGTGAATATCAACTGCCCCAGAAGCGCAAAAAATTATACCTGGAGAATCTGCGTAACACAGACGATGTTGATGAGGACGAGACTCGAACTCGCGCCACTTTCGTGACCAGGAAGCTGATTGCTCAGCAGATGCTAAGGAGAAAGACCTTAACCTGGCGCCATAACCAACTCGGCCACCTCACCCGTTTCCAGTTGTATGACTTGATGACTAAGATTTCATTCATGTGGTTTATATACTGTGCAGATGCGAGGATGAGAATGCCGCAGCAGAGGCTCAAAGTCGCCTGTGCGTGAGTGGAGACGGGTAAAATTTGCCCCGTAGCGGAAGTGGTATCCATCCAAGTACCATGTATTATCGAAGCAGTAGCACGGCTTTTGAATGCCACACCAACATTTCCATATCAAAGAGCGTGGGATACGAAGTGGGGCGTGTACACTGATGCAAGTCCGTGCAGACTATCCGACACGTTGCGTGCAAAGCGATCGACAACACATGTGTCAAACGCCAAAAGCCCTACATCATGAGCATGGCTACAACGACAAAGCTGAAGAGTGTAGTGGTAAAGGTTCCTCTGCTGGCCAGAACCCCAGCGCCGCCTTCAAACTCTGGCAGATGGTGACTGCCATTTCCAGGCACTGTCTGGTTGCTTCCGCCACGGCATCTGGCAATAACGTCTGGGAACAGCTGCGTTGAATTGGCATCGACAAAAATCCAGTTGCATATCTCAGCAGTGCCGTTGGCGATGGCTTCCTGCTGCCACTCGTAGCAGGAGTCTGGGGCGTATGTGTAACAGTATGTCAAATCCTGTGGGGTAGCCTGCAGCTGTACGTTGGGATCATCGCGACCTGTGCTGGTGTAGTTACCGGCTGTTGACACGGTGCCCGTAGCTATGTCCAAGTTGAACAAGGCGCGAGTGAAGACTTTGTATGCCGTCTCTGGCTGGTATGCAGGAATGGCGTGACCAGCTTGGTACGTCCTTATGTAGCTGAGGTTCCCATGCTGGCGAACTAGACCTCCGACATACGAGTCGTTGGTCTGGATCTCGGCATACTGCGCGGCCGCGTATCCATCGGAACCTGTCCAATTGATTGCCTTTGCCACAGCATCCCCACTTGCCCACTAGGGGAGAGTCAGCTAAAACGTGTATCTCTACGACGGGATCACTTACTGGGCATGCGAAATCCAGATCTCCGTGTACAAGGGAGACTTTGATACCGTTGTCCAGCAGAAAGGCGAGATCGTCAAGCCACGAATCTCTGGGGTAATCACCAATGTCACGGTATGCTGCTGAAGCCTGCGGCGAGTTGCCCGTCCAGTTCAGGGGCACCCCCAGTTCTTGCAACACCCACTCCTGATTCAAGAAGCCCTCGTGAAACGGAGGTGGGAATGGCGGTGGTGACTGAGTCGAGATATCGTAATAATCGAGGCCAGAATTTTGGGTGTAGGGGCTGACTATATTCGCACGACAGAAAGTTTCCGCAGCCTCGCACAGATCGTTGACAGTCGCATTGATACCCAGGTTCTCCGGATCAGACTCAGCTGCTGCCTCGCGGCATGTGGTGATGCGTTCGAGACATTCTGGCACGGACTCGACCATCGCATTGTAGACGGTCTCGTTCACTGCTTCGATGCCATAACCATTGTCGCGGAACGCCTGCTGTGGATAGTACGGGTACTGGACATAGCGGTCAACGCATCCGGAGATCATGAGCAAAGTGTCGAGATGTAGGATGAACTGTTCACCTTCGCCGCCACTCCATGTGCCGTTCTCGATCCGCTGGTTCTGCTCCTCCCAGAATGTAAACATGGTAGGTCCGTAGCGCCCTCCATAAGACTGTGCAGCGAGGCTAAGACGTGTGTCGTTCGGAAGCAGGTGCGGGAACTCTTGGAACCAGGCTTGAGCGAAGTGCCATGCAGCGATGGCACCGTTCACGCTACCAAAGGCTGTATTGTTAGGGTTGCGGCTGGGAAAAGTGCCAGTCAGGAAGGTGCTGTTTTGTTCTGGCACTGGATCTGTTGCATTCAGCAGCGCAACCTCACCCGTCAACAGATTTCGTGTCACATTCTGGAGTGTGTCGTACGAGAAGCCCACCTGCACGGGCTGGTCGAGATATAACATGTTGGCTGTTCTTTTAGTATATTTCTAGATCGCTTCGACACAGACACATACCCTCATTGTTCCAGCTCCATTCAGAGAGGCGAGTGGAATTTGAATCCGAGTTTGCATAGCAGGGGCCATTCTCCTCGAGGATGCCATACATCGAGGAGGATCCAGGACCTTGTTCTGATTAGAAATGTAGAGGCTTGCCGGTGAAGATTGCCTTGCCTCCGTTAAGCCAGATGACCGTTGGTGCGTTTGCAGGGTCGTTGCGCGCTTCAAAGAACCAGAAGAACTGATTACGTTATTAGAGTAGGCAGATCTAATCAAATATGACCGACTTGCCGTGTTGATTGGATAGTCCTGGCCTTGTCCAAGGTCTGCAGTGCCGGGTGGAAGATGAACATGGCCAGAGTACGAGCGTACTCCCGGGGTAGTTTCGCACAGGTCGTTCTTGTTTGCTCAGCCTGGCTCACGAAACTTCAAAGACAACATGCCTACCTCCTTGTATGAGATGGTCACGCCATCACCAAAGCGAGATTCCAAAACCTTTACGCCCACAGGTTCGGCAGGGAACTGCGCGGCGGCAGAGGCCACCAGCGCAAGCACGGCGAGGGCCTTTGAAGCAACCATGATGAAGTGGAGTGAAATGAAACCATGCTTCTGGCAATACACTGTTCTTAAGCTCTGACATGCCCGCGGTTATGGGACGCCTGCCGTCCTGGTATGGTTGGCAATGCTGGGCAGCATGCTAGGTGTCGTCTTAGAGCGGTGTCTACAAGACCAATACGGAAGGTCAACAAGAGGGCCAAGTCGAGCTTGAAGGTACCTAGGTATAGATAGCCACTGTGTTGCATCTTCAAGCGGGGTAAACAGTTGCGCAAGAACAGGTTTATTGGCTAAGAGGTCTGAGTTCATGGGCAACGTAGCGGCGTAACGCAGCAGGTAGGTGACGGGGTGGGGGACGGACGCCCCACATGCTTAGCTCGGTCGGGGCGACGCGTAGAGCGCGCTGTTTACGGTGCATCATCGACCACCCGCGGAACATGAGCAGAGCCAGCATCGAGCAGGCTCTAACCGGGCTGGTCCCAACACTCAACGGGCCGCTTCCTCTCGAACTGGTGGACATTGCGCTGTCTCTTCTGGCCCGCTCGCGCAGCGTTGCCAATTCGCTGAAGCCGGACGAGGAGATTGCACGACCATACGCATGCGCGCAGTTGGCCTGTGAACGGTGGGGTCTTGTAATCTGCTGCTGGATGGCGTGCAACGGCTAACAAGTCTGTGTAGACTGAAGAGTCGCCTCAATCTGCCCTCGGTAGCGTCCCGCCCACCATGTCCGCCGCGGGTTTACAAAAAGCTGTACAGCTACCTCGCCAGCGCCCTGCCCGACTCGTCGACCCCTCGTGAGCCTCAAACACCGCGAAAAAACCTGCCATCCGCGTCAGATTCTGCAAAGAATACACCCAAAACGCCTCTGAGCGCCAGGAAGACACCCCGGACCATCCAGAAGACGGATAGCGGCGCGGGAGAACCGCCAGCATGGGTTATGCCCTGCATTCGGGTGCTCGTGAAGAAGTTCTCGTTTCCCCTTGCAGCCCCTCACGTATATACCGGCATTGAATCTGTTCTGCCACTGATGGCGCGCATGACCACGGCGGCTGCGGGAACGCCCAGCAAGCGCCCACGGCGAGCTGCGAGTGCATCACAGGCACCAATTGCAGCTGTCACGGAGACTAAGCTATTTGCGCTAGTCGTTGTTGTAGTTCTGTACGTCCTGGCTAGAATGACGACCCAGAACGTTACGCCGGAGCAGTACAACGAGCGCCGGAACACGGCCATCAGCACTATTTTGGAGCTACCCGAGGCAAAAGATGTTGCATACAATAGCCTGTCGCCTGAGATTGATATGCTGATGACTGTGGCACAGCAGGAAGGCTGGCTGCAAATGGAATGGCTCTTGAACGTTTCGCCTCCAGGAGATGCTGACGACATGGAAGGCATTGAGACGGTGAATGCAAACACTTCGCGATCATCAACCGGCACAGTTTTGGGCCTTAAAAACAGTGGTAGTGATTCCATTGGCTTTGGGACCATGTTACAAGATTGCAATGACTACTTGGGCGAGCGTCAGATGCAAGAGTTCAAGACATGGGAGGCTGACGTCATGGCTCGTTACAACGCAAAGGAGGCAGCAGGGGAGTAGAACGTTATGAATTCCTATCGAAACCCATCCACGTATAGGGACCCTGATTGACCATGCTACTTGCCTAGGCCTTGGCCGTCGTGGGCTGCTTGAAGTACTTGCTAGGAACGAAAGGCATCTTGGTCACCACAGCCTTCCTATTCTTACCTCGCACGACTACTTGAACTTCGGTCCCGGCCTTGTGCAGGCCGTCCTTGATATAGCCCATGGATATGTTCTTCTTCAGCGTGGGCGAGGGGCAACCAGAGGTGATGACGCCGATCTTCTCGCCGGACTCGCTGACAATCTCAGCGCCTTCACGTGCCGGTGAGCCCTCGACAATGAGGCCAATACGACGTCGCGACACGCCGCCGCCCTCAGACTTCTTCTTCAGTTGCTGCAGGATGACAGAGTCTCCGTGGAAGCCGCCCTTTGCGCGGCGATCTTTTCCAATGATCCAGGACAGCGCGGCTTCGACAGGAGTCGTAGTGTCGTCCAAATCATGGCCGTAGAGGCACATGCCGGCCTCGAGACGGAGCGTGTCGCGCGCACCGAGGCCGGCAAAGCGCAGCTCGTCCTTTGCGTTGTCGAGGAGGAACTGGGTGACTGCCTCGGTGGCGGAGGAGGGAATGCTGATCTCAAAGCCATCCTCTCCAGTGTAGCCTGCGCGGCTTACGAGCACCTCGACATCTGTGCCCTTGATGGTTGCCGGGATGCACTGGCCGAAGTACAATGCCTTCAAGGTCAGGCGAGACTCGTCTGCAAGCACGCGGGAAAGGATATCGGCGGAAAGGGGACCTTGGAGAGCAACCAAGCCCTGGCCGTCGAGGATGTTCCACTCGACTGCCTGGTCAGGGTTCTGCTTCTGCCACGACTCGAGCTGTTCAGCCAAGTAGGCTTTGTCCTTCTCGCGGCAGCCGGCATTGGTGACGACGTAGAACCTGTCTGGCAGGCGCGCAATGACGGTATCGTCGACGATGCCGCCGGTCTCGGGGTGTAGCAAGGTCGAGAGGGTCGACTGGTTCGGAGGCAGCGTGGAGATGGAGGAGGGAGTGATGCTCTCGAGGAACGCTTCGGCGCCAGGGCCTGAGAAGTGGTGCTGGACCCTACACAGGCGTTAGAACAATCTCTGATAAGTCGGTATTGTCACGCGCTTACATGTGTCCCACGTCGAAGAGACTGGCTTTCTCGCGGGTCCACTTGTGCGACTCGATGATGCTCAGGTCGCTGTACTGCACCGGCATCTCGTAGCCGCCAAAGGGCACGAACTTGGCTCCGTGCTTGCTGTGAAGCTCATACAGGCCCGTTCGCGCCGGCTTCTCTACAGCGGCGGCGGACGAGGCGCAGCGAACGGACTGCTGCAGCTGGCGGGTTGCCATCGCTGGGCCAGCTGCAATGCGCGCCGCGTGCTGGAGCCTCTGCGCATTTGCAAGCCCAAATAAACGTATCCCAAAGGCATTGGCGGCCGGCCGCAGCTGTGCAACGATTCTGCTTGAGGCCATTTTCGAGGGTTGCAGGAGGAATGCCCCCAGAGCTTCCCCGACGGCCAGTCTTGTGCGGCAATCCACGGGCTCTGCGCGGGCTGCGATAGATGTGGGGCGCACGCACGTCCTAGCGCCCGCAACTGCCAACCTGGTGTACCTGGAGCTGGAAGCTGCTTCCATTTTCGGCAGCAACACCCACTCAGGCAGCCACGACCAACACTCTGCGCGATACCGCCCACGACGCCCCGGCCACCACCATGTCGAAGGGCACAAAGTACCTGCTGGTGTCGTTGCCGACGTCCATCTCGCCGAGCAACCACGCCGACGAGGCCCTGACAGCCCTGCGCTCGACTGTCACCAATGACGTCGGCTCGACCTCCCCGTTCGCGATCCCCGAATTCAAGATCGGCACTCTGGATGCGCTGGTGCAGCAGGCCGACGACCTTGCAAAGCTCGAGCATGCCTGCCACGGCGTCGTTGGCAAGGTGGGGGACAGCCTGCGCACCATCCTGGACGGCGACGAAGACAAGGTGCAGCAGCAGAAGACGATCAACGACAAGCCCGTGGAGCAGTACCTGCGCACGTTCCAGTGGAACAAGGTCAAGTATCGCGCAGACAAGCCCATTGCAGACCTGATCGATCTGCTGCAGAAAGAGATCCAGGGCATCGACAACGACGTCAAGGCCAAGTTCAGCCAATACAACCAGACCAAGTCGGCCCTCGCCGCTGCAGAGCGCAAGAAGACCGGAAACCTGGCCACCAAGTCGCTCGTCTCGGTCGTCAATCCCAACTCGCTGATCCGCGACTCGGATTACCTCGACACCCACCTCATTGCCGTGCCCAACGTGGCTGTGAAGGACTTTTACAAGTCGTACGAAGAACTCACCCCCATGGTCGTCCCCCGCTCTGCCAACCAGCTCGCCAAAGACGACGAGTTCACATTGTTCGCCGTCACCACCTTCAAGAAAAACTCGACCGAGTTTGTGCACAAGTGTAGAGAAAAGCGATGGACGCCTAGAGACTACAAGTACAAGGAGGGCGGGAAGGAGGAAGAAGCAAAAGAGGCAGACCAGCTCACCCGAGACGCACAGAAGCAGTGGGGCGAGGCTTTGAGACTGGGGAGGACAGGATACAGCGAGAGCGCCATGATCTGGATCCACGTGCTTGCGTTACGCGTCTTTGTTGAGACGGTATTGCGGTATGGTCTGCCGCTGGACTTTGTCTGCGGTCTCATCCAGGTATGCACAGGCCGTGAACACAGCCTCCGAGCACGCGATGCTAACTACTTCAGACGGACGCGAAATCAGCCAAGAAGGCAAAGAGCAATCTCGACGCAAACTACTCGTACCTGGGCGGCAACGCTTTCGGGCGCGACAACAAGGGTCGCGTCAAGAAGGACGACTCAGCCTTGACAGCTGAGATGCAGTCGTCCGGACACGCTGGTGATCAAGAGTACACCGCATACGTTTACTACGAGTTCGAGGTCGTATAGACAGGGAGATTTGAAACAACAGCATCATCAGTGCATGTATAGAAGACAAGCGAGCAATGCCACCCATTTCCAGAGCAAGGCTGCGACCTATTGATTGCAAAGTGTGCAGAGTGTGGCTGCTGTGGGTGATGACGGACCGGCGCTAAGATAAGATAAGAGCTGCCTTGGCACGTGCGCTAACGTTTAAACTTTGGCAGACGCGCTAATCTTCCGCTCCGCAAAAAGGTTCTCTCGCTTTCAAACGAGCTTTGCAGACAGACGCCACGATGCCGTCTACACATAACGCCGAGAAGCCATGGGATACTGACGATATCGACAAGTGGAAGGTGCGCGCAACAAACAGATTCTTCGATATTCCCTTCTAACTCATCACCTAGATCGAGCCCTTCAAACCCGAAGACAACACCGCCGGCCCCTTCACCGAGGAGTCGAGTTTCTCCACCCTCTTTCCCAAGTACCGCGAACAATACCTTAAGGGCTCTTGGAAATTTATCGAGTCGGCTCTGAAGAAACATGGCATCACTGCTACGCTCAATTTGGTCGAGGGCTCAATGACGGTTGCAACAACCCGCAAGACGTATGACCCGGCCGCAATCCTAAGCGCGCGCGACCTTATCAAGCTGCTTGCGCGTAGCGTACCTGCCCCGCAGGCGGTCAAGATCCTCGAAGACGACGTGGCTATGGATATCATCAAAATCAGGAATCTGGTCGGCAACAAGGACCGCTTCGTCAAGAGGCGGCAGCGCATCTTGGGACCGAACGGCTCTACGCTGAAAGCGCTCGAGCTGCTGACAGAGTGCTATTTGCTTGTGCAAGGCAACACGGTCGCGGCTATGGGCCCCTACAAGGGCCTGAAGACAATACGACGCATTATCGAGGACACCATGCATAACGTCCACCCCATTTACGCCATCAAAGAGCTCATGATCAAGAAGGAGCTTGCGAAAGATCCGGAATTAGTGAATGAGAGCTGGGACCGCTTCCTGCCCAACTTCAAGAAGCGTTCGCTTAGCAAGCGTAGAGTGCCTCACAAGGTCACCGACAAGAGCAAGAAGACGTACACCCCGTTCCCGCCGGCGCAGGAGAAGAGCAAGGTGGACCTGCAGATCGAAAGTGGAGAGTATTTCTTGGGCAAGCATGCGAAAGAGCGCCAGGCTCGAGAGGATCGCGACGCAAAGATGAAGGAGAAGATGGAGGACAAGCGGAAAGAGAGGCAGGCCGGGTTCGTTGCGCCAGAGGAGGATGGCGAAAAGAAGAAGAAGAAGCGGAAGCGCGAGGAAGGGGAGGACCCGGAGAAGAAAAAGAAGAGGAGTCCGAGAGGAGAGGCAGAGGAAGCATCATAGCGGTCACATCGCTCCATGACCAGAATAATAGTCGAATGTCCAGATGCCCAGTTTGGACACCTCGCGGTCAGAACAGCGCATTAGCGACTCCCCGACGGGATAGTCAGCATTCATCGGTGTTCAGGATAGTCACAAGGTTCAATACCCATTACATTTACTCTACAACTAAGTCGCATCGATTCGTTGAGGTTGTTGAGCAATCGACAGGGTGACGCGCTCGCTTGGCTGGCGTGGCCCTGACGACTCGTGTCTCGGACGGCACTTAGTCCGCGTTCATCACTGCCGATGACGACAACGCTTATCTCGACGTCGTTTGTCCTGCATGACCCTGCATGCTATCATCTGTACGAATACTCAGGATGTTTTCTCAGCCGCATTTTTACATGTTCGTGGTTGCGCTCTTAAACACGTTACACATAACATGTGCATATACTATCTTGGACAGCCAATGCTGGTCAGAGACCACCCTGCAGACGTCCTTTCTTCAGTCGCACATAAACACAACAATTGCCAGGACCATTGAAGTCGCGCAGTCTACCGTTAATGTCGCGCCTACATATTTCCATCTTCCCTGGCCCTGGTCCTACCCGCCGTTGTGCATCTCCCCTCTCTCCAGCATCCAGGCTCCTCTATGCGTCTTTACAAGCACTACCTTTGCATCCGGCCGTGGCATATCAATTGTCACGACACCGGAGCTAGCGGCTCATGTTGCTTCTCTTCCCGCCTTCACCAATCCTTCCCTTCTTAAGACTGATAAAACCAATGAACGCAGCGACAAATGGTTCACATCCAGCATTCCGAACAAAGGCATCGGAACCCTTGCCCTCCACGACCTCGCTCCAGACACCCAGATCCTGCGATACACTCCGGCCTTCGTCGCCTACCTCGAAGCCGACCTCAGCACCCTTGCCCGCGAAGCCCTCTGGCACACAGCTGTCACCCGCCTGCCTCCCACAACCCGCTCATCTTTCCTTAGCCTCATGTATATCTACGGTGATCCTCGTGTGCGTATCCAGGACATCACAAAGGCAAACACCTTTCAGCTCAGCATCGGCGGCACAAATCATCTCGCTATTTTCCCTGAAACAAGCCGGCTGAACCACGACTGCGCCCCCAACGCCCAGTACGTTCTTGACCCACTGATGCTAACGCACACTGTGCACGTCACTCGTCACGTCCCAGAGGGCGCTGAGATCACCATCGCGTACACGAGTCCTCTCGAGAAATCAGCAGTTAGGGCCGAGCGGGTCGCAGAGGGATTCCATTTTGCATGCGGGTGTGCGCGATGTGAGGATGCAGAGCGGTCGGACGCGGTGTTGGCGCGGGCGGCGGAGCTGCAGGCGCAGCTGAATGACTGGAGTGGGAAGTCCGAAGCGACACCGGCGATGGCAGCGGAATTGGTGCGGATGTATGTTGACGAGGGGCTGGAGGGATTTCTGGACGTACCGTTTGGGTTTGCGGCGTTGGCGTGGAATGCGGTGGGGCAGACGGGGGAGGCGAGAGTATGGGCTGCGAAGGCAAAGAGGGCAGTGTTGAGGAAGGATGGGGAGGGGGCCGAGGCGCTGAGGATCTGGGATAGCTTGCTGGCAGATGCGGAAGCGCATTGGAGTTATAAACGGCGGTTGTGAGACTTTACCGAGAGGCGGGTTATCAACCGCAAGTACTGCACCAAGATATATTTGGCCATTTGGCCTCTTTATGGGATCCTATTTTAGCATTCAAACTAGTCTTCTTATGCCCATCCATAAAGGGTTATCAAGGACCAAATTCGCCTCCTTGCACCCCAGGAAGTGTTGCAGCCTGGCTAGAGTTGGACATGACTAAATTTACATAGTGACCAGTACACCTTCGTCAAAGACTTACTGACAGATCAAATCATGATGCTTTTTGGGGCGATTGCTTTCATAGCATTTGCCAGATCGTTCCTGCTGTGTCGAAGAAATCCTGGTTGCTATGAAGTACGTCAATTCGCCATGGACGCTTCGATACCTCCAATTCAATATGATGAGCGAGCTTGATCAGTGTCTGGCCGAACAACGAGCAGCTGCGCCCAATCTGGTTCACGATTAAAGCTTCGATTCGCCGAGCATCAACATTCGGCTCTTCTCGCGCCACCTTTGCAGAACGGATCTTCGCGTTGTTGTGGATGGAAATATGTCCTGATCGATCACCTGCGGACAACGACTCGGAGCGCTTTTGGCTGCACCTGGAACTATCGCCAGTCTTGTTTCATCCGTGTTTTGTATGCAGATCATGACACTGTCGAGGCCATACGGAAATTAGTATGAGCAGTCGTAGGTACGCATAAGACAATTAGGATGTGTACCCGCCACGGAACGACGCCCACTACTACCATACAGCGCACGGGGGTTTTTTAAAAATCGTTATATCAAGATTTTGGTTTTCAACATATGTCTGAGCTATGTTGAGACCCTGTTACAATATGCTGGACATATGTTGAAAACCAAAATCTTGATATAGCGGATTTCAAAAACCCCATGCGCGCGCTATGGTATGATGAAGGGAGTTTTGGGGCGTTGTCGGCACGTCAGACGACCGCCCTTGCTTGAGCCACAGCTAGCATGTCAAATCTGTCGGAAGCCTGGATTTGAACGTCACTCAGCTGTCGTGCTAACAGTATGTCAGAGACAAAAGGGTAATAACATAGCTATCTAGTAACATGAGGGTGAGTTTGGGTGGGGTCCGCAGGCGTCATCAGATTGTGCAGACCCCGGGTTCTCTCAAAACACTGCTACAGGTTGCGTAGAATGCCTACATTCGTACTTGTGTGTACCTTAATTCTCTCTATTTTGATAAAAAAGCTCTTCCTCGCTAGAGGACGAGCGCGATGTATGTTGATCTACTCTACTTGACCGTACATATTACGCAGATTCTAGTTAACGAGGCGAGTTATTGGTTGCACTGGCATACGGCGAGACCCGCTTAATCTCTTTAGTACGGCAAAGCGGCAAAGCGGCGAATCTTACTGTAATATAATAGGGTAAGCGTGCGTAAATAAGCTTTACGGCGTCCTACACCAAGTAATGTTGTTGTGCACCTTCCTAATGGAGTCTTTCGATACACAGCCTTGCACGGCTAAGCCAATTTTGGTCTTATGTGCCCAAGAATTCGAAGAGGGCTGATGACCCACATAAAGACGCTTCAGCCCTTGAGCTTGTAAGACTTGCACCTCGTTGTCACACCTAACGTTGTATCATGCAAAGGCACCACTGCAACGATCCTAATCGACATACGACTGGCATACTTCTCATTGGCGCATTTACTGTTCACTGTCTACGACTACTATACGGGCAGTCATGAGGTGCAGTGTCTTTATATTCTTCGCGGCACTCGCACAGTCCGCGCTCGGACAACGCGGCTTTGGCGACCCCCGTGAGACTACAGATTGCATAGCGTGGTTTGAAGTCCAGGACGAAACTGAACAGACGTGCGAATGGACACTGCGAAAGTACGCCCTTGACCCTGAGCGCTTCTCTGCCTGGAACCCTTCCGTCGGCCTGGACTGCAAGCCTTGGTACCGAGGGAGATACTGCATCATGACCAACAATTATCTCGCCGACAGCGTCAACACTACCACGTTGTACCGAAGTGATCCGCTTGAAGGCACTTTCACCGTTGCCTTCCCAGCCCTTACCACCAACAAAGACGGCTGGGAGATCCCAGTGACGCGTAGCGACGCTCCCGCAAGGACTTACAGCACGCGGGCTCCTATTCCATCACCCTCTACCTGGACAGACAAAGGCTGTTTCATCGACGATAAGAGCTCGCTCAAAATCCGTCAGAATGAATCAGCCTGGATTCTGGATTTCCTCACGTTCCCCGGCCTCGGCGGCCGGCCTGACGAGACGTTGGACACGTGCAAACAGCAATGCTGGGAGATCAAATTCCCCATTGCCGGCGTCAAGGAAGGAAATCTCTGCTTTTGCGGGGATAGAAATAATGGTACCCTGGCGGAGGATCAAGGCGAATGCAACACGCCTTGTGCCGGAGATGCAAGCGTAATGTGCGGTGGCACTAATCGCACGAGCGTCTGGGAGGCGGAGGACTACGTGCAGAGTACGGCTGCTGTGAGCACGACAGTGGGATCGGGGTTCGGCGATAGACCAGCGTCTCAGACGAGTGGAAGTGGAGCAGCAGGAACGGCAACATCTGGAGCACGAAGACGCGCAGTAATGTTTTGGCAAATTTGACGCGCAGGACTGACTGAAACAATTTATTTTTAGCATATATAGGACTATAGTAGAGCTGCTTAAAGCTATATTATGTTGAGCTTGTCAATCTTAGACAGTAGGTTATCTCAATACTATAGAGTAGTAGTGTGGGGATAGAGAATCTAGTCTTTCTACCCCTGACAGGGCTCCGCACTATTATTGTATATAGAATCTAATTCTCCCCTTTGCCCTACACACACGCATCCTATAACTATCTAGCTAATTAGGGTGTGTAAGTACCTAATCTGTAACTATAATAGTATATTATACTAATATAGAGGGTAGTTAGCGCCTATTAATAAGCACCTGTATTAGTTTTAACGCTCTAGAGACTGCATTTAATCTAGCCTAGACTAGCAAATAGGTTTAGGGTACCTAGCGTGGCCCAAAGAAGAGAGAAAAAGGGAAAGAGAGTAAAGAAGAAGGAAGTAAGAAGAGAAGGGAGAGGTAGAGGAGAGAGCGAGAGTAGTAGGAAGAAGGGGGAAGAAAGTAGGAAGATAGAGAGAGAAAGTGAGAAGAGAAGGTAAAGGTATAAAAGGGGGGAGAGAGTAGAGTAAAAGTGCAAAGTAAGAGTATAAGAAGAGAAAGAGCGCGTAAGAAGAGAAAGAAGAGAAGAAGTATATTTTACGAGGAGAGAGTATAAGAAGAGGGGTAGAGAGAAGGGTATAGAAGAGGAATAGAAGAGGGGAGTAGAGTAAAAGTATAAAGTAAGAGTATATGAAGAGAGAGAGAGTGCGTAAAAAAGAAAGAAGAGAAAAAGTATATTTAAGGGGGGGGAAGTATAGAGAGGAGAGTAGAGAGAGTAGAGGGGGGGGGGGGGGGGGGGGTAGCAGGGTAGAGAGAGAGGAGAGAGAGCAGAAAGAGAGAGAGAGCAGAAAGAGAGAGAGAGGAGAGAGAGAGAGAGAGGAGAGGAGAAGAAGAGAGGAGAGAGAGAGGAGAGAGAGAGAGAAGAGAGAGAGAGAGAATAGAGAGAAAGAAGAGACTGTAGCTTCCTCGAGGACGGCTTTTAAATGAGTGTGGTATGGGGCTTTCTCCCAATATTCTGAAAACTTTAATAGAAAACTTAACAGTCGATATGCTATCCTAAATCTAAAAATGAAAACAAACATGTTACTCTAGACACTGTGGTCGTGAGACCAGTTGACCTTCTTAAACTCCCTGAGATAATGGACTTCTAGACTCAAACGATTGACTCAACGTAACGATGTGGGCCGTCATGTCCAGGATGGCTTTCACTAAACAGCAGAAGCATCATGTGGGCTTGCGATGAGAGGGAGTAGATTGCTTGGCTGGATTAACAGGCACAGGTCCTGGCTGTCGAGTCGACGAGCCTGCAGACGATGACACCGGTGTTGACGCGTTCGCAGGCTTCTTCGGTGGATGCTTCGCGTTCCATTGTCGCTCTTCCTCGTCAGCCGTTGCAGCTAGTTTCTTGGCCTGTTCCGACTTGTTCTGCAGCTCGGCATCGCGTGCATCAACTCTCAGCTCTTGCACGTGGCGTTTGTGCCGCTTCTCTGCCAGCTTCTTCTCGTACTGTGCGATCAGCTTCTTGTTGCGTGTGGCCTCTGGGAGGGCCTTTTCTTTGTTGATGGCTGTCGTGTAGTTCCCGACGCTGGCTTTCAGCTTGGATAACTCGTCTTTGAGAGCGACCAATTCAGCATCTTTAAAGTAAATATGTTAGTATTATGATAGCAGGTGGTTATGTATGTGGCAACGAACCTGCTTGGACATTGGGAGCAGCTGAATCTGCCATTAGTACCATTTCTTTTAGAAGATGGTACTTGGTGATCGAGCGAGCACCAATTATCATCTCGCACTGTGTCGACGTCGACACGAGAAAGCGCATACGATGGTAGCGGTTCGTACTGGTGTTGTTGTGCCATGACAGCCGTATGACACCCTCAAAGGCTATATGTTCCCCACTCAGTGTGGTACTGCCAAACCTTTCTGTCTCACTGAGTGGCTCATAGTCTGACTCGGTATAGCCCAGGTCTTCAACTAGTCTTTTCGAGACGATGTTGCTCTGGAAGCAGCCGGTGTCGAGGAGGCAACGTGCCCTGTGGTAGTCATTACTATTGTGCTTGGGCGAGATCCAGACATCTTTAATGAAGGGCGATGCTTCACGGTCAAACATCTTTCAGGTTAGCCTCGACCAAGGATTCAACAAGAACACTTACTCTATCATCAGGCACATCTAGCTGACTGACTACAACAAGCTGCTCGAAGCTTTGCGTGCCTTTCCTGGGGCTGAGAAAGCCTTTAAAGAACATCCAGCGACTCAGCTTCTGACGAAGCTTGAATGTCTGGTGTCGACGTTCAAGGGTCTTTCTAAGCTCGGGATCCGCCTCCGATTCTTCGACGATTGTTTGGCGTGACTGCGAGGATCGATGCGACGGAACAGGAGATGTTGATCGATTTTGAGAGAGCTCGAACGGATTTACCGAAGGCGCGGCGAGGAGTCCATCAGGCGAAGTCGGCACAGCCCCTGGTCAATAGCTGTCAGTTGATGGCCAATGCTTATGATATAAGTGGCCAATACTTTGCGCTTGGAAATCAGCCATCGCGGCACAATGTAGCCTCAGTGGTTGTCGAGTTCTGTGGAACCAGAAAGGCGCGAAAATGAAGCGTGCAACCGGCGGCGCATGTCCGTTGAGTTGTCAGAGCGATAGGATTATATGTGCACATCCGCCCCCAAGGCTCGCGGTAGGAAAGTCATGTGCGTGATCTCAGCCCCGAGGCGTTCGCCCTCGAGATCAATATTCGTCCTTCAGTGTGTGAACGCTTAAGCACCACCCGGATACTGAGGTCAAAAGCGGCTCGCGAAGTCCGCGGTCGCTGCAAAATCCGGTGCGGCACTCGTACCCCGGTAGGGAACAGGTGTTTGCCAGAGATAAGCCTGAACACACTTGGGGGCGATGATGATCAGCCACGGGGGTCTGACGGTAAAGTGACCAGGGCGTGGTAAAGCGAAGACGCCCGCAACGAGCTGGGCTCGTCCAGCGGCTCACCAGTAATGTTTCGCGGGCTTTTGTTATTTGCAACGCTTATCAGCGTACACAACCAATATCACACCTGCGCACGCATTTGCTGGAGCTGTATGGATCGCCTCGACCTGGAGTCCATGCATATTCCTATCCGCTCGGGTGTGTGCTGCCCAATCTTTGAGCCTTGAACATTTCCCGCTGTGACATGGCCTTCCTAAACAACTGACAGTAGAATTGTGCTGGAAGATTGTGGGTGGCATCGATCCTGTGAATTTCAGTCTGATTGGGGGGTTGTATGCGCGCGCTACCAGGTAAATGGGCTCCTGCGCGGTTAAACACGGGCGCTGTAGGACGTCGCCCCCCACCTCCACGTTGTCGCGTCTGACTTTAGCTCGCGAGACAACAAGGCAACAGGGCAACGTAAAGCTGACGGGTTGGGTAGAGGGCTGGCGCCCTGGTGTCGCAGCTACAGGGTTCAATCTGACATGCATGTCAGCAAGGCGCAGTCGTGTTGCCGCGAACGGTGAGACACAGCCCCAAGAGTGCAAGCGAAGGCGTGGAATCTGAACAGGATGCGAAAATATGACAGACATTCATCGAAAATGTCAGTAGCTCCCACATTCGCAGAGCCTCAGAGACTTACGGTAGACACCTGCCCCACCGAGCCCGCTACGAGTAAATTTACCACACTTCGATCGCGCGAAGATGCCGGTATATTCGACTCAGCTTCGTCTCGTTCCTACACAGAAGTTATGATCGCCTCGCGAGCCGCCCATCTCATCGCGGAGGTCGAGTATTGCAGCTGCAAAAGTATGATGAGACGCTACTGGACCTTGTTGCTGTCTTGGACAATGAGAGCCGAGAGGCGACCAGCTCGCTCGTGCGCACTTGGGTGTTAACAGTGAAAAGATGATGTGCAAATCCAAGGAAGAAGGGCTCCTTATCATCTCATAGCAGTAGCAAAACGGTCAAACCCAGGTGAAAGCGGAGATGCTTACATTCCTGACCAGACCGTGAGCATCTCACCGGCATCCGCTTGCGCCTTCTGTCGGTCGTTCATGCGGATGCAGTTCGATACTTCAAAGATGACTTCCATTGCGGTCGCGCGATTGGAGGTTTTCTGCTTGCATGCTGCATCGGCATGCAGCTGAAGATGCAGACCCCTCTTGCTGCATGCACCTCGAGGCAGGCGACGAGTCGCAAGCTGATTGCAAGAACGGCTGATCATCTAGAACATCGACTATCATGCCGACGTTCATTTCTCTTATATCTTACTCTAGCTTGCTCTGGTGGGAACAGCACTGACGACTAATGAACACCATGGCCTCCTCACGGCAGTCCGGCTCGAGTGCACGATCGAGCGAGACCACTGCTATTGACTTCGATTCGCCACGACCAAGTCCCACGATGGCAGAGAACTTCGAACAGCGCAGGGATTCCTGCGGTCCACAATCGTCGCTCCCAAGAAGTACCGCACAGTCTTCAGTCTCAACCCTCCCCAGGAGCCTATCAGAACCATACCAGCCTAAAGATCGCCATGGATGGCCGCGTCTTGCTGATATTATGGCGGAGGTACCTTCGTTTGCTGCCTTCCCAAGGTTCAGGGATTTGAACATGAGGAACTTGCTCTTTTTCAAGGTGCAGCTAGACATCTTACGAGAAGATATCTTGAAGATGGAGGATGAGCAGTTGATCGACATGGAACGTTACGATACGATTGTTAGAGGCGACAACCCAGAGGACCAAAGGTATCAACATATGCTGCTTGAACTGCGCGAGTTACTGAAGAGCTATAGTAAGTGGACTTGCAGCTCATCGCGATTCATCTTCTAATGGTCGTCTATATAGATGATACGTTGCTTCAACATTCTCAAGTATCAGCTCTCCCGAACCCAGAACCTCATAACATGCGTTCGCTTCGCAAGTGGATTGGCAGCGACAAAGATCTGGAGGTTTTAACTCGCACAGGAATAGATACGACCTGGGGCGAACCCGAAGAGGAAAACTCCCTTCGAAGCCATGTGCGCTCTGTTCTTACAGCGTTGTTCCAAGCAAAACCTTCAACTGAGTTTGGAAAGGATCTGGTCGTCACCCATCCAGAGGGGAAGACCGATGGGCTTACGAAGTGGATCGTATATAATCTCATGCCTCTGTACTGGAGACTTCGAGATGCCCCAAGGGCAAAGAATCCATCCAAGCCACCGATCGAACTCGAGTTGCGCAACCTCGAAGCTCAGCAACAAGATCCTGAAGCTCTGCAGGACAGAGAAAAGCCGAACGCCCCAAGACAACGCAGAGATCCTGAGACCCTGGAGACGGTCTCAGAGGCAACTGCTTTTCGGTTCACCTCAGCTCTATCTACAGTCATTGCGAGCTTGACACCCATTATCGCCATCGCTGTTCTTTCGCAGTTATCAGGCACGCGCGATCTCCTCCTGTGCATTACTGGCTTTGCGGTAATCTTCGCCATCCTCCTAATATTCCTGACCCAAGGTACCTCCTCAAGAACAGAGATATTTGCAGCCACCGCAGCGTAAGCATGAGAATTGTGCTTGATAACCCCAACATGGCTGCTAACGTCCTGACAGGTTCTCCGCCGTCCTCGTTGTATTTATCTCTGACCCGCCAATCAATATAGAGATACTGCCTGGTACGGATAGGCTTACGGTCGGGACTTAATTGTACCAAGATTCACGAAGAAATTTGGTTTATCCATAGACAAACATCATCTTCATTATGAAAAGAGTGCTCGATTGCTTCGCCGTCTAAACAAATATCATTGAAATCTTTTCTGTGATTGATAAGATCGAATTTCATGGAATATGATGTAGGGTGCCCGTAGCAAGGCATTCACCCAAAGGCTGCACGCTCTGAGGTGGGATCTTAAAGGCCGTCAAAACTCTCTGTCAGCACTGCCGGCGATGCGCTCTAAGGGGTGTTTGGCGTGTCGGAGTTCTAGGACAACGGGCACAAAGATGAAGGCCGACACAGTCTTCCGGCGGAGGAATCGGCGCGTCACCGGCCTCGCATGCGGTACTGAGCCTGGTCGCTACTACCTTATTGCTCGACATGTCTGCGAAGTCTGGTTAAAATACGACTGCGTCGTTGTTGGCAAGTGAGTTGGTGATGCAGAGCCATTGTCGAGGCGACACGGCTGAGGCCGCGCACGTGCCCTTGAAAACTTAACCAGACCTACGTGTCGATCCCGGTGCGCGATCCCTTCTTGTGTCTGGAACGACGCAAGCCGAATTTAAATGTCACTGTGCCGAACGAATGACTACGATTGCTGGTCGCCCTCTTACCTGCAACTTCATCATGCTTGCATGGGACACGCCGTTGTCGCAGGGAGCGGGTATCTGTGGGTCCAAAACGAGCAAACTATGACTGTAATTCGTTGAGAGAAACCCACAACGGTCCGACCCCTTCAAGTGTACGGCCAAGAAATCAAGCTTTTCATCGCCCCCCTATTAGTACATGGCCACAGAATCAAGCTTTTCGGGTACTTGATGACAGGAGCTTCGACCAGACTGCCAAGGATCTTCCCTCAGCTATCGATTTGTAGACAAACATCCTCACAATCCGGGCTAGGCATGAGTCGAGCCCGGTCATAACAGCGTGAAGCTATGATCCGGCTCGGCTGACCCGAGGCAGCTGGGCTTGATCAGGTAAGGTGCCTACTGCTATATGAGTGCGATCCATTCTGATACGAGCTTAGGTAGCGGCCTTACAATCTTAGGCCAACCCTAGAAAGCGCTCGGCATGCCCTCGATGTCTTGTCCTCCGTAAGCTCTTGTGCACGCAACACAATGGCTTTTCAATTCGGGACTCAGACAACTTTGAGTGCCAACTACACCTCTACCTGGAACTCGAACTCCACCGACCCCTGTAGGGCGCATGGCAACGGCAATTCTCCTCCGTTGAAGGTCGTTGGCTCAGCCTACATTGCCATCGGTCCCATCTCCGATTTTGCATCAGTCGTCCAATCCTGCTGCCCCAACCAAACCTCCAACGCGATACAAAACTACAACGGCGGTCCTGCGGCACAGTCATGCTACTACTACTGCGCTTTCAACGGTACATTCCAGGACACAAAACTGTCGTTGGACTGCACGAAGAAGAAAGCAGAGGATAACGGCGAACATGATGTGCTTCTTTGGGCTGCGAGTCTGGACTGGCCAGGAAAAAGTGTAGGAGTGCAGTTGGGTGCTAAGATTGGACTTTGGAAGTGGACTGTGTTGGGGTTGGTGATTGTTGCCGTTGCTAGGCTGTAGCTGCGAAGGTCATCAGGTCTCAAATTTGTGATTGTTTCGAGATCCTTCAATAGTCCAGTATGATAGCAGCATCACCTACCAGTTAAGAGCGCAGGGTTGTCAGGTATGCAACTCTATGTGTTGTAGTTTGCACAGGTCAACAAGCATACGAATCGGATATAAGCCCTGGATATTTTACATTTCTTCACTTCTGCCCCTCTGCATACATGTCCCTGGTCGTACTCTCGTTGTGTAAATCTTCAGACAGACCCGCTAAGCGGCTTTGGAAATGACAAGACGCCAGTGTCGTGTCTCGAGCCAGCATACCGCCTACAAATGCTGAGTCGCCGGGCGTGGTCATCAAAATCAGCAGTCGCAGTCGTGACAATAGCGACGACAACGATTCGACTAATTGGCAATTTGCCGGCCTTGTTGGGTAGAGGATCAGGATCCTCACTTGGAACGAGCTCAGGTGGGTACCATCTGCCGCCGCGACTGCCTCCAGAATGCCCGCTATACAGCTTCCCACTGAGCCTTCCGAGCTCGAATAATTGTGTCTACGCAACCTGTTGTATCTTGTGCGGCATGTCTATCTGATCGCGACCTCCCATCGCTATCTAAGCCGGCCATCGGCACCAATGTCTTGGCATTCGGTACACTAAGAACAACACAACGGAACCTTCACTTCTGACCTTGTTTATGGACGAAGCACCGCGTCACTTGCACTGGATTATTTCACTTGCGACCTCATTCTGCCTTGTATATAGTCCCGCCAGCCCGCCCATCATGCGCTCACCGTCTCACCACAATGACTTGTGCGCACTCATGCTAACAGGTCCCCCAAGTTTAGCCAGCTTGCGAAGGCTACCTGACGAGGGTTGTTGGGTCTCTGACCGCGATTTCTACGCTTGGTTACACGACATCAGTCTGCCATCTGAAGCCGCCGCCGCCGCAGTCATGCCGTCAAAGATACCTCAGCGCGCCGGCAATGCGCACATTGCACCTGACATCAACGCACTTGCGGGCAGCTTCAAGAGCCTTGGGCTCTTGACGACACATCCTGGGTCAACAACAGCGATCACACCAGCCAGGCTGTCAGCCATGACAGTTCAGAGTCCACAAATGCGACAGATGCAGCCATGTATACTGCACACTCAGGCTACCTTTCGAGTTTGTCACAACTGGATACATTCATCAAGAAGTCAGCAAGGATTGAGGCCGCAAGGCTAAATTGGTTTTCCAGGAAACGGAAAGTGCTGTGGCAGGCCCACTCCCCTCAACAGCGAGCATCAAATCGGCCCCCGCCAAAGCTGGAGCACCAAGCACAATTGGGAACAGTTCCAAAGTGGAGATGAAGCTTCGCAGCTCAATTCCCAAACGACCAGGTCCTCTCAGCGACTCGACCCGCAGATCTGCCCCTCCACATCAAAATCAGTCTCTATCCACTGCATATCTGACCTCAAGACAATGCCCCGAGGCGCAAAGCTCACGGAACATCCGGAAATACCTGACTTTCCGCCCCTGCTCCATAGACTTATTTCCGAGCTCGAGAAAATCCGCCGACGTGCGAATTTTATTCCTCAAGAATTCAAGGACTCCTTGGAGGTCAGGGCGCATATCAAGTTGGTTGATGATGACGATTTCAACGAACTCACAGTCTTTACCAAACAGCCAAACCATATGGAATATTTCAACCTCAAGCTTGAATTCACGAACATGATGCAAGTCCTGGTCGCATCTCGAAGCATGAGTAATAAGGGTTCACTTGAGAATTGCTGGAACTATTCTGTGCACTTCAAGCTATTGGATCAAGCCCAGGCCGCCTTTGCAAACCTGGTTGTCGAAGGTGTCGCCCAGCTCAAACCACAGACCCAATACCTCCCTACTGAAAACACGCAGCCTAAGCTCGTGGACTTCGCAGTGCGGTGGCAACCCGGTGATAGCGACGGAGGTCTGATTATCAGGCTTCTCAATCCTCAGCACCCGAGCATCAACCATGTCATTTCCGAAGATCAAGACTACAGGGAGTGCCCAATGGTTATTCCCATCGAAACCAAACGACGCAATGGCGATCATGCCCAAGGTTTTGCACAACTCACACTCTGTGCGATGGCTCTTTTCAAACGCTTGCGCCATTTCTCAGGCGAAAAATCCGTGGTTTCACTTCCTATTCCCATGCTCATGGTTCTCGGTGATCGATGGTTCTTGTACTTCGCGATCGATGGTTCAGAGAACACCAAGATTCTTAGCTTTGGAGAAATCGGTGATACAAGCGATCTGCAGAAACTGTACACGCTTTTGAAATCAATCAAGGCCCTGTTCCGGTTTGTTCAATATCTTCGGGTTCCCGAATATAGGAAGACGGTCCTATGTTCAACTACGAAGGGTTTTCAACTACTTTTGGATCCCTGTTGAACATTTGGCCCTTACACTTTAGGTATTCAATTCTGTGCACTCCAGTCTTTTATTTCGCTGACATGAGGAACAGTAGCGAGAGGAAATGTATTTTGATGGAGAGAGACGCGAGGTTCTAAGTCGGGAAGACATCACGCGGGTTGGTGTGCTTATTGGAAGTATGTTACGAATAGAACTTTCCGCCAGGGCACCGGCGAAAGCTATCGTTGAAAATCCTTGTTTTCAAAGAGAACAATGGATTGGTAACAAGACTTCGTGTCTCAACGGCAGGTGGTAACAGCTGAGGAGCGTAAGAGTCTCTCGTCTCTCCTCACGTGCAGATCCTCTGTGCACTTTGACCACGCTTGAGGAGGTTTCGATTGCGCTCGCGCGATCGTCGTCTCGGGGTTGCAGAAGCCTGAAGGCCCAACAGAGGTCCAATGAGCAGAACACGGGACTCTTGCAGGCTCCGACCGTTGTGAGGGGCACGTCGCAGTGGGCGGCGAGGCAAGAGAATTGTGGTCTTTGAGGGCGGGGAGCGCCGAGCGCCCAGTATTCACTTGATGGCTTGCCAAGAGTCCTGCTTACATAAGTCACGCTCCACAGCATGATCATCTAATCTCCATTTCTTGTCCCTGCCATTTCGCGTTTGACATTGTTCTGTAACGAGACTCGGCTTGACGAATTAAGAATAGTTCTTTGCTAAATAGGAAAACAATACTTTGCAAATGCAGTACATGCAGAGAGCTAGCCAATCCTATTCGACGGGGCAGGACTCTCAGCTCGCCCCGAATGACGATCGCGCCCAGAACATGAAGCCCACCAATAGCCTTTAGTTCAGCCTGTAAAGTAAGACTGCCACACCACACTCGCACAACCACAATGCCGCGACTCAGCCAGCCTTGAAATCTGAACTCTATGGGATCACAATACTCCGGTGCCAATTTGTTCTAGTATAGCCTCCCATCGCATGCGATGAGCCACTTGGCAGCTGACGGTACCTGTTCTGCCATGCAATTTAGGCCTGCACGACAGGTACTGCTGAATGCCGCGTGGCTCACCGTATGTGGCAAGAGGCTGTGCATTAAAGTGATATATGGTGACCACAGGATTAGAGCGGTTGATGCTCCGTTGGTGTTGTTAAATCTCAGCGTTACATTCTCAGCTTCCAATATGCCGCATCTGTATCACAGCGAGGCCGGGAACAGTAATTACAGCGATCATGTGTATAGCAGCTTTAAGTCACAACCATGGTGGCTTGCGTTCTCTGAAGATTAGACTAACACTTGGATCTGCTTGGCTAGATCATCAGGACAGAGACATGAAGATGCGCATGCATATGTCAAACGAAACCAGACACGCTAAAGCCTCTGATTTATGTATATAAGCGGCGATTGTCCACACAAGAAGACAGCGCTCGACCGAAACCATCAAGCTTGATCTTGAGATACTTTTCCAATACCCGACCTCGATCGATATCATCTTCACCATGAGAACCTTCATCATGCACACGCCTGATAAGTGGTTCGCTGCCGTGGCGCACGACCCAAGAACATTCTACTTCAATCCGCCCCTAGGGAACCAGCCTTCCAACGTCGCCGTTCGGCTCTTAGCTCAGAAGCTGAGGCAGGGAGAGGCTCATGTCATCCAAGCAATCGACGAAGGCCTCATCTTCAATGGCTACACGAAACCCGGCGAAGGGCTTACTCAATTATTGCCTACTGGCCGCGAGATTTGGAGGGATCTCTTCGAAAGCGCTTCAGAATTGTGGATTGCAACTGTTAGGGCCTGGGCTGGCAGGAGCTTGGCCACGGAAGGAACTACTGCTGCTAGAGATATTGAACTTGCGCTCGACGGCATCATCGCGCTAGTGAATGTAAGTCTCATAGCCGCAGATCCAACCCTTCAGCTGAATTGCAATGATAGATCAGTGGCGGTCCCAAATTACCCGTGTCTGACGAGGCAACCGCCGCTAAGGGTGCCGCAACGAGCAATGCTGTAGACACTCCACTGGATTTTTTCAGTAGGCCGGTCGCCCTGTTCGCTTCAAACAATGCCCCCTACAGCATTACCATCACCAATGCTGTCCCCGGCCAAGAGCTGACACTGAATGGTTGGCATCTTTTTGACAGCTGGCTAGTCACGAAGTCACAGTCTCCTCAAAGCCAGCCATTGCGCACGAACGATCCAGCATCCCTGTCTTGGTCATACTGGATGAGCTGGGTTGTTAGTGGGGGCATCATGGGCTTCTACGATGGCTGGATGTCTTACAGACTACCGAACGGCAAATGTTTTGGGGTTCGGATTCATGTTCCCACCCAAGTTGGACCAGGAATCGGCACTCGCCCGAGCTACATGACTTCAACGACCGCGGATCTTAAGCTCCTGAACGGCACTGATAGCGTTTGGACCTTCCATGATGAGCCGTCCAAGCCGTATTACTTTACAGAGGCTGAGGTTGGGAACTATCAAGTTATTATAACTCCTGCTTCGTCAAGCTCGTCACTCACGCTTGATGTTCAAGTTATGCCCAAGTAGAACATTATTCACATCGCTAGTCGACAGAGTAGCTAGCTAATACAGTGTTACTTTTTATACTAAGTATCTCTTTGATACTTTTACGTGATTGATGATTAGCACATGGGTACTGCACTGAGTTCTGAGTAACCATGCCCACTAGATGACCGAAAACAGTGGAGCGTTAGCAAATAATAGACTAATTATCTTCTCCTCCTGCCTGCTGCGCGAGAAGCCGGCGTAAGCTGGTCTAGCTGTGAGCAATAAGCGCTCCTCCGCTGCGACGTCTTTGTTTTTGTTGATGTACCCAGGGCTCGTTACAACATGGATGCTCAAAGCTGTGCACTACTGGGCACACGCTTGTATTTCACTCTCGCACGAATATTTGCGTCCCTCTGCAACGGGCTCAAGTTCTCTAACTCCTCGCTCGGGACCACCATACGAGCATGTTTTGGATCTGTGACATCAAGCACAGCAAGAGCGACGTCTAAATGCGTTACAGGAATGGCTTCCTCTGTTCTTTTCCAGCTTCCAAGACCGAGATTCTCGTGGGCTAGACGGTGTAATTGTAAGGTAGATTCGGCGAGCCATGCTGAATGTGCGTATGCGAGTTTCTTGGATGAAAGCGCTGGAAATCTCAGCAAGAGGCTGATGATGTCTTCGAGAAAGGTACCGATCAGCATTGTCAAGCCGCCTCCGATGAGCACAGCGCCAAGCGACCAGGCGCTGAAGCTATAGTATCTTGAGGACATCACTTTCTGTGGATAGTTAGCTTAACGTTCCGCCGTCATATTGGGTAGTGGTGCATATGCCTGACTATGACAGCCTCTTTGGCAGTGGTCTTCAGACCCACAGAATCTGCCCCCGCCCATCCATGAACCCTTGGCAAAATCCAACGTCGTAAACTGCATGAGGGCTAGGCTTGCCTTGAAATAGTTCTCTTGTTCAATCTGCCACTGATCGACGGGCAACGCAGCCACTTGTGCATCGGCGACGAGGGACTGTCTCGCAAGCAATGATGGCTTTGTGGGCAGTTTGAAAAGCAAACCGGTACTGAGAAAGCTCAAAATAGGTCTGATCATGGTCTGGTCCTTTTCATCTGGCCATATTGAGGGCAATACGTCTGACTCAGTCTCTTGGTCTGCTCCAAGACGCTGTGTGTGCTGGTCGACGCAGCCAACGTCAGTGGGCAAGTCGGGGTTGCAGAAGTAGGCCTGTGAAGCACAACCCACCACAGCACCAGGGATATCAGACAGAAATATCGGAATGCCATCCAGATCTTCATCAGATCCTCCTGCGATTCTGTCCGAAGGGCGCATCGTGGCCGAAAACCATGGATCTTCCGTTCGTTGTAGATGCTGTATTCCAAACCCGTCAAGTAGGTGAAGACTCACATCAGCGTGAGGATGATACAGCTCGCTGATTATCTTTGACGATTTAAGGTGAAATTCCCAAGTGCTGTTGAGCTGTCAGCGTTGTAAATTAGAATTGTGACACACCTGTGGCACTTACATCATGATATACTCATCGCTCTTCATGAACTTCTCGTGAGTCGGAACTTCCATTATGAAGGTAGTGTTTCGGCCATCTCTGGGGCCATAGAAATATCCCACAAGGCTTCGCGACGACGTGCCCTGTAAAGTTACCGTCTCTGTACAGCCCTTGGTCTCCAGTGGCGCACAGTGCATTCGATGGTGGACAGTGAACCGGGGACCATCATTGAGACCAAGATGCTCAACAGAGTCAATACCACTAGTATCTAGAAGTAGATTGTCGTTTGCAAGCTTACAGATCTTCTCTTGAAAAGGGCAGGATGCATGTGGATTCGCCTGATGAGGTAAGCTCTGTGATATGAACATGTAACACGCCCCTTTCTTTTGATTGTAATATTGAGCCGCATATGTTGAAGATTCAAGTACAATCCGACTTATGTGAGGCGCGACCGTGCTTAAAAAGTTGACATCGTCAGTAGAGTTGTCCCACTGCAATTGACCGCAGTCTGGGCTAACTATCAGCACCTCACTAGTTGAGTTGGTCAACAATCTGGACGAGAATACACCTGTAGCTCTATCGATTAACGATGGTCATCATATCATAGATTGTGCTCACCTGCTGCTGCGAATTTCGCAGATACCGCCAGTCCCAGAGCGGCAACTGGGATTGTTCTTTTTCGTGCATTTGTGGCTCTGTTCCACCAGACTTTGCTTGCCCATAACATTGAAATAGCTGTATCGATTGGCAAGGCAGTATTTCGGAGAAGGATCTGTCTTTGTTGATGCAGGCCATCCTGCAGGTGGATTGTTGGGGTCGCATAAGTGGTATGAAGCATGAAAGAAATGATCTTTCAAATACTGCTTGAAGCAGCGGTGACAAAGAGCGCGAGGAAAGCAATTAAAAGACCTCCAACCTCGTGGCTAAGTGTAAGACAGGCACCTCGGAGCGGGCCATAGGCTTGGTTCACCCAGAAGCCAGTGTAGATGTCGTTGCAAGACGAGTCATCGGATAGGGTGATTGCCATAGCTGAAGAAAAAACACCAGAGACTGCGGAGACAAGGAGGTATGGAAGAGAATTCGAGAGAAATGAAATAACTCTGCGCCGTCTATGTCTCAGCCTCGCGAACGTCTCTGCAGACGTACAGTTATAAATTTAGTATCTAGTTTCTTTAAAGGTTAGTCTATATACTTTGTATATATTAATACCTAAACCTTATCTATAATTTAGTATCTAAGTACTTATTAATAGCTAGTATTAGCCTAGAAGACTATCTTCTACTATACTTAAGTAAGCTATATTTTTAAGTATTTATTTTAGTTAGTAAAGCTACTTAGTATTTTATTAGCTTTAAGTATTTAATCTTTAGCCTCTTTTAAAAGTACTATTAAAAAAGTAATATTTTAAATAAAGTATATACTACTATAAAGATAGTAGCCTAAGTTAGTAAAGAATAAAGTTAAGCTAGTAAAAATATTTAAAGTATTACTTATTAAAATTTTTATAATATTTAAGTATTTTACTTAATTTTTATATATATAGAATTAATATACTTATATTAATAAGTTTTAAGTACTTAGTTTATAACTTTAAATTAGCTATTAGTTTTTAAATAGTATATAGTAGAAAGCTTAAGCTTAATACTTAAATATTAATAAACTTTACTTTAAAACTAATATATTATTACTCTACTTAATCTAATATAATAGTATAAAGTATCTTATATAAGTAAAAGAATAAATATATATTATTTAATAAATCTTTTAAATTCTTAGCCTACTATTTAAAAAAAAAAAGTCTTTTCTTATAAGCTAATTACTAATAACTAAGAAATTCTAGTATTTTTATTTATTACTAGTTAATAGTAGTAAGTCTTAGATATAATATAAAAATATAATTTTTTTTTAATAATTTTATTAATAAAGTATAAAAATAGAGGTATATTATAAAAAATTTATAAAATAAGCTAAGGCCCTCTATCTATAGTATAAAAGTTATTATATATATATTATAGTAAAGTATATTCTAAGAATACTTATATATTATAAATTATATATAATAATTTCTAAGAGCTTTAAAAATATAATATATTATATAAGCTATATTATAATTAAGTAGGTAAGCTTATATTTAGGTAATCTATTAGATAGACTACTATCCTCTATAACTATAAATAATATATATCTTAAATATAAAGGAAAGTATATATAGGTTATATAACCTTAGTTAGAGTAAGTAGCCTAGACGCCTTATAGAGCTTAAGTACCTTAGCTATAGTTCTTAAGACTTTAAGCTCCTCTACCTAACCTATAAGCTTAATTAGTAGCTATATAGTAGAGCTATATATAGGGTATAATAAGCTTATTTTTATATAATATATATATATATACCTATAAAGTTAACTTAATAATTATAAGTATAGCTATCTATAACTATAGATCTAATATATTAGATAGCTCTATAGAAGTTTAAAAAATTTTTAAGTCCCTAAACTATATTTAACCTATATATTATAAACCTAAGATAGAATATAGTAGAAGATAAAAGATAGAAGGATTAATAATACTTAAGGATAGCCTAGAGTTCTTTAAAAAGGTTAGTATTTATAACTAATAATAATATAACCCCTCCTATTCTAAAACCTTAGTAGAATACTACTATAGAATAAATTATATATTATTCTAAGAATCTTATAATATTATAATATGTCCTAATATTAGTATATTATAGAATACTAGAATATCTATAGAATATCTCTAAGTATATAGTAAGTAGGAATATAACTCTTATAGTTTATATTTAACCTAAGTATTAATCTATAATATTAGATCTTAATCTAACCTTTAAGCTAGATAGTCTACTCTATACTACTTATTATTACTCTTGCCCTTAAGATAGATAGATTATATCTATACTTCTTAGTATAAACTCCTCCTTTAGACTTCCTAATAGTATTTATTCTTAAGAACTAATTAAATAGTGCTTATAAGCTTTACTTAAAGTATAACCTTAATAGTACTAATATACTTAGTATAATATTATATAGGCTCTCTTATATAGTATAGTTTTATTATAAGTTATATAATAAGCTTACTTCTTAGTAGTTAAGCTAAAGTAGGTTCTATATAGAGCTTATATAGCTTATATTAAGCTTAGTAAGCCTAGCTTATAAAGCTTATATTAGGCTTAGTAAGCTACTATACTCTCTATAGTATATAGCAAGTAGGAATATAACCCTTATAGTTTATATTTAACCTAAGTATTAATCTATAATATTAGATCTTAATCTAACCTTTAAGCTAGATAGTCTACTCTATACTACTTATTATTACTTCTTACTCTTAAGCTAGATAGATTATATCTATACTCCTTAGTATAAGACCTCTTTAGTTTCTCTAATAGTATTTATTCTTAAGAACTAATTAAATAGTACTTATAAGCTTTACTTAAAGTATAACTTTAATAGAAAAGTACTATACTTTTATAGTATTTAGTATACTTTTAATAAGCCTTAAAAATCTACTTAAAGAAATAGTTTTTATACTAGGTTATACTTATAACTATAGTAGGTCTCTAAGGTAAAAAGCTTCTAGTTAATAGAATAATATAGATAAGAGAAGTTAGTAAAATAGATCTATAACTTTAGGAAAAGGATTAGCTCTAAGGGTTAGGTATATTAGGCCTTAGGGAGATGCTTTTAGTATAGAAGGGTACTAGCTATAAGGTAGGCACCTTTTAGTGCTAGGATGCTAGCACCCTTAGTAGGCTTTAGCTATCTAGTATATGCTTAATAACTAACTTAGAACTAGTATAGATAAGGGGAATCTAACTATCTAATTAAAACATAGCATTATAATAGCTAGAAAGTAGTATTAATATAATATAATTTCTACCTAGTGCTCTAAATATTAAAGTAAAGAGATTTAACTAAGCATAGGTAAATAGTAGGAGTAACTATAACTCTCTTAAAGTAGCTAAATACCTTATTATTTAATTAGTAATATGCATAAATAGATTAATAAGATTTCTACTATCCCTATCTACTATCTAGCAAAACTATAGCTAAGGGAATAGGCTTAGCTAAATTAGTAGGGAAAGAAGACCCTATTAAGCTTAACTCTAGTTTAACATTATAAAAAGATATAGGGGGTATAGAATAGGTAGGAGCTTTAGTGCTAGTAAAATACTACTACCCTTATTATTTTTTTACTTATTTAATAAAGTAGAGCTAGACCTTATAGTCTAACTTCTAGTATTAAGGTCCTTTATAGGCTAATCTAGGTTAAAGATATTATTAGGTAGAGAGTTTAGCTAGGGTAGTATATCTGTTAAACTATAACATAGGTGTCCTAAGAGAGACTTATAAAGAATAGAAATCTTTAGTAGAGTAAAAGGGTAAAAGTCCTCTTAATTTTAAATTTTAGTATAAATATAAACTATAAAAGTATAGCCTATTAATCCTTTAGTCTCTTAAAATTTAAGGCTAGAGGTGCTAGAAAAGTTACTATAGAGATAACTAGCTTATAGTAGCTAAGTATTTATAGCAATATTACTTTTTAATCCTTTAATATTAGCTCTTCTTATTATACTAAAGCAGAATTTAGTAAGTGTTAGATTATTTACCTACTAATAGGGAATATAAGCTAGGTTTAGACTATTATAAGATAGGTTAGTTTTACCCTACTAATAACCTTGCCCTAATAGTAATACTACTTAGTATAAGAGGAACTATAGTTTTAAATAATTAGTTTTTATAGCTATCTAACTAGGTATTGCTATAAAGCTACTATCTACTAGATTATAGCTAAACACCTCTAAGTTAGAATCTATGCTAGAATAGGGTAATTTCTGCCTATACTAGTTAGATATAAATAGGCCTTTAGCCTAGAACCTTACTAGATTAGTATTAGTAGCCTTATTAAAATTAGGGTTACTAGCTAGTATATTGCAATTGTATAGTGCATAGGATTAAATCCTTTATAGATAACTTAGTTATCTAGCTAGGTTATATAAGTAGTTAAGTAGCCTTATAGTTATAAGCTGCTAAGTATAAGCCTGCTACTAGCTTAGTTAAAAATAGGATACCTCTCTCCCTATTTATAAGGTAGCTTCTAAAAAGAGCACTTATAGAAGGGGATAAAAGAAGTAGAAGAGGTAGAAAGTAAGTAGTTATAAATTCCTTAAAGGCCTTTCTAGGTTAAGAGGTTCTAGTAGGTTATACTATAAGTAGTTCTAGTAGGTTATAATATAAGCAGTTCTAGTAGGTTATAATATAAGTTTAATAGACTATAAGTTAAATAGGTTAGTCCTAGTAGGTTATGCTATAAGGCGTCCTAGTAGGTTATACTATAAGGCGTCCTAGTAGGTTATAATAAAATTAAAAAATCTTAAGTTAAAAAATTATAACTAGTAGGTTGTGCTATTAAGCATAACTAGTAGGTTATGCTATTAAGCGTAACTAGTAGGTTATAACATAAGCGTAACTAGTAGGTTGTGCTATAGGTGTCCTAGTAGGTTATAACAAACTTAAAAAAGTTTGACTTAAAATATTATAACTAGTAGGTTGTGCCATAGGTGTGACTAGTAGGTTGTGCCACAGGGTGTCCTAGTAGGTTGTGACAAAATCGAAAAATCTCAAGTCGAAAAATCGTGACTAGTAGGTTGTGACATGAGCGTGACTAGTAGGTTGTGCCACAGGTGTCCTAGTAGGTTGTGACAAACTTGAAAAAGTTCGACTCAAAATATCGTGACTAGTAGGTTGTGCCATAGGTGTGACTAGTAGTAGGTTGTGCCATCGAGCGTGACTAGTAGGTTGTGACAGTCCTAGTAGGTTGTGCCAAAATCGAAAAACTTCGACTCAAAATATCGTGACTAGTAGGTTGTGCCATAGGTGTGACTAGTAGGTTGTGCCACAGGGTGTCCTAGTAGGTTGTGACAAAATCGAAAATCTCAAGTCGAAAAATCGTGACTAGTAGGTTGTGACATGAGCGTGACTAGTAGGTTGTGCCACAGGTGTCCTAGTAGGT